TTCACTATCTATAGGGGTGGCTTTTAGGGGTGCGAGCGCCGCAATTGGATAATGGATGTTGGTTGGGTATATTTTTAGAGAATTTTTGGCGGTATTTTTAAGAAAAAAGCCGAACACCAAAGAGTGAAAAATGACACTTTTATTTTTCACCATCTATAGGGGTGGCTTTTAGGGGTGCGAGCGCCGCATGTGGATAATGGATTTTGGTTGGGTATATTTTTAGAGAATTTTTGGCTGTATTTTTAAGAAAAAAGCCGAACACCAAAGAGTGAAAAATGACACTTTTATTTTTCACCATCTATAGGGGTGGCTTTTAGGGGTGCGAGCGCCGCATGTGGATAATGGATTTTGGTTGGGTATATTTTTAGAGAATTTTTGGGGGTATTTTTAAGAAAAAAGCCGAACACCAAATTGTTGTATTTGGACATTCTTTTTTTCTCAATAGACATAATATGATTAAGGGTTGTTTTCACCCTTAATGTGAATAGTTTTGGTTTTTTATTGATAATTATTGTATTATTAACTACTCTGAGTGATGTTATTGGGTTTTTATTAGTAAATGAAAAAAAAAAATTTTCGTTCATTTGATCGTTCCAAACTTTTGTCTCATATATTATATATTTTAGTAATATTAGTTATTATCAAATTTTTAGATGATCGTTTGTCAAAAAAAAAAAAAAAAAACCTTTATAGAACAATATGTATGGAACATAAAAAAACATTTTTATTTATAAAAAAAATGCTTTTATATGTAATACACGGAAAGATTAACTTGTCAATAACCATTCAAGTCCCATCAATTCCAATCAATTCAATATCCTCATTCAATTCGTTGAGAGGAGATAGGTCAAAGTGAAAATTTCTCTCGGATCGTTATGGTTTTCGATTTGTGGTAAGGGTTTGAAATTCAATAGATTAAATAATCTGTATTACAAGTATTATCTTGAATTTCACATATTATAAACACAACACATATAATCAACTGATTATAAATAATAATCTAAATAATATAATTATAAAATATACTAAATGTATAATAAAAATTCTAAAATTTGTTATAAATTTTACAAAAAAAAAAAAATATTAAATTTTCTATAAATCGTTTTAGTATGAATAAAAGGTCCTTTATATAAGTGAATTGAAAAATGGGACGGATTTTATTTGTTCTTAAATTTTATTTCCCTTGTTTATGCTTTAAAGTTTAACGAGTAAACTATAAAATAGTCAGTAGTGGCAATTTCTCTTATGTCATGTTCCTAAATGCATTTGAGATAAAAATCCTATATATTTTTAAAACTGGTTGCTTTCACAAAAGTTAAACATAACGTTAAATTCGTATATCTTTACGACTGCCTCTTCAATTATTTTTGCAAAGATTAACAATACGTGTATAAATAAAAAGAAAAAAAAACAAATATATCTGCGAGAAACAAAATTTTACAAAACAAATTTATCAAAAAAAAATGAATTTTGATAACAAAAAAAAAAGATAAGTTTTATAATTGTAATAATTATTATTTTTTATATTATTTCAATAAATATTTAAAATTATTTATATTAATTAATATAATATAAATATAAAATATATTAATAATATAATAAAATATAAGTTAATTATTAAATTAAAGAAATTTTTTTTACTGTATTTTATTTTAAAAAAAATTCTTCACTAAATATAAATCTTACTTTTTATCGTGAAAATATTAAAAATAATACTGCTATTATAAAACTCTAGTATCAAGTCATGACTGTTAATTAATAAATATAGTGATAATGAAAAAAAAACGAAAAGAGGCAATCACAAAGATTTCTTTCATTCCTAAATACCTCATTCAAATCTTATAACGATCCCAGGGAAAAATTTATCTTAGCCGATTAATTACAATTGGAACAATATTAAGAGTCAGAGTCTATTGATCTGCGGAGAGATAAAAAAGAAGAAGAAAAAAAACCTGATTCCTCGTTTCCATTAATTGGCTTAACTCCCGAAGACATCATTTCGTACCAAACAATCTAATTACTAAATCGAAAACAGATAATACCAAAAATAACATCATCGCGTAGGAGAAAAAAAAACAAACTTTTGTGCGACCAACACTATAATTAACAATTTGAGAGAAAAAAAATTAAAATTCAATTTCACGAGAAAAATATCTAATTAAAAATTGTATAATTTTATTCTTTTTCTTTTATGTGCTCTCAATCAATTTTGATAACAAGAAAAAATATCATTTAATGCAAATAATAGATGCGACAATATTGTCCTAAATTGATTTTCTTCTCTTGTGAGAAAAAAAAAAATTAAAGAGAATTTTATTCTTAGAACAATTATTAAGTACTAGATGAAAACAGGAAGTCAGTAATAGTTGTATATGTGCCTAGGTTTTACGCTCCAAGACTTCCCTTTTGTTCATCCAAGCAAAAAATACGCCCCTATGATTATGTGCTTACAATACAAATTTTGTATAATTTTCCCGCTTGTATACTGTCTTTGACAAAAGTATACTATACTAAGACATTAAATTTAATTATCAAGGAAATAATTTTCAAATTAATTATTCAAATAATATATACGAAAATATACGAATTAACAAAATTTTCTCTCTTGTTCATATTTATTTTTATTTTAAAATTGAGAAAATAATAAAGAAAATCGATTTCTTGCTTACAGTACACAGAATAAGCGACTTAATTATCACATTAATAATCTACAATTTCTTTGTAATATTCCAAAATGAACGCAAATTCTCTATTCATTGTTCTGACTTCGATTTTCTCTATTATTGTTACAAAACTCATTTTAATAGTAGAATTTAAATTAAATTATTATGAGGGTATTTATAAACTTCATTTTGTTTTGTGAATTAGAAATTTTTTTTTTAGAAAGTAAAATAAAAAAAAAGGATATAAAATATTTCAATTTGAAGTGGGGAAAAGATTATTACCAAAATTATGAATAATCAAGTATAATATAAACTTCTTTACAATATGCCTTGAAAAAAAAAATATTTTTTTTTTTTTTCTTTACAGCGCGTGTTAAAAAACTTTTGCGTTAACTTTTGACACCTAAATCGTAAAAAGGGGAAAGAGAGAGAGAGAGAGAGAAAAAACGAAATGATGCCACCTTCAAAAGTATAAAAACTTTGACCCAGGAGAGATTTATTTTTAACGGAAGGTCAAAACCTTAATAGACATTGGGTGATTTCAAGAAAATATATATCTCTTTTTTCCGAATTTTATAAGAAATCTTTCTTGTCAATCTTTTGTTATGTGACGTGATTGGGCGCGCAATCCAAAAAAATCTACTTGTAACACGCAACGGACGTAAGCAATAAAATCTATTGCTTCAACAAATTGAGCTAGTGTCCCTCGAGAAGGAAGAAGACAAGAATAGGTGTCTGTGAACCAAACCCATTCTCTCTCTCTCTCTCTCTCTCTCTCTCGCTCTCTCATTCTATTCTTTATAATAGCCAATTGTCGGAGCAAGAGAGAATTGCCTATAAGAGCATATCCCAAGTAAATAATAAACCTGCGCTTGACTCTCAAGTAGATATAAACGACAAACATTCATCTCTATTTGGTTCCACTTTTGTATTTAATGATGGGCTGAAAATGATCACAATAATAATAATAATAATAATAATAATCAATGTCAAGTGATTGAGGCGCAAATAGGTTCATTGCTCAGTTTTTATAGAAATAAGGTCTCTGGCACCTAATCATCCCTTTATATTAAAGCTTCTCTCGGAAAATTCATTTCACGTTATTATACTCCTTTTACTTATTATTTTTTTTTTTTTTCATTATATTCTACTCGACAAACTTCCTTTCCTCATCTCATGATATTCACTTCCGTGCAAAAGAAACTTTGTAATCGAGAAAATTTCCTATACACACTTAAAAATAATATAACTGCGAAGAAATTCAGGATACTTTCCAAGAAATCTCAGATAAGACGTTCTTTTTTTTTTTTTTTTGTTAATAATAGAAAAAAAAAAAACTTTCCCGAAGAATATATATTTAATCTCACAATATAAAATGATTAATTAAAAATTTTATTTAATTAATTATTATAAATTGATTGAAAACTTTTTGTATTTAAATTATACTCTTATTTAAAAAAATTGAAAGAAATAATTTTTACAATTCTAGAATTTTAATATAATAATTTTATATTTTAAAAAATGAAATTCTTTTTAAATATTTTTTTAATTTTAAATTTTTTTTATCAATCAGTTTTTAAACATCAATCAGTCAGTAATAATGTCAAATGCCAATAAATTTTTTTTTAAATCTCTTTGCAATTATATATATATATAGTTCTTAAAGTAACTTTACTCCTCTGTGGGCAAGTTTTAAAAGTTTTGCAAATTTTTCCCCATTGTACTCTTTATTATAAAAGTTAAAAATATATAAAAATTCAAGAAATTTTTTTTATCGTATTAATATTATTAATAAACTTCATAAATAAAAATATTTAATCAATTAATTTTCTAAAATTTTTAATTTAAAAGTAATTTTAAAATTTATATAATTGAAAGGAAAAATTTAATTTCTTTTTTTTCGCCACATTGGATAAAGGTTAAAATTAAAACAAACTCAATCAACGTGGCAATAATTGTAAAAATAATTTCTCTCTCTCTCTCTTTCTTTTTTCGCGATTGTCATATAAAACAAAGAGTGATTTACTATTCTATATGGTCAAGAATTTTATCGATCTATTCTAAATTCGTCTTGTCGAACAATAATGTGTACCACCACTAAAGAGAAAATATTCATTTTGACGATGCACATATTTTTCTTACATATATAATAAAAATACCGAAACTATTTACAAATTTAAAAGCCGGAAAAAAATATATTTAAATATTAATGATTGTTTTTCTATTTGAACACAACAATTTTCAATATTAAATACAAAAGAGGACACGATTCACGCTTTTCATAAAGAAAAAATAAATAAAAAAAAAAATAAAATTTAAATTCTCATTGATTTTCAGCTTTATACCAATCCAAAGAGTTGGAACCAAGAAAAAAAAATTATATAATTGGCCAAAGATGTTAAAACTTTGTTGAAAGATTAATAGATATATATTTATCTATAATATTAGTTCGAAAAGTGTAAAATATCTAGTATTAACAAGAGAAAAATAAAAACAAAAAAAAATTAATTCTCTATCAAAAAAATAAGAAATATAAAATAAAAACAGTCTCCAAATGAAATTCCGAAAAGACTCGTCTTCCAGTCCAAAGATGGATCTGCTATCACGTCGTTCATCGACCGGCAGATTGTCAACATTCAAAAGAACAAAATCATTTCGAGCTTCCGTTAGAATAATGTCAAAAATTCGTAATCACACAAATCAAAATCAATCAACAATTTCTCCACAAGTAAAAGAATCTGTAACCAAAACAACAACTCAATGGACACTTCCATTTCTACAAAAAAAACAACAACAACAATCAGAGTCTGATAAAAAAAATAAAACACAAGAGAAAATCGATACAGAAAAACAAAATATTGAATTAACATCATCTATTGAATCAATTAAAATAGCCAAGGATCTAAAACAAAAATTATCCCTCACTAATCGAATAATGGGAAAAAATCGAAAAGTCACACAAAATAATAATAATAAACATAATATCAATAAGCATGAGCGTCAAGAGACCAGTAAATCGACTAGTGAACAACTTGGAAAGTCTCATTATTCTCAGGATACGAAGAAAATATCTGAAAAGAGGGAGTATCCGGTTTATCCAACTGGAGAATACAATTCCTATGAGAACCCTACTTTCTGTTTAGACAGCTCGATCGATTCTTCTGTTAACGATTTTTTTTTCCCAGTAAAATCCGATGACAAGAACAATTTAAACAATGAAAAAAAATTCGAATTGAAAATAAATGATGAAAAGTTAAAATCATCAACGGAAACACTCACTATTTTAGTTGATTCCAAATGTGATAACGAGATCAACAATCAACATTTTAAAAGCGAGGAAAAAGAACAAAAGTACAATAATTATCGGTCAATAAATGATGAGGAAAATGGAAAATCAATTGTTTTGCGAAATAATAATAATAGTAGTAGAATAAATAAAATTAATGAATCTGAATATGACAATACACAATATGAATTATGTCGTGTTGATGTGCCTCTTTGTGAAAAAGTTACTGTCAATAATTCCAAGTTTTTAAGACCAAGAACAGTCGATAATATAACAAACTTTTGGAACGGAGGTCGAAGCAGTTTCCGAGTTAAAAAGATTAATCATAAAAAAGAAGTACAAGAGTCCAAGAAACTGGAGTCCATCATCCATGACCGCGTTTCGATGACAACCACTTTGGGATCAAGTAGGTTCTTGTGTCTCTATCGCGAAATTCGAGAAGAAACTTTTTTTTTTTTCCTGACATTTTTCTAAACCTCACTTAAAATCCTTTAATTAAAATCATTTATGTCTTTCTTAAAAAAAAATTATTCTCTCAATAAACAAAAATTGCTCTCATCTAAAAGAAACGAGTTAAAATGATAAATTTTTATCTAAATAGAAAAAAAAGAAAAAAAAATAATTATAGTAATTGACAAACAATCATTGTTTATTACTTGTAATAATTACAATAATAAACAATTGTAATACAATTACTTACAGTAATCAGAAATAACAATAATAGAAATAACATTAATTAATTTCAGTTTTTCAATTTTTTTTTTTTTAAACGTATCAAACTTTTGCATCCCTTGAAACATTTTGATACGGAAAATTATATTTCGCTGAAATCGCTTTATGAATAATGTATTAGTTCGGAAGAATTTAATGTCAGCTTTCAGTCACATATACCTTGCTTTCAAGTATTTTAAGACTTGAGAAAAAAAAATATATATAGACTATTGCAAAAATTTAATTTAAATTGTAATACAACGAGAAATTTCCAAGATAATTGAGAGAAAAAAAAAGAAATTTACTTGTCACAAACATTACGGAAAATCCCGTATCATATATAGATATATGGAAATCCCTATCTTTATCCTTTAAGCTTTCTTTAGTTAATTATCTCCTATGTGGTTAAATGCGATTTACTAATATATATAATTCCCCCCCCCCTCATTTTTTAATGACATTGAAATATAAACAGATTATTAATTATTTTATTATTATAACATTAGGTACTCACAACTTTGTTGATTTTTTTCTGCTATCAATTTTTAGGTTATATAAATGGGCCATAATTTGGTTGACACTTTTTAGAACACTTTTCACTCACACTTTTTTTTTACTTTAAAAAGACATTATTAAACTTTCTATCACTCCCTGTATACTATTATTTTACTTGAAAAACAAAAAATCTTGTTATCTGGAGAAAATAATAAAAAAGACGTTAACTGAACCGCTCAAGAAGCAACAATGAAAAAAAAAAGATAAAAATCGAAATTCAACTATCGAATTCTCGATACAAGATGGCGGTGATAATGCAGCTATCTTCAGCCCCATTACTAATTTTAACTTTAACCTGAAAACAAATTTTTTGTAATAAATTAAATTTAAATGTTTTCTATTTGTTTGACCTAATAACAAGATTTTAATTACAAAAACTAAGTAATTATTACGAATTGGTCTATTTTAAAGCTCAAGCATATAGCGTTATCCAAACAATTGACATCCGGGCTCGAAAATTAACTTTACGAAGGTTTCAATTCAGAATGCCAGGTTATTTTGATAATCAACTATTATTCTTTGGATATCTAAACATATTTGATACTATTTAACAAATAATATTCAATATAACTAGTAATTATTATTAAAAACTTTCTAACAATCACAAACAATGGAGGCCATTGCCCGTCAGTGGCATCACTCTGAAGTTAGTTATAACCCCCCACTCTCAATTCTATGGCTTTGTTGCCAACATAAAAATATGAAAAACCCCAAATTAACAAAAATCAAAGAAATAATTAAACTTTTTTACATTAAGAAATTATTAAACAATTTGTGACTCCTGTGATAAAAGAAATGTTTGCCTTTTTAATATATTGTTCATATATCTGAGAATTAAAAAATTGCTAAATCTGTGGCCCCGTGCTAGTCAACACTTCAAAAATATATAAATTCAAAGTTTTATGAGCTATTTGAATAAATTAACTTGAATTAAAACAAAAACTGTAATTATTAATTTATTTCCTAACATTTTTTAATTAGTAAACAATTAATATTCAATTATTCTTACTCATTTATATGTAACTACCCTACCGAAAGAGTGGTACTGGAATGGTACTGAATTGGACTTGGCTTGAGTTCCACTTCAGTACCACTACCTGATAACCCATAAGAAGACATTTTTAAAGTACTTTAACAATAGTTTTAAAGGTATATAAGATCAACAAACCGTCTCTCACGATATACGTGTAAAACAGCAAAAAAAAAACATAATAGTTTGTAGAAAATTTCTGTTAAGTTTGAAAATTATATTGCAATCCCTCCTTGAACAATAGACCCCTAGGTCCTTTGTTGAAGGATTAAAATTTTAACCCGAGTTTTATTGCTTAAAAAATTTGTAATTTTAATAACTCAACTTTAAAAAATATATATTCAGATTCGTTAATATTTCCAGATTATGAATATCTAAAATTTATCATAAAATAATTACATTTAAAAAAGTTATAATTTATCTCGTATACCTTAAGTTTGATAAAAAAATGGACATCATTTTTGAATTTAGCTGACAAAGGAAATATCATATGCATAATAATGTATGAAAATAATATAAATCCATGAAAAACAAATATAATATTGAAAAAAATATAAAGTTTTAGTTTAAACATATTGAAAAAGCTAGTCGCTTTTCACTTTTATGAGGGTATTAACGGTAACTCGACCCTTTTCGCAGGTAAATTTCCCAGTTCCATTTCAGTACCAAAATGCACCAAATTAGTACTGAGTTGGTACTGAGATCTCAGTTCCAATTTCCCAGTACCAATCCAGTACCAGCCTTCCGGTAGGGTAACAATGAAACGTGATTGTCCGCCATTTTTAGTGAATTCACTCTGAAGTTGGCTGTGATCGCAACTTTCGATATTTTCGATTATGGCTTTTCGATTTGTAACAGACTTCACACAATTTATATCCGTTATTTATTTAATTTTAACCTATATATATAAAAATATAAACAAAAAAAATGAAGAGAGAGAAGCACACTTTATTTTTACTGTTTTTGTATTTAATATACGTGTTTCTATTTGTAATTGATTTTATATTGACTGGTTTTCTATTTTTATTAACTGTTTATCTTTATTTAATTTCGCAACACCCACATTTACTTAGTTTGCCGTTTTTTTAGTTTAATAATAGAAGATTTATTTTATTCGTTTATATTGTTTATATATAGAGCTGCAATCGCAACAAGGGATGGATTTCCTTGAGGGATTTGGAAAAAAGAAAAATCAACATCATCTGAACAATTTGTCATCAATTCACATCAATCCACTCACGGCACAACCTTCCCTCAATATTCACTTGCATGGTATTTCTTTTGTTTTATTTTTATTTTATTCTTCTTCTGTTTATTTATTGCTTTTTCCATTATTAAATATTATTTTTCCTATTTTTTCTACTGTTTTCCTAAAATTATATGAACGGGTTTAATAAATAATTTTTTTATTCAAATAATGTTTACAGTATACAAATTTTAGATAATTATGAAAAAAAAAAAATAATGTTTTATTTTGTTTACAGCTTTGTTTGCAGCAGTTGAACATGGTTATTTAGATAAGGCAAGGACTATTTTGGAGTCAACTGATGTAGATGTAAACAGGTAATAAAAATTAGTTTAATATTTTAAAAAAAAAGTATCTAAAAAGTTTTACAAATTTTGCTTTTATTGTAAGAGATCAATTTTAATTAATTAAATGTTAATTAAAGAAATTTAAATTGTTTCAAATTAAATATTTTTTTTAAATAACTAACGTAATTTAAAGAAATTGACAAATTTTACAAAAAATGTTGAGAGGAATTTAAGAAGTTTTATTATTTTTGTTCTTTATATATATATATATACATATTGACCTATTTTCGTCCCCAGTACTGAATCCTGTAATATCCTTTCTTAGAATAGATCCTAATCCTTTAAGCCACATCTGCATCGCTATACCTAATTGATTTACTAAAGTTATAATTTCAGAATATATACCAAAAACTAATTGATTAATTTTATTTCGCAGTAAATGATATTAATCAGGAATTTGTAAATAAGAGAAGAAAGTAATTTGAGATAAAAAGAAGTATATTTAAATTGATATAATTTTTTTTCGTTTTTTGGTAAAAGTCATGTCGTTTCTTTTAAAGGGTTCATTTTGATAGAAATTGACGATTCGTTTTGAAAGCGCGCTTAGAAGTTTCTAGTTGCTTGAACATTGAAAAGTCTTGATTACAACTACGTGCTCTTCCTAAATCGAATCTTACCTTCGAACAAGTTCTCACAAGAATATAAAAAGTTACAACCTTATCATGAAGAGTTCACCTCAAAGTATTTCCAATTCTATATAGCTGAGACTAAAGTTTTGTCTACACGAAAACTTTTGTACAAAATAGATCATAAAAAAAAAAAATTTTTTTTTCCCACTTTTTGCAAATGCACTAATTAAAATATTGATTAAAATTATCAATAAATAGAATTTAGAAATTTTTTTAAAATTAAATTCAAATATTTAAACAATTTTTGAATTAAATATTAAATTAAATAAATATAATTTGTTTTTTTTTTTTTAATTCTAAAATAGTATTAAATGCGTTAAAATTATAGTATAAAACAATTTGATAATCGTTAAACTTTAAGTTACGTTAATGTCAGGGTACTTTGTTTAGAAACCACATTTTAGTGGTCACCAGTGAATTATTTTGAAAGTTTAACACTCAAAATACAAATACAAGTTGTGTTTTCATGCGCTAGTTTAAAAGATGCTTTTTGCTTGTACAAATTCAATTTTTCCTCAACTAACACTCAATTACAGAAAAATTAATTTTACATAAAAAATAATTGCAATATATTAAATAATAAATTATTAATTTAATTTTTTATGATTGTTTTTTTTTAAAGTAATTTTAAATTTCTATTATGATTATTATTATTTAATTGATATTGTATGTAATATTGAGTATTTACAGTTTATTCTTTGAAAATGAAAAATGTGAAGCATGAAGAAGTCAGATTTCAATTACGTTTCTAAAGTTTCTTTTTATTTTCAGTGTAAATAGCGACGGTTTGTCTCCACTGGACGTGGCAGTCTTGAGTAACAACAGACCTTTAGCAAAAATGTTGGTTACATTTGGAGCACAGGAAGGCAATCAGTGTGAGTATTGTTTTTCCACTTTTTATAACAACAAGTTAAATTGCACGATTTTTTTTTCCAACCCTTTGCATCTATATATATTGTATATCATATTATAATTTATCTCACAAGGAAAAATTTTCTATAAAAATCTTACGTAATTTTTATATTTCAAGAAAATTCACATTCTTATTTTTATATATCGACAAACTCTACGAATAATGGAAAATTTTTTAAATGGCATCGAAGAATAATAAAAATGGAAATTGAATTTAAGTTTTAAAAGTTCACATTGAAATGCACTCCGAAATTTTTCTATGTAAAATCAATGGAATTTTCTCTAGCATGAAAAATGAAACGACTGCAGTAACGAAGAAGGATTCCAATTAAATTTTCAAATTCCAAGTAAATTACAGAGTTTTTATTGTTTTCTAACGATGATAAAAAAAAAAAATTTTCGATTTAAATTGATAGGCGAGAGTAAAAGTTTTATTGGGTTCTTTATTAAATTAGATTAAAAAAAAAATTTATTAAATTGAAAAGTATTGAACCATTTTACGTGATGCTTTTTTTTATTAAAAATTTGTTAATTAACAAATTTTTGTATTAATAATTATACTTGTAATTAATTTTAAATCTCTTTTTATATTATTTTTTCATGCATCTTGAAAGTGAGTTTTTCCCAGAATTTCATGTTCTCATCAGAAGCTTATGAATTTTCATACACTTTTCCAGACGTGCATTCAAATATGCAAATTAATGCGCAATAAGGAAAAAATCTAAGTTAATTAATATTTGATTTAAAAAAAAAAAAAAAAACTATCGAAATCAAAAAGAAATTTACAATTAAAATTTTTTTTGGTTTCTCTTCAGTTATTAATACACAGAATTACAACTAATTATAAAAATTGATTCTGATAATTGAATAAGAGATCGATTTCTTATAATTAATAATATTAATAATAATTGATGTCACGTACAAAATTAATTTCATTTATAATAATGCAATTTATATTCTATTTGTCGAATTTACAGTCTAATCAAAATATTTCCGTTTGCTCATTACGAACAAATATTCAAGTCACGCCAAATTGCCAAAGGAGAAATTCTTCTAATTTATAACGAGATGCACAACGAAAACGTATAATATATATTTGCGACATACTTGAGAATAATTAATTGTAGTGCATTAATTGGAATCTCCAATTCTCTCAAACAAACTGAATGGCCAGAGTTTCAATTCGATATGGGACATATTCTCATCAAGGATGAAATGGATTATATTGGGAGTCCTTGACTTATTCACTAGGACTTTTATTTAACGATAATAGTCTTAGTATTGTTCTGAATCGTTATAGTAAAGAAGAGATTTTTCATTGTTCATTGCTAATATCACATTTCAATTTCCGAACACAAGATTTTTTTTTTCTACTTAGAAAGAAAAAGAATTGAAAGAAAAGAATTTTTAATAAGAGTTTATTCTGGATTTTTTTTTTTTTTCTTTCAAATGGGAAGTAAATTTACTTCAAAGGATTTAAAATACATATTTTAATTTAAAAATTATAATTTAATTTATATCCATGATTTTTTTTTGTCTAAAAATTAGAAATATTTGTTAAAAAAAAAAAAAATCTACGAGAAAAAAAAGAGAGAAAATATTAGGATTTTATTGGACTTTATGCAAAATTAAATCGATTTGATAATCGTGACTCGTGTATATGTATATGGCAAACGTTTCGTGAAAATCCATTTTGACTGTACACTTGGACTATGTATTTGTAGAATGGCTTTAGCCATCCAATTACTCAACAACACTGGAAATGACATTGTTACCCGACAGGGGAATTTAATTAATTAATTCGTAAACAAACATAATTTTTCGAGTGTTTTATTTTTCATTAAAATTACTTTTTTTTCATTATTATTAATACTTATTTTCATTATTGTTTTCGAACTAAAGAATAATTGTATATTATTTTATTAAAATATAATTTTAATTTTTTAAATATTGATAATTATCATTTTAGTATTTAGAGAATATAATTAATTACTTATAATTTTTTAATTATTCTATATTATCTTCTATTAATTATTGACATTTATTTTGTATTATAATTATTTGGTAATTTTTTTTTTTTTATTATATAAAATAAATAGCTATAAATTGATTTTCTAATTATATTGGATTTATTTGACAGTTAAGTCACCAGATTCGTTGGGAAGTCATTTGGCATCATTGCTGTCAGAGGCAGAGCGACGAGTTCAAGAACTAGGAGGCAGTACTTCTGGAAGTAGTGGAACAACACTTCTTGAACCACTGAGTCATAGGTCCAGTTTTTCAAACCCACACAATAATCTGACAGGATGTGGCGGAAATACAGAAGACAAACAACTAGCACTTTGGGAAAGGAGAGCACGAGCTTTAAGGAAAATGTTACTTGGTTTTGATCAAGCGAGTGAGTTCCGAATCTCTCTCCTATTGTACTTTTTTCCGCTTTTAACTACAACAAAGAATCTCTAAAAAAAAATTAAAATTCCACTTGAAATTTTAATTATTAATTAGTTAATATAATAATTTTACTCGGTTTTTTATTTCAAAAAGAATAGGTTTTCAAATTTGTTTTCTTGTTTTAAAAGTGTAAAAAATATTTTAGTATTATATATTAAATTCCATAGTGATAAAAAGGAATGTAATTTTTTTTTTCAAGATACTTTTTATTTTTAATTTTGTAATAATTTAAAATTCAAAAAAAGTAAAAGAAAATTGTGCATATTTCTAAATAAAATATTAAATTTAAAATGATAGAATTGTTATTTATTATTAATTTTCTAAATTGAAATTTTTTTTTTTTTCGATTATCAGGACCGCCGGATAAACCGTACTTGGTATCGGTAGACGTCACGGGAACAACTTCCGTCATAGCCAGGTTTCAAGAATCTGATTCGCATGATTCCGCAATTTGCACAAAATTCAAAGTTCAGTGGAGTGTGAAAGACGATTTCTCAGTGGTATGCGACGAGAAGGAAGTTTTAGACATGAAACAGAGAGAATGTAGAATCGATGGCCTTGTTCAAGGTCAAAAATATTATTTTAGAGCAGCTGCTGGAAATTTGAAAGGTTATAGTAAATTTCGACCTTCGACACCGGCTTATGTAACACCAAGTAGTAAGTCAAGTACACTTTTTATTTTATTTCACGTATAATAGTAACTTTTCAAGATAATCACCAAAAGATAAGCGGTGAAACATTCTTGCTAATCGTTAGAGATTCTTCATTTTCTATTTAATTATACAACTCTTCTTTATGTATATAATTACTTTAATTTAATGGTTTTTCTCTTTTAATCTTCTCTGTAGAATTTATTAAATTAATAAAAAAAAAAATAATAATAATAATAATTGAAATGTTTTGTTAATTAAAATTGTATGGTTATTTTTTAAATGGGTAATTAATTTTGAAGGTTGGCGAGACATTGACGGAAGGGTGCCAAGGTTCGCTGGCCGATTGGAGCAATTAGATACCCTTTTCACTGATATACGTGGTACGGAATACACACAAGAGACACCGGCTGTACAAAGGCGTAATCATAAGAAAAAAACAACGATAAAACAATTATTCACAGCGACAAGTAAATTTCAAAAAAATCTTCGACGTGGTGTTTTTCTTGCTTGTTTACTTTATCATGAGGATAAAGTATTAGTGACAAATGAAGATTTCCTACCTGTAATTGAAGTCGATGAAACTTATCCCAGTTGTATTTATAATGATTTTCATTGGTTAATGAAAATTGCATGCACATGGGACGATGTTAAATCACTTCGACAGGATATGGAAAAAAGTCACACGAGTTCGACGAATCATTTTAGAATAAAATTACTTCAAGCGGCATCACAAATGCAGGTTCGTTTGGGGCTTTTTTTTTTTTTTTTGTCGTAATTGAAACGATTGGGAGAAAAGCTAATTGAAATTCATTTCAGGCGGCATTGTGTACACAGGACCTAGGGCAACTCTATTATAAACCAATTCGAGATATTCAAGGCACGTTAGTATTTACGACGATAAACTATGTGAAAACGCCAAAGTTGGTTTCTGTTTTAAATAGTCGTTGGTTACCGTTGAGTAAAGTGACAAAAAAAATTATAACACACGAAGACAGTAATGTGGCTGATATTCTCATGGCCAGTATACAGGAACAAATAACTTATCATCAAGTCAGTAGTATTAAATTATCCCGAGGTCTTTATCTCGGTTATTTGAAAATGCAAAGTAGCGTTGATCTTATTCAAGTTGTTGTGCCAGTTAAATCGCCAAATGTTTTGCCGCATTGTAAAATTCGAGACAATCCTCATGTCTCTGCGTAAGTTTATTTTCTTTTTCTTTTGAAATAAAAATTGATTTTGTTTTATATGGAAATATTTTTTTTTTTTACAGTGAAGAGTGGGAGTATTTGAAGAGAATGACGCGAATTCAGGCTTCGTCGACATCAACTCTTCAGGACGAGGAGGAGAAAGAGAATGCTTCGAACGAATCACAGGGTACAGAACAACAGAAGCAATTTATTGACATTGTCTCGGCAACGGCGAAACGTCTATTCAATCATATGGAAATTAATCCGGATGATTCGCTCGTACATCGGCTATACGATGCAGAAGTTGTTGATTTAACTCACGATGTGTCATTCCTCATTACTGTACCACCAGCAGAAACTGCATGTTTAGTTCCCGGTACGAGGGAAATTTTACTTCAACGTGGTGATCTTCTATCGTTGCCAATTCAAGTTTTTGAAATGGTTCACCTGACAACTTATCAAAAGGAAGTGATAAATCGTTATTCAAGAATGAGTTGTATTTTAGAATTGGATACAGCACAAGCGCAACATAATCAACGTGAAGCATTCAGTACATCTGAATTAAATATCGCAAAAGATAAATTAATGAGACTTCAGGATCTTCAGACACAAATGAATACTGTTTGGAAAGGAGCACGATGGCTCGTTGATGTCATTACATTTGCACGAGACAGAGGATCAACATTGTCAAATGTAAGTAAAATTAAATATCATATAATTGTAAATTATTAATTTATTCTTTATTGTTTTTTAAAAAAAAGGCTCAATCAGCGGGGATTTGCATGAAACACCTGTTGAGTTTGGATAGAAATAAAAACAGTGGCAACAGTCTAAAGAGAAGTCTCCTTCAACTACCCCCAAGAGATCCCAAACTTGTTAAATCAAGTCCAGGAAGAGGCAGTTGGCCAGGTCCCAATATCACAAATTCCTCGTCGAATTTATTGACAACTGAATTTAGTAAAAGTGAACAACAATTGCCAAGTAGTCAATATATTCGTAAAGGTAGTGATACATCGAATATTTCAAGTGACACAGAACAAGTAAAAACATCTCTTCCAGTGAGCAGTACGAGTAATAGCAATAATAATAATAATAATAATAATAATAATGCAAATCATCATTTAATTCCATTACAAAATGTTAGACTTCCACCGTCCAAATCAGAGGATACACTTTTATTGGCAAAATATAAACAAAGTCCAAGAAATCGATCGGTTACAGTGACTTCTGTTTCAGCTAGTACAAGTCCATTATTGAGTATTAAACCAATGATGTATGGTGGTTCTTTACTCAGTGTTTCAACGGCTATGACTAATACGACAAGTCTTTTGAGTGTCAGTAATAATACATCGGATAGTATGCATTCAATAAGTAGCGATGAATATTCCACGCCAAATTCAAGTGTTTGCATAAAAGCAGGACATGCAAAAATAAAATCAACAAAACCTACTGCTAGTGTTGCTGCAATGGCTAGTTCAACGATGGATAGTCATCATCATGATGAAGAGAAGGATGAAGCTACAATGATGCCTGCACCGCTTCCTGGAATTTTGCAGGTTATCATTCTTTTAATATTTCACGATAATTTCCAATTTCAATATAAGGAGCAAATTTTCAAAAGCTGATAAATCCATTTTTCAAAGAAAAAAAAAAAATTAAGATAAACATAAATTTAATATTTTAAGAACCTCACTGTTAAATTTAAGAAAAAAAAACAATTTATTAACAACGAATATTCAATTTGAAGTCATTTTTTTTTAAATTCTCAAAATAAGAAAATAAGGATTTATCAGGTTTTGAAAATTTGCTCCTCAATTAATTGTGCATTTTCAAAAATTTTATTTTAATTTTAAAATTGTGTTGTATTTTTATTTTTTCTTCATACGATATAATTTTATTTCATCATCAAACAATTGCTTGATTTTCCTTTTTTTTTATTGAACAGAATCATACAATTGGTTCTTGTTGAATTTTCTTTCATTCACTTTTTTTGTTTTGTTTCTTTATTTTCTTCTTTTTCCTCTATATCGTTTCGAATTGAATTGATTTTAATCAAACTATTGTTTTCTTTTTCACTTTCACCTCATTCGTTGAGATAAAAATTGAACAATTGGTTTTTTGTTGAATTTTTGTTTTCATGCGTGAAAATTGAATTTAGTTTTAAATTTTATTAAACAATTGGTTGTTTGATAAATTTTCTCTATTTTGTTATTATTTTCTTTTTTTTCTTCTATTTTTTTTTTTTTAGAATAAAAATTGTTTCCCAGTGATAATTAGTTAATTAATATCGCACAAAATGTGTGCCTCAAAGGATTAAATGAAAATGTATTTCGATATTTTAATTAGAAAGTTTAAATGTTTAATTAAGTTTTTATCACGTGATATATAATCAAGCTTATAAATTTTTATTTTTTTTAAGTAGTTGGCTTTTTGTCATAAAATGTTACGTTTTTTTTTTTTAAATTTAATTTATTAACTTAATTCATTTTTTATTAATTATATTATAAATTTATTTATTTAATACACAATTTTTTAATTTGTTTTATTTTCAATTAAAATTTTTATATAATTTATCATTATTTTTTTGAAATACAAAATAAAAATCCCACATTAGTATAAATGTGAAATGCTATTTTTCCTTGTAGGATTCCTCAAGTCTTAGTGATTCTTGTTAGCAACAGTTCGTCTGAGGCAGCAAATTATTCGAGTAAGCTGCGCTGATAATAAAAAGCTAAAAATGATTATCCAAATTCTTGTGCTTTGTCTAATCGTCTTTTTTTTTGTCGTTTTCTTGTTGTATGCTGTGATATGAACGTACCAGTTAAACATTTTATTCCATTTTAATATTTAAAAAAAAATCAATGTCGTAATGCTTGTTATAATAAATATAATTTTTCTTTTAAATAAAGAAAATAACTCGTAATATTTTAACATAAAGCTCGTTTTTAAAAGTATTGCTTTAGTGCTAATAAATTTTACGAAACGATGGGACAAGAATCTTGATTTTAAAACAAAATCAAAAGAAAATTATAATTTATAATAAAGTTGTGATTATTTTCCCTCGATTCGTGGTGCATTGAGTTTTTAATTAAAAAAAAAAAAAAAAAAAATGGTGTTACAAGTGAAATATTAAATTAATTAAATAATGTCTTGGCCAAGTGTTTTAAGTTTCGATGTTTCTCACACAAAGACAATATTTTCTAATTTCAGGTTTATGCGGCCTATGAAACTGGTTTAGCATCCGGGACAAGTTTAAAGTTACATGTAACCCCAAGAACCACAGCCAGAGAGGTGGTTGACTTAGTAGTGAAACAGCTCAATATGGCCGTTATGTTGAAAGGCCAAGAAGGGCCAATTTATACATCCGACGAACTACCGAACTTTTGTCTAGTTGCCGTTATTGGTGCACGAGAACGATGCCTCAGGGATGACTTTAAACCCCTTCAACTTCAAAATCCATGGAAAAAAGGACGACTTTATGTTCGGCAAAAACAAGATGTTCTTGCTGCTTTAGAACACAGCAGTAAACATACAACATTTTTGTAGCAAAAAAAAAAAAAGAATCCAAAATTTTTAGAAAATTGAACGAGTCTTGAAAAAATTTAGAATATTTTTTTTATTTTATTTTTTTTTCTTGAAATTTTCTATTTTTCTATAAAAATTATTCAATTTTAGTATATTTTGACATACTCTCTTATTTCTTTTATATCTCAACAGATAATTCTAGATTAAATCCTATTTATATAGAGAAAAATTAAATTTTAAATATTTTAAAAATTATCTAATAAATTTTTGATCCTAAATAACATATCAATATTTCGGGTATTGAAAACTAAATTTCAATTTAAATTATGTGCCTTGGTTTTCAATAATAACCCCCTTCCTCCATTTTCGAGAAAAAACAATTTTTTAAATTATTGAAAATTAACAAGTTTTCACAATTTTTGAAAAATACCTTTTAGACTATTAAATTATAAAACATTTTATTAGATGGAAATCATTTTCTCGTCTTTTTAAACAAGACTCGTTCCTTTTTGGAAATCGATCGATAAAATAATATTGTAAAGCCACGATAGTATTCGAAATTTGAGGCATAAAAAGTACATTCCACACGCGATGAATGGTGATCAACAACGCTTCGAAATTCGAAGTTTCGGATTCTGTACTATTTTTCGAATGTTAGATAGTTTGTAAAGAAATTATTATATATATAAATATATATATATATATATATATAAATAATACTCAAAATATTTCAATCTGTTATATATTTTAGATACTGATCTCAATGTTACGCGTTGTATAATGAGAATGTGATTCCTAATAAACGATATCTGATCGCGCGATAAATTCTTTTCGATCAGATTGATATTTAGAGAGAAAATAAAAAAGAATAATTTTTTGTTTACGGAGCCACTTAATTTTTTTTCTTGACTTACAACATTAAACGCTCAATTAAGAAAGTTTACGATAATTTCCGAACAACGATAAGCTTCTTCCAAAACTCTTTACTCAATTATTCTCAATTAAAATTTTTTAAAAAAGGGAATTTTTTTTTTCATAAATAACAAAATTCCCTAATTAAAAGATTTTAATGGAAATTTTTTAGTCAATTTTCTGCTTATACGATTTTAGGCTTGGAATAAAAAAATAAAAACAATTTTCGTAATGGTGCTCCCAGTTTTTAAATTTTTTAAATTTTGATTTTAAAATGTGTATAATGTACGCTTAGAATGTTGCGTGAGAATAATTGATATAGCTTACAAGAAATATTTGTGAAAATGGGGCTTATAGACTGCTTTAGGCTAGTGTATGACTGTTATTACAATTATTTAAAGTCAAGAACGTTCAATGCTAAAATATTACTTGAAATACATATAGCATATTTGTTAACAGAGGCTTTTTACTTTTTTATAAACACACAAACACAATGATAATATCCTATAATTTCCTTTTACCGAAGAGTTTGAAAAAACTAGATTTATATAATTTGTCTCTATTTTTTTAAAAAATAAGAAAAAAAAAACAATCTTTTTACAGAAATCCCAAATATTTTAAATATTTTAATTCTGAATGATTCAAAAAATATTGTTTTAAAAATAATATTATAAATTTTGTGTGATTAAAAATATTTTTTTAATTAGCAATTTAAATATTTTGTGAAATATTGCATCCATAGTGATAATTCGATTGATAATTATAATTAATTTTTAAAATAGTCAATATTGGAATAAATTAATTGTATATAAATATATGTAACTTAAAATGGGGTGTCGTAGTGAAAAAAGAAAAAAAAATTGCGTCCTTCGTTTATAAATTACAATGTAGTAATAATATTTTTGTCTATAAACAAATTTTCGACATCCCGTTTTTTAGACCAGAAAATTTTGCGCGTTACCTCGTGACACCAACTATTTTAGATAAATTAATAATATTTAAATGTGTGTAAGAATGTAGTGCAAATTATAGAATGAAAAAAAAAAAAAAAAGAAAAATTGTGATTAATTCTTCTCTATTTTTTCAATTAAAACAAATTATTGTTGAATTTAAGTCACAATTTAAAAAAAAGAAAGTGAAAAATACTTTTCTAATTTCGGAATATCTATTCTATTAGAAAAAAAAATTTATTACCAATTCTTATTCTCAATCATAAAAAATTACTTTTTTACAAAAAAAAAATTGTAATATAAATTAAAAACACAAAAATTAATATTGAAACACATAAGAAACATTTGTGATATAAAATTTCAAATTTTTTTTTTATTTAAATTAAAAAGCAAGGTTGTGAATCATCTATATAAATTATTTAATGAAATTGGAAAATAAAAATGGGAAATTAAGTTTTGCACTACCTGAGTGTCTAATCGATGTTGAATGTAAAATGTTTGCGTAGCTTAAGTGTTACGAAAAAATAAATCGAAAGTTTTAAATAGGCAAAATATTTCTTTTGAAAAGAAAAAAAAATTGTATGAATATTGTAAATACAATATAACAAAAAATGTTGACACAAGAGAGAGAGAGAGAGGGGGGGGGGGGTAAATAACTGTAGCTTGAAGCAAAAATCTTATTCATTGGAATTTTTTAATCTGTTAAAAAAAACAATATGAAAAATATAATTTAGAATTAATGTACTTTACGGACGTTATTGTCATATTATATATATATATTATTGAAAAAAACAAACAATACCCTAAAAACTGGAATTACGTAAATACGTAATAAACAAACGAACAAGAAATTTAAAAAAAAATACCTATGTAATTTTAAAAAGCAAAATTGACTGGCGTACATACACTGAAAAAATGTGATGTCTATATTTAATTTTCAACTGAAATTTTTTTCAATAATAATCAATTAATATTTTAACATTCTTAGACTTTTTTCTTTTATTTATTTTATATTTAATGAAAATAGAAGTCAAATTTTTTAGGAGTTGTTAAAAAAAAGAATTGTGAAGCACCAGTTTTTTCAGTGTAATAAGTACGAATTTATGTATGTAATTATAAATTATAAATACTTATGATAATTATCAAATTACTGATATGTATCATAGATTTGATGTTTATATTATAGAAATAAAAAAAAAAGGAATGGCTGTGTTTCAGTCCATCTGTCTTTTTCGAAAGACAGACTCAAATCTGTAAGGAAAAATCACACGGAATAAAGAATAATATTATATTTAATATATCGTTTTTTTTTTACCCTTATTTCATAAAAACAAAAGTCATCTGAGAATTAAAATTAAGTTTTAAAAAATTAATTTTCTAATTTGTAAAATTAATTCTCGTCTTTGCGCGCAAAAGCAGCTAGTTTACTAGAAGTGGATTTTTTTGCTTCACTTACGGGCATTGTTTCATCGGTTTCACTTAATTTTCTTTTTTTCGTCTCCTCATTATCGTCTTTCGTTGAATCCACATCATCCGGCATATTTCGATATTTTTCTAAACATTTTGCTGTTAATTCTGTTGCATTCATACCAGGAAATTCTTCCTCTAATTTCTTTTTATTTCTAACGTACCATTTCACATAACTCTCTTTTTTTGTTGGAAGTTTCTCTTTTGTTTTTATTGATGGCTTTTTTATTTTCTGTAATATTGGCGATGTTATTGGTAATTTTTTTGGCTCATCACGTGTATCAAGCGCTAATAAACCAGTTACTTCTGGTGGTTTTTTTGTTTTTTTAAATGGATTTCTTTTCATCATTCCTTGACTATAAGTTAATGGACGAATTTCAATTTCGGGTTTTTTCATAAGAACTGGTAATATTGGTTCTTCTTCTTCTTCTTCTTCAACAACAATTTCATTTGTCATTTTATCATTTTCAGCCTTTTCAAGCTCTTGTTTTGCTTGCTCTTGAATTTTATTATCACCTATTGATTCTAATTTATTGGCGAGAGCCATTTTACCATTACGTGCCGCGTACTTGATGGCCAAATCTATTACTTTTGGTGAAGCAATTTGTTGACATAATTCAACAGCACGGAATTCCACTTTACTGCGACATGCGAGCTAATTAGGGGGAGAGGGATGAAAATAATTCCGTTAAATATTTTTTTTACATTTATAAATAAATTTAAACTAAAATTTTTGAAGATTTAAAAAAGTAAAAAAAATTCTTTTTACCGCAATAAGCATAAGAACAGCTTCGTTTTCTTCCTCGGGAAGACTTCCAATTTGCCATACTTTAGCTTCTTTCTCTGATTTTTCTGTGTCAGGTTCACATAATGGTATAATTATTGGTATTTCTTGAACAATTGGTCTTGGATTTGTTGGGGGATAATAACTTCCTTTACAAAGAATACATCTTATGATTCTTTCGGATTCACTAATTCCAGTTATGAAAAAATTATCCATTTTACCCTTTGGCTAAATAAAGGAATTAAAAAATAATTTTTTAATTATGCAGTGCTTAATATTTTTTTTTTTTTTTTGAAATCTTTACCTGTCTGTCTGTATCGCATGCCACCATCCACATTGAAGATTTTTTGTCGTACATTTTAACGACACCCTCGGTATCCATTATCGTTGGAGAATGAAGGTCAGACAAACCGAGCCACATTAATTTCGATGCTGGTGACAATGGTACTTCTAATTTTTGACTTCGTAAATTTTGTCCAATTATTTTAATCCACAGCATATTCATATGTTGATCGTCAGATGCACCTTATTTATTATTATTAATAATTAAAATATATAATACATAACAATTATTATTTGATTGAAAATAAAATTACCAATTCCCGTGTGATATGTTACTAAAAGATGATTATTGAAGCCATTCATAGCAACAATTGGTCCAGGAATTGCAATTATTTCGCGTTGTGTTCCTCCAATCATGAAAATTCGAAGATTTCTTCTATCGGTGCCAACGGCTACAAAAGTTGTACCAACTGCAACACATTGGGCTTCTTCGCCTTCTGGAAGATCGATGGACCATTCTTTGTTTCCTGAACCCCAACCTTTTTTTTTTTTAAATTAATATAAATAATTAATTTATTTTACTAGTTTGCATTTTTGAAATTAAAAAAGAAAAAATAATTCACCTTGTAATACAACGACAACGAGTTTACTTGATGTTTCTTCGCTGGAAGTGCAACACATAGCAAGTGCTTCAGTAGAAAGTGCTGCCATTGTATGATGCAAATAATTGCTAATTCGTATTGAATGATGAACTGATGTATCGTGAAATTGCACTTCTATACTTGATGATTCTTCACCATCTTCCACGGTATAACACATTACAATTCCTACGTCATTCCATACCTATAATTATAATAATTTTTATTTTATTCATTTAATTAATCAAAATTGAAAAATTTTTTTCTTTTGTAAATTAGAATACAATAAAAAACTAAAATAGTATAATAATACCATGTAACGTGAGAGTAAATGTTCCGGTGTTGAACTCGGTTGAAATGGTTCTTGTAAATTAATAACTGGCAATAATTTTTTAGTTTCTTCAGCAACTCTCTCGCTTAAAAGATCAGTGACACTTTTTTGATCTGGATCAAGATTAACTGATGATTTAATTTTATTCAATGATATCACATTTTCATTGTCCTCATCGTCATCATCGTCATTATAATCGTTGGCAAATTCTAAATTATTCTCATAGTCATTTCCATTTATTGCATCACTCGATGTCAAACTATTTAATTGATCTGTTCCAGCACTTAGCTACAAAATTTAATGTTTTAGTTAATTTTGGTATTTAATATTAAATTATTATTACTTACCACTTCAATGCAACCCAATTGACCCAATGCATCACAAAAGGCAATTTCCTTTGGTTTATCTGGATACCAACAAAATGAAGTGATTTTCGCATTTTGCTGATGATCAATGTATCCTAAAACACCTTTATTATCCAAATCCCATACAATTATTTCACCATAAAATGAACTAGCTGCTATACGTGTACCGCATTCGGAAAATTTACATATACTTATTTCCTGATAATTAAAATATAAATTTCAATTAAAAACATCGAAATATAAATTAAAATCTATTAATATTTCTATTAAAAATTTAAATATATTATTAAATTATAAATTAATAATCACGGTTTTAAGATCTGGACATTTGAGCCTGAAAGCCTCTTTCCAAGTTGATCGTTCAACGACAATGACATCTTTCCCATGGGGATATGCGAGAAAATCGCCATTATTACAATTAAATGAAGGTACACAATATATTTTTGCTGTTAAAAATGAATTACATTTTGGAACTACATTATTCCATGTGTGAACACTTCGTTTTTCTTTTATATTCCAAACTCGAATTGTTCCATCGGCACTTGAAGAGGCCTGAAATTAATTTTATTTTATATATATATATATTTTTTTTTTATTTAAAAATTGAGGAACATTTTTTTTTTTTACTCACTACGAACTCTTCTTTTGGATCTAAAGATAAACCTAATATTGGAGCATCGTGACCAGACAATACTGTCGTTTCCAAAGTATCTATATTTGTCACATGAATTTGCATATCGCTGAAAAAAAAAATTTATTTTTGTTAATATTTTACATTTAGAAAAATTATAATAATAAATTTCGTAATTAAGAAAATATAACAAGAAACATAATAAATAAAATATAAAAGAAAAACAAATTTTTCAATTTAAAAAAAAAAAGTACAAAATTTAAAATAAATAACATTAAATTTATTTTTTTTAAATTGTAATTTTCTTTCTCTCTTCATAACAATATGTTTTAATTTAAAAATATTAAATTTTTTGGCTAATTAAATAAAATTCAATAATTTACCATGCACCGGACGCAATGAGTTTACTATTTTTCGTTGTAGCTAAAGCTGAAATAGTTGCTCCAAATCTCGTAACGATTCCTTCTTTTTCAAGTTCTGGATAGCTAAGTATCTGAACTGTATTATTATCATTGCCAACATATATTTTACCATTCTAAAATAATTAAATTAATTATTATTGTTTATAAATAACTTGATTACATTGTCAATGGAAAATAATTTTTTTTTTTTTATCTTCACCTTTGAAATAACAGTTGTCGATTGTTCTGAAACACAATTTGTCGCAGGATCATCGTCCATTAAACTGAGCCAGGATCTAACATCTCCATCAGAACCACATGTAATAAGACCACCTCTGAAATTGTAAAAAAGAAAAAAAAATTCGTAAAAATTACATTAAAAAAAAAACATTGTTAATTAATTTTTTTAATAATTAGTAATAATAATCAAATTATTAAAATGTATAATTACTTAAAAATTATGTAAATATTACAAATTATTTACCTAAAATAAATTATAATTAATTAAATTATATTAATTAAAAATATCCAAATTTAAAGACCCATAAAGCTAACCAACAAATATTAACTTACTTTTCTCCGGAAAAATAACAGACGTCGGTGTGGCCTTCTGGATGCGCATATCGCATAGGCTTTTTATTTAACGACATTTTCTTCAAAATAATACTAAATTATCTATAAAAAATAATTATTTACATAAATATTTAACGAAAAATTATGAGTATAAACACATCACATGCAGGAATTAAAATGACATTTTGGCGGGTAAACAACCAGGGTTTTGTAACTCGACACACTTTTCATGTAAACGAACCTTTATGTTCGTTGTATTTTGGCATTATTTTCCCAACCTTGCTGTCAACAATAAACGTCGTGTTATTATAATTTATAATTGAAAAAGTGATTATAAAAATTATTATAAATATGTTACAGGTGACTTTTTTTAATAATAAGCCAATTTACAAATAATGTTTTCTTATATCTAATGTATTTAGGAATATTTACAGAAGTGTCAACCGCTTTAGACTGAACATAACCTATAGACAAATTTGGTGCGGTATAATATTTAAAAAAACAACCACCTTATACCAAAAAAAATGTATTCTATTTGTAAAAATACACATCCTGCAACCGGCGTTGAACATGCAATAACGTGCTATTTTTTTAATCGCTCGGAAAAATGTTTGGTTGTCGCCGGAGCGAATATTATACGAGTTTTCCGACTAATTCCCGATGTCGACAGTACAAAAAGAGAAAAATACACAGGTACTTTTTGTATTTTTTTTAAATTAAATCATTTATTAACAATATTTTATAATTTATTTACTAAAAGGGTTTCCTATTACAAATATTATAACTGTTCATTAATTTTAGAATCACGTCCACCAAAAATGAAACTAGAATGTCTGGGACAATTTACACTACATGGAAATGTAATGTCTATACAATCAGTTCGTCTAATGGGATCTCCAAGAGATTCACTACTTTTAGGTTTTCGCGATGCTAAACTATCAGTTGTTGAATATGATTTAGAAACACATGATCTACGATCTGTATCTTTACATTATTTTGAAGAAGAAGAAATGCAGGTAACAATATTATAGATACTTATAATAATAATAATAATTTATTAATTTTTATTCGTAATGAAAAAATTATTTATTCAGGATGGATGGACAAATCATCATCATGTTCCAATAGTGAGAGTTGATCCCGAAGGTAGATGTGCTGTTATGTTAATTTATGGACGAAAATTAGTTGTTTTACCATTTCGTAAAGATCCAACATTAGACGATGCCGAAGCTGAAATTACAAGATCTAGCAAGGCGCCTATTTTATCGTCTTACATGATTATTTTAAAGAATTTAGAAGAGAAAATGGATAATATCATTGATCTTCAATTTTTGTATGGATATTATGAACCAACTTTATTAATTTTATATGAACCAGTTCGAACATTTTCTGGGTTAGTTGACAAAAAAAAAAATTTGGTTATTCAATTAATTAAATAATTATTTTTATTAATATTGACAATTTATTCAGGCGTATTGCAGTGAGACAAGATACTTGTGCAATGGTAGCGATATCATTGAATATTCAACAGAAAGTTCATCCAATTATTTGGTCAGTGTCAAATTTGCCATTTGATTGTTGTCAAGCAGTGCCAGTGAAAAAACCACTTGGCGGAACATTAATAATGGCTGTAAATTCTTTAATTTATTTAAATCAAAGTATACCGCCTTATGGAATATCATTGAATAGTTTAGCTGATACGAGTACAAATTTTCCTCTCAGTAAGTGATTTATTTAGATTTTCAATTATTTCCGTTATAATTTATTTTTACAATTTTTGTATTACGTATTTTAATTGATTATTATTTTTTTCAAAGAACCTCAAGAAGGAGTGAAAATAAGTTTAGAAGGAGCGCAAGTTGCTTTTATATCGTCTGATCGATTAGTAATGTCTTTGAAAAGTGGAGAATTATATGTTTTGTCACTTTTTGCTGATAGTATGCGATCTGTGAGGGGTTTTCATTTTGATAAAGCAGCCGCTAGTGTTTTAACTTCATGTGTAAGTATATTTTTTTTAGTAAAATTAAAAAAATTTATGTAAATTAATAATTACTATAATTATTTTTAATAATAATAGGTTTGTCTATGTGAAGAAAACTATCTGTTTCTTGGTTCTCGACTTGGAAATTCATTGCTATTGAAATTCACAGAAAAGGAAAATGAAAATACATCAAATAATCGTAATTCGGATTTATTTTTTGCGGATAATACTGGAGAAACACCGGCAAAAAAAGTGAAGCAAGATTTTTTGGGCGATTGGATGGCTTCCGATGTTTTGGATATTAAAGATCCGGAAGAATTAGAAGTCTATGGAAATGAGACGCAAACGTCTATTCAAATTACTTCCTACAGTTTTGAAGTTGGTTGATTTTAATTAATTTTTTAAATTGAAAATTTTTTTATATTAAATATTTCATTTTTTGATAGGTTTGTGACAGTTTATTAAATATTGGACCATGTGGGAATATTTCAATGGGAGAGCCAGCATTTTTATCGGAAGAATTTTCTCACACTCAAGAACCGGATGTTGAATTGGTTACAACTTCAGGTTATGGGAAAAATGGTGCACTTTGTGTTTTACAAAGATCTATTCGTCCTCAGGTATTTTTTGATGAATTCATTTATTATTACTAATTTTAATAGGTTAATAAATTTTTGCAAAATTTTATGGATTTATTGTATAATATTAAACGCGTGAAAATAAAATTTCAGGTTGTCACTACATTTGAACTTCCGGGTTGTGAAGACATGTGGACTGTAATTGGTCCGGTAAATGACGAACTTGATAAATCAGAAACAGACGGAGTACATGCGTTTTTAATTTTGAGTCACGAAGATTCGACAATGGTAACATTAAAAATTTTTTATTTATATTATATTCTATTTTATTACGTATTTATTCAGTATTTTATTTATTTTATTTATTTGATAGATTCTTCGAACCGGACAGGAAATTAATGAGGTTGATCAAAGTGGATTTAGTACACAAGGAACAACTGTTTTTGCTGGTAATTTAGGAGGAAACAAATATATAATTCAAGTTACACAAAATGGTGTACGTTTAATGATTGGTACCGAACAGGTAAGAAACAAAATAACATTTAATTCTTATATTTAAAAAAATTTATATATTAAAAAATATTCTCTGTAAATAGATTCAACATATGCCAATGGATTTTGGTTGTCCCATTGTATACGCAAGTTGTGCAGATCCATATGTTGTTTTGCTTACTGAAGATGGACAAGTAATTTTATTAACACTTAAGGAACAACTTACAAGAGGATCAGCACGATTACACGCTCAATCTGCGGATTTATTATACGTAAGAGAAATATTATTTTCAATTTCATTATTTCTTTTGAAATTTAATTTATTTGATTTATATAATTTATAATCGTATTTTTTTTAATTTGAGAGTAAATTGAAGTTTTGTAAATATATTTTTTGTGAATATTTTTTTTTTCTTTTTTAGCGACCACAAATAGAAGCTATTTGTGCGTACAGAGATGTAAGTGGTCTTTTCACAACACAATTAGCTGAGGAAGTGGACGAAGAAGCGGCAGAAAAAGATAAACGTCCTGATGAACCAACAATGGTGGAAACAATTGATAACGAGGATGATTTACTTTATGGCGATGCTCCCGCTTTTCAAATGCCTATAATTTCACAACCTAAAGCCACTGATTCAACTACTAAGAAAAGTCCATGGTATTTCAATTAATTTTCAATAATTTAATGGCTATTTAATGGAATAAAATTAATTTTAATTTAAAATATTGTTTTAAATTCTGATTTAGGTGGCAGAAATTTCTTCAAGAAATCAAGCCCACATATTGGTTACTTGTTTATAGAGATAGTGGAACTTTGGAAATTTATTCACTTCCCGATTTACGTTTATCGTATTTGATAAAAAATTTTGGTTTTGGACAACAAGTTTTACACGATAGTATGGAATCGACGACTGTTACTCCAACGCATGTAAATGAAATTCCAAATCCGCAAATTCAGGTAAATTTTTGATAATTTTCAATAGAAAAATAAAAATATTTTAAATAATTAAAATAATTTAAAAATTTTTTCGTTTAATAGGTTCGTGAGATTTTAATGGTCGCTTTAGGTCATCATGGAAATAGACCAATGCTTCTACTTAGATTAGATAATGAATTGCAAATCTATCAAGTTTATAAGTATCCTAAAGGTTATTTAAAATTGAGATTGAAAAAATTGGATCATGGCATTATACCAGGAAGTTTAAGGTGATTTAAAATTAAAATTCTAATTTTTTACAATTATAAAAATTGAAATATTTTTCTCATATTTATTTTGTTTTATAACTAGGCCAAAATTTAAGGAGGAAGATACAATGCAAGATGATAGACGTATTTCCGTTATGCGCTATTTCAGTAATATTGCTGGTTACAATGGAGTTTTTATCAGCGGTGATTATCCTCATTGGATATTTTTAACAGGACGCGGTGAATTGCGTGCTCATCCAATGACAATTGACGGACCAATTAAATCGTTTGCTCCATTTAATAATGTTAATTGTCCACAAGGATTTTTGTATTTCAATAGAAAGGTAAATTATTTTTTTTTATTTGTGAAATTGTATTTTCAAGAAAAGAGAAGAATAAAACGAATTTAAAAATATTTTAATTTCCTTTTTTTTCTGTTTAGGAGGAATTGCGTATTTGCGTTTTACCAACTCATCTCTCGTATGATGCTCCATGGCCTGTGAGAAAAGTACCTTTACGATGTACACCACATTTTGTCACTTATCATCTTGAGAGTAAAACTTATTGTGTAATAACAAGCACTGGTGAACCTTTAAAAAGTTATTATCGATTTAATGGTGAAGACAAGGTGAGAAGTTTTCTTTTTTTAAAAAAAAAAGAAAATAAAAAAAATTAATAATAATTATTAATTTTTGTGTAGGAATTCACAGAGGAGGAACGTTCCGATCGATTTCCATTTCCAATTCAAGAACAATTTTGTATTGTACTATTTTCGCCAGTATCGTGGGAAACAATTCCAAATACAAAAATCGAATTGGATCAATGGGAACATGTGACTTGTTTAAAAAATGTGTCTTTAGCTTACGAGGGAACAAGATCTGGTCTTAAAGGTTATATTGTACTTGGAACAAATTATAATTATGGTGAAGATATTACCAGCAGAGGACGAGTAAATAATTTTTTCTATATATTTTAAAAGAATCTTTAATTTTTCAAAATGAAAAAATTTATTATACTTATAGCAAAATTAAAATACTATAACAATAAAAAATTGTTAAAATTAAAAATATGAAATTAAATTAAAAGTAATTTGAAAAAAAATTTTGAATTTAATTCGTTTATTAAATTAAATTTGCAGATACTTATTTTCGACATCATTGAAGTTGTTCCGGAACCAGGTCAACCATTGACGAAAAATCGATTTAAGCAAATTTATGCAAAAGAACAAAAAGGACCGATTACGGCTATTACTCAAGTGTCAGGATTTTTAGTGTCTGCTGTCGGACAAAAGGTAAAATATTCGTAAATAAATATTTGAATTAGTTTTTAAATTAGATCATAAATTATAAAATACATTTACAATTTTTATTAATAATTTGTATTTTTTTGGATAAATAATATTTTCTATTTTTAGATTTATATTTGGCAATTAAAAGACAATGATCTCGTGGGCGTTGCATTTATAGATACACAGATTTACATTCATCAAATGTTGAGTATTAAGAGTTTAATTTTGATAGCTGATGTATATAAATCAATAAGTCTGTTGAGATTTCAAGAAGAGTATCGAACTCTTTCACTCGTGAGCCGAGTAAGTAAATAAACAATATTTAAAATATAATTTCTTTTTTTTTTTAGATTAATTTTGCAAAAATACTTATTTTTCTTTTATTTAGGATTTTCGTCCTGCGGAAGTTTTCACGATAGAATATTTAATTGATAACAATAATTTGGGTTTTCTTGTGGCCGATGGTGAAAGCAATTTTGCACTATTCATGTACCAGCCAGAATCGAGGGAAAGTTTAGGTGGACAGAAATTAATTCGAAAAGCAGATTTTCACTTAGGTCAAAAAGTGAATTCATTTTTCCGAATTAAATGTAAAACTGTCGATCCGGCTAATAATAGAAAACAAATTGCTGGTGCTGATAAAAGACATATTACTATGTATGGTAAGTTATGAAAAAATCAAATTGTTACAAGTTATAATTTTTCTGATATTAAATTAATTAATTGACAATAATATAATAAATAAAAAGAATATTTGTTTAATTATTTATTGTAATTGTTATTGCAGCTACTTTAGATGGAGGCCTTGGTTATATTCTTCCAGTTCCTGAGAAAACATACAGAAGATTGCTTATGTTACAAAATGTGTTACTGCAACACATTTGTCACATTGCAGGTTTAAATCCAAAATCCTATCGGTAAGTTTTTTTTTTACCATATTTTTTATTCTATTTTACAAAAAAAAAAAAGGAAAATTAATTTTTCATATTTCTTCGTAGAACTTACAAAAGTTTTGTACGGCTTCAAGGAAATCCAGCGAGAGGTGTAATTGACGGCGATCTAATTTGGAAATATCTTAATTTACCGTTTAATGAAAAATCAGAGGTAGCGAAAAAAATAGGAACACGAATTCCAGAAATTATAGAAGACATAGAAGAAATTAATCGATTGACAGCACATTTTTGATTTGTTTCACATTTTCCACAGAGAATACAAGTAATGAACAAAAGTGCCTTTATTCTGATTGCAAATTCTAATTATTATTATTATTATTAATTAGTTGTATCAAATTTTTTTCTATATAATATAATGTATATAGAAATAGTTGTTTTATTTTCGAGAAAATTAAATTTAAGACGAAAGGCACCTATATTCATTACTATGTTGATAATGAAAAAAAAAACACTGTTTCGCGAACCAGTCATTTATTTTTGTGTAATATTTTTTACATTATTTGTATATTTAAAAAAAAAAAGAGTATGAATGGAATGGAAAAATTGAGAATAATGTGATGTAAATGTATTAATAGATCATTAAATAAGAAAACTTTTTAAAAATCAATATAAAGTTAATTATTTTTTCACTAAAGTTAGATGATTCATTTTTAACAAAAAAATTTTAATATCTTTACTATTAGGATAGTTTTTGGAAAAAATGTGTAAACATTATGTAAGTATATTTTTAATTTTGATTTTCTATAACATTTTTATTTATTTTTTTTCTTTATTACAGAAGAAAATTTAATAATTTTTATTATTTGCTGCAAAATGAGACCCTCGATTCAAAAACAATTGTCAATAGAAAGTACAACATTAAATCGTAAAAATTTTTTTGCAAACAGAACTTCGAAAGATAATTATCATCCAGGGCAATGTAAGTTGAAATGTAAATATACAAATTGTAAAATTAATTTTTATTATTAAAAAAATATATATGAATTATTCAATGCAAAAATATATATCCTTTTTCTCGTCGTTTTCTTCTAGTGATATTGATTAAACAAGTGAATTACGAATTACATTTGAGAAACAATATTGTAATATTACTACTTGAATTATTTGAAATTTAATTATATTTAAAATCAAAATTTAGTATAAAATTATAAACAATTTTCTATTTATTTAAAAAAAAGTAAATATTATTAAAATTAATTAAATCCTTGTTAGAATGATTTTTATTTATAAAATATTAAATAATTAAATAATTCTCAATTTTAAGTTAATTAAATTTCAATTTTTAAATTGCAGTGACATTAGAACCAACTTTATTGGAGAAAAGATTAATTGAAGCATTCGACGTTTTTGATAATGCAAGAAGTCATGAAGTTGATGTTAGAGATTTGGGAACTATCATAAGATCATTAGGTAAACATTTTTTTTTTTCTCTTATTGAAATTTATAATTTGCAATAAATTAAAAATTTTTTTTTACAGGATGTGTAATAACAGAAGCGGAACTACAGGAAATACAAGTTGAAGTTGAAGATGTAGAAAATAATTGTGTACCACAAGAACGATTTGTTGAGTACATGTGCAAATCAATAAGCGAGCGAAAGTAAATTTTTTTTAAAGAAATAAATTATTGAAAATAATTTGATTGAAATTAAAGAATTCTTTTGTTTTCGTATAAATATTTTAGATTTAGACCAGCGGATCCTGAAGACTTGTTGAAGGCCTTTAAATTATTGGATGTGGAGGATCGTGGTCATATTATGAGAAAAGATTTGGAAAAAGCTTTAATGGAAGTTGGCGAACCATTTTCCAAAGAAGAAATTAATGAAATGATGGCAATTGCCTGTGATCCTGAAACTGGTCGAATTAATTATGAACATTACATTAATTTATTAATAGTAAGTAAATTTTATGTTTGAATTTTTTAAGTTTCTAAACATTTTTTTTTCTTATATTTAGAATAAAAATCCCGATGTATATTCTATTTATGAAAAAGAACAAGAATTATTATTAGCAAACGTGCCAAAAAAACGAGCACTTGACAGCATGTTATTGAAAGAATGATAATATAATTGCATGATAAAAAAAAAATGTCACATGTAATTTATCATATCAAACATTTAATATACTAAACTTTTTTTTAATACTTAACATAAATCATTATAAAAAATTATCTTCTTTTACATTTTTTTATAAAAAATAATTGTTTTTTTTAGTCTTGTCAAATAGTAGTAAAAATAATATTTTATTATTATATTAAAGAAATAATAATAAAATATTATTATTAATAATTCGTTAATTGTATTTTACAATTTTGAAAATACTGGTGGATCATCTTTTGTTGCCTGGGCCACAACTGCGTTTATGAAGTCTTCACTTTGTAGCATTGCTTGATTGCGCTCTCTCTGAAATATTTAATTATTTATTGAAATAATAAATTTTCAATTTGATACTTTTTCCAAAAGCTTTACAATTATTTACATTTTCTAGGTTGATTAATCAGCAAAATATGCAGACTCATTGTTTAACTTTCTGGTAAGTCAGATAATTATTTATCATTAAATTTAATTTTTTGTCACGTAATTATTAAATCAATTTTTAATTAGTAAGTTTGAGACAAAAAATATACTAACAATGTGATCCAATCCTTCGTCAACGGTATGATCTCTTGAATAATTTAAACTGATTTTAGTTGTTTGTACAGCCACAGGACTTTTACTTGCAATTTCTTCAGCTAATGATAGAGCTTCATTAAACAATCTGGAAAGTTTTTTTTTTTAATTTGAATTTTATTAAAACTAATTTAATAATAGTTTTCATTGAAAAAAAATTTATATTTGAAATTGAAAATTTAATTGCAATAACATTTACGCTAAATTGTAAAAGAAACAATTAATTTACTTTTCTTCATTGTCGAAAACTCGATTTACAAAACCACATTGAAGTGCTTCGTTTGCCGGCAATTTTCGTCCTGTTAACGCTAATTCACGAACCAAACTATTAGATCCTATAATTTTTGGCAGTCGTTGTAATGTTCCAACATCTGCGGCCATACCAATGTCAATTTCTTTTATTTGAAACCATGCATTTGATGAACAATATCTTATGTCAGTTGCAGAAAGCATATCAACTGCTGCACCAACACATGCACCGTGAGCTGCTCCAATTACTGGTTTTGGACACTAGAATTACAAAAATAAATCTCATTTAATTTTTACTCTGTTTTAATAATCAGCTTAACTTTTAACTATATAACATAAATAGCAATAAATAATATATGAAATAAATTACTGAATATTTAAATTTAAAAAAAAATTTAACAACCTTTTCAATAGAAGTGCACGTATCTTGATAAGTTTTAATTTTCTTATTCATAAATTTACATTTTCTTGCAATATCATCATGTTCTGCTAATCCCTGTCCAAAGCTCATTGCATCCTTTAAATCCAAACCTAAGAAAAATTAACAAAAAAAATTTATTAACTAAAAAATTAGATTTTTTAAAAATTCAATTTAAAAAAATAATAAATACCTGCGCAAAAATTTTTTCCAACGCCTGATAAAACAATAACACGACAATCTGCATTTTCTGCTAGTTCATTAAAGCATTCGGTAATTTCTCTACAATTTAATACATAATTAAGCCTTCTATTTTATTTTCTTTTTTTTTTTTTTACTAAAATGTTGATTTTTAAAATTTTTTACGTACATCCACATTTTATTGTTTAATGCATTCAAATTTTTTGGTCTATTCAGTTGTACATTAAACACAAATGGTTTTGTTTCTGTAACAAGAAGAGTTTCATATTGTTTCTTTCCGGATGCTGCACTTGATAAATTCATCATTTGGGAATCTGTAATTACAAATGAAAATTTTAGAATCTTTTTTTTTTTTTAAATAAACTTTTATTATTTCTTATTTATTTAAATGAAACAAGTATGGAAATTCAAAATTCTTATGTGAGAAATATAAATAAAAGAATAAAGTATTTAAAAAAGAAAAAAAAGAATCAAAAATTAAAAAAGAGAGAAAAGTTAAAAAAAAGAGTAAAATATTCAAATATAGTAAATTACATAAAATTAAATTAAATTTTAATTGAAAAAAAAGATACAAAACTGAAAAATCATACAAATCACTCGTCCTGGTCGCAATACTTGCAAAAGACGTGAATTCATAATAAAAAATAACTATTTATGTGAAAAATAATAAATATTGAACAAGTACTTAGTAAAGTTAAAATAAAATTTGTATCACTTGCTCCAAAAACAGACGTTTAAATACACTCCAGATTGAAAACAAATCAAAATTTATATTAAGATCAAAGTCCAGCATGAGCAAAGCAGATCTACACAGGGATAAAAAAAATCCTGAGTCATATAACTATTTGTAAATACATTCCCATCCCTGGCGTTCATCACTCTCCCTCTCTCTCTCACAAAAAAAGGTTTTAAAATTTATTTTTTATATATTAAAAATTAAAAAATTTTATTTTTATCAAAATGTAAAAAATATTCTAAAAGTTCCTGAACTATTATTAAACAACTTGTATCGAAAAATAATAATACTGTATGGCATATATCGATAAACAAGAGTTTTTTTTTTAAATTAAAACTTAAGATAGTATTAATTAATGGATTTTTTCCGATTTTGCTCCAAAAATAAAAAAAAAAAATGTTAAAATTATCATTTGTCATCTTCCTGTTGCTCTAAAAATTGTTGTAATAAAGCTTTGTCCAAAGGAATAGTTAAATATTGTATTCCATCAACTCCACGTTTTTCTTTAATTAATTTATGATCGAGAAATTCCGTTAGCTGTGTTCGTAAAGTAATTTCATTCGTAACGAAAAATCCTTCTCGTGCTTTCTGATACAAATCTTTAAATGCCATTCCTAAAAAAAAAAAAGAAGAAAGTAATATAATACAAAAAATTTTTAATTAATTTCACGTTAAATAAAAATTTTACCTTGATAATGTGCATGTGCATTTTCTATTTGATAATTGACTAAAATAATATAAACAGAACGCGATTTATCCGGTAAGGATAAAAAGACATTGTGAAGCGATGATAATGCCAAAGCTCCACTTTGACGAATCATTAACGAATTTTCATATGAAGTTTCATCTTTATATGGCATAAATGTCGTTGCATTACACCAATAAAAATTGTACCTTGCACGTTTCGCATTATCCCATACTAATTGGAAATTAAAGAAATTATTTTAATTTCAAAAGAACAGAATTAATATTAAATTAACTAATAAATTGGCTAATAATAATTATTATAATAATAGATTGATAAATAATAACGGTGGACAAAATTTACTTACGGAGAGAAGCATGAATATGATCAACTGAAGCAACGAGATGTAAATTAGGAAAACTTGCAAGATACGAAAGTTTATCCTGAATTTTTTTCAAACGTAACGCAGGTCCATCAATATTATGGATCAATAAATAAATTCTATCATTGGGATGTTTTTTCAATGTTGCCTCAATTAATTCCATACAATCATTCACATTACTCGGCACTTCTAAATCCATTAAATCCTTAATTATTCCATCGAGTATCTATTTAAAAAAAAATTTATTTAATTTTAAAAACAAAATTACCTAAATAAATGAAATATTTATAATTTATTGAAAAATTCACCTCTTTTAATGTTAAACTTGGAAAAAATCCATTTATAATCAAAGCTGGACAACCCTTGATTCGTTGCTGTTGAAATTCATGAATTAAACTTCGTTTCGAACCAAGGCCGTGTAACAAAATACTAAAACCTTCTCTGTAATAATAAATTTACAAATGTATTTAAATTAAAAAATTGTTTCCAAATTTTTGAATATAAATAAAAATTATATTAAAACATATTACAAAAAAAAGAAGGAATATTTTAATATTCAATTTTAATTAGATTATAACTTACTTTAACATAAAATGCCAAAAACTAAACATTGTAATATTTCTTTCGTGTAGACGAGCAATTCCTTCGGAATGATAATCGGAGATATGTAAATTTTTCTCCAATAATTTATCTATTGTTTCTTTGTCCAATTTAGCAGTTTTTAATCTTCCAAGCGTATGATTGGACGTTAAAATCTTTTCAGATTGAGATTCAAAATATTCTTCTGTATTGTAATGCTGTAATATAATTAAATTATTTTAATATAATGAAATAATTAATTTTCGTATAATTATCAATAATTGACATGTTTATCCTAAAAATTAATAAAAAAAAAAATTTACCATTTCTTTATAATCATTCTTATTTGCAGATATTTTTTTACTAGACGAAGAAACAGGAAGTTTTTTAATTTTTTGTTTAATTGGTGCACCTCCTACTGCTTCATTTTCAGATTCATCTTGATCCATTTCTACGGTTTTATCATTATCATCATTATTATCACCATTCGAGTAACTTTTTTTATTATTTATCCTTTTTCCTTGATTTTCATCATCATCTTCCTCTTCTTCTACATCATCATCACTTTCATATTCTTCAGTATCGTCTGAATCATCCAATTCATATTCACTGTCTTCAGACACACTTTCTTCTATATCTTCTGTATCACTTAATAATTCTTTTATAAAATGCTCTATATCTATATCTATATTAAATTACAATTATTATTTTTTTTATTTGTATGCAATTTTATATTATTTAAAAACATAAGCAAAAAAAAAAAAATGTTAACAAACCATTTTTTCTCGATGTATTTGCTTTTGAAGTATTAATCTTCTCGACATATACAATTGGAATTTTAATTTTCTCCGTTACACATGATTTTGCTTTATCTATCATCTTTCCTCGTTTAAATCCTTCTTCTTGTTTATAAATATTTTTGCCACTTACATCAACGTTTTCATCAAACAATGCTATAAGAAAAAAACACAAAAATATAATATACAAAAATAGAAATATCATTTATTAAAATATGATAAAAAAAATGCACGTACTTCTCGATACATGGTTTTCTACTTCAATTTGTATATTTTCTCGATCAAAAACATCTGTTTCATTAATCATTCGTCGTCTCAAGTTTGAATTCGCTGAAAATAATAATAAAAAAAAAAGAATTACCAAAAATCGGATTACATTAAATTTTACTTAAAACAAAAAAACAATTAAATATTTATAATAACGCACTACTAAAATAGATAAACAATATATAATTATTAATAAATAATTTCAATAACTAAATTTATATTTACATGTTCCTGATTTTTTTGCGGATCGTGTCAGACGTTTTTCTGTTTTATTGTTCATAGTGATTTAAATATAACGCAAAAGCAGTTATAAACAAATATTAAAAACTAATAATTGTTAACTAAACTACTGTTGTATTTTTTTTAAATAAAAAAGTAATTAAGAATGTTTACAATAAACGCAATAAACTTTTTGAACACAGCTCAACAATAACATGCGGTTGTTTATAGGTTATGTATTTTGCCGCGAAAATGTTTAAGAATTTATTTTAACATCTCGCTGTCCGAAAAAAAATATACGAACAAAATGATTGGTTGTTGAAATCAAGTTCTACTTGAAGAACCTATTAAATTTGTGCATTTTGTTTATTTTGTCCTCAACAAAGTTGTAAATGTACCCTTAAGTAACTGATATAGATGTCACTACTTTTTCAAGTCACGTGACTAGTTTTGACAGTTTTACAACTTTTAGGTTAGGTCATGGTCACAAAACTCTTTGATCCTCATTAAATTAAATTTCTAAATTATTAAAAATAATAAATATTGATTACAAATTTAATTATTTAATAAATGTTATAAAATATCTGTGATATTCACGAGCACAAGATTATTTTTCTAGTTTTTTAATATATTTGTGAAAAACAGCAAGATAAAATTAAATATGGTGTGTTTATATGAAAAGAAAAAAATTAAAAACATCTGGTTTAACTACAGTGTTTATTTTTATTGAATATATTTTTGACAGTTGCATATTGAAAGCTAATTTTTAAATAAAAATGCTTACATTTTGGGCAGATATATAAAAGTAATTTGCCTAAATTGTCACATTATAACAAAACTTGTTTATGAAGTAATTTTCCATTTTTGTGGAATGATTCATCATAAATACATATCTAAATTGGCTATTTTTTTTTTATTGATTGATAAAATGTGTCAGTATATTTTTTATTTTACAAAAAGCAATCGCAATTTTTAATTTAAAAAAGAAAAACGATTTATTATATTCTTATTATAAGTGGGAAAAAAAAGATAAGGATTTTTTTAAACAGCGTTTTTTAAATATAAATAAAACAAAATGAATAATACTAGCAATAATGGTAAAATGCAAGAAAATGAAAGCACATTAGGATTGACTTCGAAAATGATTTCTCTCGAGCAAATTCAAATGCCATTTTCTCCGGTATGTTTCAAATTTTAATTAGTATAATTAATAAATATATTTTAGTTATATTAGAAATAAATATGCCTTTCTTTTTTTATTAGACAAATGTTCCAAACGAAGAAAAAGAAGAGAAAGTTGACTTTGTTTTGGCTTTTATCGATAATAATAATCATAATCATGCTCGAAGGAGAGAAGAATTTGAAAATAGTTTATTAGAACAAGGTTTAGAACTAGAATATGAGCAGAATCGACATCTTGGTTTTGTTAAAATAAATGCATCAAAGGTTTTACATATTTTTTTTTTTTTTTAATTAACAAAATAATATTAAAATAATTTTTTAATTTAAAAATTGTTTGAAAAACTAGGAAGTACTGTGTAGATACTGTGAAATCATGAAATTAAGAATGCCAATAAAACATTCAGTAAGTGATGATTTATCGGAAACGGATACAAATGATTTTTTCGACGATGCCAAATCATGGTTCTATAAGGTGTTTAGTTTCGCTAAACTTGATCCAAAGAAATTTCCACCAAAGGAATATCAACTCGCAGCCGAATTTTCAAGAGACAAAGATTATTTGTAATAATTTTTTTTTTAATTAAATTAAAATTTTATTTTTATTTTAATTTAAAAAAAAAATTTAATTTTTAGATTCAATATAGAAGATGAAAATTTCTTTCCTATGCATATTCGAATAATGATTGTTGCCTTTGTTTTGGAACGTCAAATGGAAGGGATACAAAGACTTTTGTCAGATAATGTCTATTCTGCTGCTTATCCTTTGCACGATGTTAGTAAATATTATTAAAATTAAAAAATATAGAGAAAAATTGTTTAAAAACAAAAAAATAAGTTGTTAATTTTTTTAGGGCAATTATAAACAGAAGGGAACAGTTAGAGCGTTATTATACAAAGAATGGTCGGCAGTTAAAAAATGGATCAACGTACAGCCATTGGATACAATTCAAGAATATTTTGGAACTAATTTTGCCATGTATTTTGCATGGCTTGGATTTTATACTTATATGTTGATTCCAGCGAGTATAGCTGGCCTTCTTTGTTTTTTCTATGGTAAAAAAATTAATATTAAATAATTAATTAAAAATTCATAAACGTTATATAATTTTATATTTTTTTTTGTTGGTTTTAATTTTTTAGGTTTAATTACTTTAAACTCAAATCAATTAGCCAAAGAAGCATGCAATCGCACGGCGGAAGATGTAATAATGTGCCCTCAATGTGATAAAACCTGTGATTATTGGCGTTTAAGTGATACTTGTTTATTATCAAAAATTACATCGCTTTTTGATAATTCGGCAACATTGGCATTTGCAATATTTATGTGTTTTTGGTCTGTTTTATATCTTGAACTTTGGAATCGACGTTCCGCAGAATTGAGTTATCGATGGGGTTTAGTCGATTGGGATCGTGCAGCTGAACATCCGCGGCCTCAATATCTTAAAGCTCTTTCAAATTCAAAATTTTTTAAAGTTAAGGAAAAAGTAAGTTATTTTTCCTTCAGTAAATACTTTAATTTTTTTTAAATTCCTATACCATTTTCTGATTTTTTTTTTTTTCTTAAGGTAAATATTATAACGGGAGAAGTTGAACCTCATGTGAGTTTTTGGAAAGTACGAGTACCTGCAACTTTTATTAGTTTTTCCGTTGTACTTTTATTGACAACTGTGGCTATTGCCGCAGTTTTCGCTGTTGTTTTATATCGTATGTCTATGATAACTTCCACTTCTCTATTTGGAAGAGAATTTGATTCGACAAGTTATAAATTATTTGCTTTACCAGCAATTGCCGCTGCTATAAATTTGGTAAATATTTTAAAAAAAAAAATTTTAATAATACTTTTGTTTGTGAATTTTTCCCTAATTTTCTAATTATAGGTTTGTATTTTAATATTGAACTATTTCTACGATTGGCTAGCTGTTTATTTAACAGAAATGGAATTACTACGAACTCAGGCAGAATTTGACGATAGTCTTACTCTTAAAGTTTATTTATTTCAATTCGTTAATTATTATGCGTCAATTTTTTATATAGTTTTCCTCAAGGGAAAATTTGTCGGATATCCAAAAAAGTACAATCGCATTCTTGGATTTAGGTAAGTTTTTTTCTTTCTTTTTTTTCATTAGAATAAAAAATCTTAAATAATTAATGATTTTTTGAAATTAAATAAATTAGAAAAATTGTTTGAAATTAAAATTCTATTTTTAAAATAGACAGGAAGAATGTTCACCTGGAGGATGCCTTTTGGAACTTTGTATTCAACTTACTATTATTATGGTTGGAAAACAAGCATTGAGCAGTGCAATGGAAATGATTTTTCCCGTTCTATTCAAATGGTGGGCATTATTTCGAATTCACACTGGACTTAAGCAAAAAGATCCAATTGCTCCACGTCGACAGTGGATTCGTGATTTAAAACTTCTTGACTGGAGTACGTATTTTAATAATTAAAATAAAGTTTAAAATAAAAAATTTCATTTGAAAATTAATTGAATTATTAATTTTTTTTTCGAATTTCCTGTTCAGGTCCTCGGGGATTGTACGATGAATATTTGGAAATTGTCATACAATTTGGATTTGTCACTTTATTTGTGGTGGCATTTCCTCTTGCGCCATTTTTTGCTTTAGCAAATAACGTTCTTGAAATGCGACTCGATGCCACGAAATTTCTTCGACATTATCGCAGACCAGTACCTCGACGTGTCACTGACATTGGAATATGGGCTCGAATTCTTCATGGATTGGCACGAATTTCCGTTATTACAAATGTTAGTTTTTATAATATAATTAATAATGTTTTGTAAATTAAATATTATATTAATGATGATTACAAAGAAATTTTTTTTCTACTTTTACAGGCATTTATCATTGCTTTCTCATCAAATATGATTCCACGTCTTGTCTATATGGCCGTTGTGAGTGGAAATAATACTGATATTGGATTTTTAAATCACAGCCTCGCCTATTTTAATACCGTTGATTTTAAAAATGGAACTGCCCCAACAACATCGATTTTTACAAATGTCACTTCCTGTCGTTATCCAGAATATAGAAATCCTCCAGATCATCCAGAATTGCCCTATAAACGACCTACTATTTATTGGCACATTTTAGCAGTTAGACTAGCTTTTATTGTCGTCTTCCAGGTAAGGGTGTTTTTTTTTTTTTTTGCTTATAATTATTTTTTTTTAATTAATTTAAATGTCTTACAGAACGTCGTGGGATTATTAACTATGACCGTTCAATGGTGCCTTTCAGAAAAACCGAGAAAATTACGTGAAAGAATAAAGCGTGAAGCATTTTTGACTGAAGCATTAATAATAAAAAGAGAAGCGGAAAGATCGCGAGAAAGATTTAAATATACTTCAAGTATTAACAGTAATACTGGAAATCATAATCGTAAAAGACAATCATCAAATACTTCGACTAGCAGTCAATTATAAGATTTTTAAAATATTTTCTACACACAAAATATATATTTTGTGCCTTTTTAATAGAAAAAAAAAGATCTGACTAATTATACATATAAATATATAAAGAATTTATACACAAAAACCAGTGTGTTCTTGAGGGACTTTCGCTTTATAACATGATTATATTGTGAATAATTAACAATATGGCTATTAAGACAAATTATGAATGGAGAAAAAAAATATTTATAAACGTAAGTGTTTTCATTATATAAATTTTAATGTGTGAAATTTAACTAAAAAAATTATATTATTAATATTTTTAAAAATGTTAACGAACAATTTTTGCTACATATCGCTGTGATTAATTAAAATTCTTAAAAACTTTTTTTCTTATTTGTGTGCTTGATGTAACGTCTTCTAAACAAAAATGTATTTTATTAATTATTTCTACACTATTTTGTAAATAAATTTAAAAATGATATTTTATTATTGCAAAATGTTATCTAAAAGCGTTAAAATTTTAAGATATTTAACGTTTCAATGTTCGGCTTTTAATATTTTATGATAAATATACATATATTATTATAAAAAAAAAATGTATTGTTTTTTGTCATTCATTTTGAAAATTGTCATTATAATCTTTTATTATTATTTTTGCATTTTTATTATATTTCTACTAAAAAATAGAAATAAAATTTTAAGAAAAAATTAATAATTAATTTTATAAAAGTTAATATCTACATAATTTATAATTAAACAATTATTGGTAATTAATAATAATATAATGTAGTAATCATTTTTTTTGTCTTTGATTTAATAATTCTGTTTAGATTAATGTTATTTAAATAATAAAAATTTTTTTAGTTTTTTCAATATTAAAATGTCAATATTCAAAATATCGCGCCAAATTTTATTTTTTCCATTATTATTCTCGTGCGCCAATCGAAAGCGTTCGCACCACTAAACTGGCTTTTCATTGGTCAAAATTATTAGGTCATTCAACTATTCTTTTTACTGTTTTTTCTATATTTATTTCTATAAAAAGTACTCTATCAAAACTTGTTATTTGTTTATAAAACACTTGAATAGAAACACGTATTATTAAAAGTATTGTTACACTTTCAAATATATTCATGTGAAGTTCAGTAAAATCTCCTTTTTTTGACAGTGTACGTGTGTGTACAGTATTGTTGTTTGATGACTTGAAAAGGAAAGAGATGTTTTTCTGAAATCCCATTGGTCACAAAAGCAGCTGCTGCTGCTGCTCCTGTAGCATTAAGAAATTGTTTTATATGAAATTATAATTTCTCATTATTAAATTTGTTGTGGGCGTGGAGCTTTATTTTTTTTTACTGTCAAGTGTCAAACTGTTTGATTAACACAGAAAAAAGTGCAATTATAAGGTAAATTTTACTTTCATTTCTAACCTGTCAAATTAAAAAATGTGTGAATTTTATAATTTCAGTTAATTAATTTTTGAAAAGGAGTAATTGCGATATAAAATAGTGTCAGTGTAAAATTGTCATTTAAAAAAAAAATATATATGTTATTCGTATTTCTTCATTATTTATTTCGACAGGAGTTTCTAGAGAACGAGCTGTGACCGATTTATACTATTCCCACTCCAAATTAGGGAAATTTCTTACATCAGACTATGCCTGGGTAAGCTTAGCTCCCTATTTTTGGCCCTGACTTCATCGCACTATATTAAAATTATTATTTACTATTTATGTGCAAAAAAAATTCGCATTGTTTTTTTTTTTACAGCTGCTCCAGTATTTTTGTTCATTAATGTTGTCCTTAGTTATTTTCATTTAACTCCTATTTTTAGCATATTTATTATTATTTCTAAGCTTTTTATGTTCATTTTTAAGAATGATTTAGACAAATATAGGGCTTGACTAAATGCTAATTTAATAACACATTTTCATTATGTAAATAATTAATTAATAATTTAAATAAAAAAATCGTTCAAATAGAAGCTGTTTTCGTTGACTTCTAATATTTACTGAAAATAACAATAAAACAGACTTTTATTTGATTTAATTTTGTTATTAAAAACTTGAAAATTACTTTTAAGTCTTAGACAATATTAATTTTTTTTTTCAGAATTACTGGTATGTCAATGGATCATATGTTTTGTTCTCGTTGTCGAGAGGGTTTTGAGCCTCATGAAAAAATTGTCAATTCAAATGGAGAACTTTGGCATCCTCAATGTTTTGTGTAAGATTTCTTTTATTCAAGTTGCTATTAAATAATTATAATTTAATAAAATTAATTATTTTTTTTTTTATACAGATGTGCACAGTGCTTTCGTCCATTTCCAGAAGGTATATTTTATGAATTTGAGGGACGTAAATATTGTGAACATGATTTTCACGTACTCTTTGCTCCTTGTTGCGGCAAATGTGGTAAGATACTAAATATCGTAGAATACAATGTAGAATTACAATAATTTAATTAATATTTTAATTAATAATAATAATAATAATAATTCATTAGGTGAATTTGTCATTGGAAGAGTTATAAAAGCTATGAATGCCAATTGGCATCCAGGTTGTTTTCGATGTGAAGAATGTAATGGAGAATTGGCTGATGCTGGATTCATTAAATGCCAAGGAAGAGCTTTGTGTCATTCTTGTAATGCAAAAGTAAAATCAGGTGTTTTGGGAAAACACATTTGTCATCAATGCCAGTGAGAATAATATTTCATTTATTTTCTAAATATCAATATTTTTTTTTTCATTTAAAAAGAAAATTTTTCTTTTTTTCTACAGTGGAGTTATTGACGACAAACCTCTACGATTTCGAGGCGAGATGTATCATCCTTATCATTTTAATTGCGCTTCCTGTAGAGTTGAATTAAATTCAGACGCTCGGGAAGTTAGATCAAGACCAGGTTATGCAGTAAATGAAATGGTAAATTTATTTAATTAGAAAAAAAAAATTTTCTAGTATAGTTAACATAAAAAAAAGAATAAAAAAATTGAATTTATTCAATATTTATAGAACGAGCTCTATTGCTTAAGATGTCATGACAAAATGGGTGTTCCAATTTGTGGAGCTTGTCGTCGACCAATAGAAGAGAGAGTGGTAACAGCCCTCGGGAAACATTGGCACGTTGAGCATTTTGTATGTGCAAAGTGTGAGAAACCCTTTCTGGGTCATCGTCACTATGAGAAAAAGGGTCTCGCTTATTGCGAAACTCATTATCATCAATTGTTCGGAAATCTCTGCTTTGTTTGCAATCAAGTCATTGCCGGCGATGGTAAATGCTTTTTATTTTTATTATTAATTTTTTTTTTTTTAAATTAAACAATTTCTTTACTAAAATTACAATTTTTAATATTATATTCATTAAATAAATAATTTTTTTTATTTCAGTCTTCACTGCCCTAAATAAAGCATGGTGCGTTCATCATTTTGCCTGTGCATTTTGCGATCAAAAAATGAATCAAAAGACAAAATTTTTTGAATTTGACTTAAAACCAGCGTGCAAAAAATGTTACGATAAATTTCCCACTGAATTAAAGAAACGAATGCGTCGTATGCATGAATTAAAAGGATATTCCCCGAAACCCGTATAAAAGTTTAACTTTAACTTTTTTTTTAAAGAAGGGGTAAAAAAAATCTAAACTAATGTTAATGTTTCCATTGTCATTAATTAATCTATTTTTACTGTTATTTATTATTTAGCAGTACTTAACAATTTTTATAACACGTGAGTGTAGAGAACGAAACTGCCAAAATGGTAATTAATCGATTAATTCTGTAGAAATTTAGCAATTTTTACATATATATATTAATACTCGGAAATTTTTAGTATATTTTTATATAGGACTATATATATATTATCTAACGATCGTGGAATATTGTGGCCTTGGAAAATTGTCTTAATTATATTTTACAAAATGTATCGACTTTTCAACCGAAAAAGTACAAAACAATTTATTTTAATATCTTGCCGCAATTTTTGTTTTTTTTTTAAATTAAATTAAGTAATTAATTTGTACGTTAAGGAAATGATCTAATAAAATCAAATTTAATAACTAAAAGTGAGAAGTTTTATTATTCAGAAAAAAAAAAGAAAATTGTTTCAAAATATAATTGAAACTCATTGTATTTGTATAATTATAAAATAATAATAATTTTTAAATAAAATGAATAATCACCGACGAGATGGAAGATTAATTTATGTTTTCATTGGAGGTGGTCTTATTGAACCCATTGGTCCCATCATGGGACCCATATGTCCCATCATTGGAGGTGGCATTCCCATCATTGGTGGTGGCATTGGTCCATGTGGTCCCATCATCATTGGCGGTGGCATCATTGGTGGTCCTTGTGGTACTGGACCAGGACCTGGTCTTGGACCATAATTAACAGGCGGTGGAATTGCTGCTCCATTATTGCCCGAAAATGGATTTGTCGCAATTTTTCCTGCTTTAAATGCGGCAGTAGTTGCATCAATAAGCTGTTGTGCTTGATCTTCCATCCATTTTTGATAAAAATATTTTACATTATCCTTGTGCTTTCTACCTTGGCAATGAGTTTTTCTCACACTCGGTGAATCGTGAGTTAAATAAGTGTCACAATAGTCACAATAATATTTTGGCATCTTGAAAATTAACTGGAAAAAAAGGAAAGGAAAATTTTTCTAAAAATGTTATATTTTGACTGATAAAGATAGGAAAATAAAAGTTTTTTGTTTTTTAATATATAGAAAATATTTATTAATAAATAAACATTTCGTGACTAATTTAAATAATATTAAAATTATAAAAACTATGTCAAACGTATAAACAACAATGAAGAGAAAACAATCACCATTATACAAAAATTGTAATTAGTTACTTACCCTAACAGTTTTTAATTAAAAATCTTTGAGGATTTATTTGAAATAATATTTCTTTTTACCCAATTGATTAATATAATATTACGATTATAACTTTTATAACAAGATTTCCGATGACTTTTAAGATATTTTTAGGTTAGGATTCAATGTCAAAACAAATGGGCTATGACGTTGACTTTACGTTTAATAACTTCCCGCTTATTTTCAAATTAGAACTATTCATTTCTTGTTTTACTAGATTTTTTTATCTACTTTTTTTCAAAATAATACAGGAAAATGAAAAATGAAACTAAAAGTAAATAGTTAAATAAAAAGTAATTTATATTTTTTCTTTTAAATTAAAATTTAAAAATTTATTTTAATTCATATTGTCATGTTGGCAACAAAATTTGTCCACAACATTATCATTGGTGAATTTTTGCAGTTTCAGGGGCAGGAATTTAAAAAAACATAATATTTCAACCAATCAAAAATGATATCTCATTAGTCAACGTTTCATTCGCAGTGGTTGCGAATGCAGCATAAAAAAAGATAAAAACTTTTCATCCAAATTTCGTAATATTTTAATGTGTAATTCATTGTTTCATTGATAAAAGTGAGAATTTAATGAAGAAATTAATAAAAGTGTAAAAAAATTGATATAAATCTATTTTAATTGTGCGCTTGAAATTGTTGAGAAAAAATAGCGGCTACAAAAGTGGGGGGGCCGAGACTCAGGCTACCATATTGGCTGGATATTGGCAACTTGTGACTTTTGGGTGGCTGTTATATTAGCAAAAAAAAAAAAATAATAATAACCAAACTTGTGTCCTTTTATACTCGAAAAAATGATGCCTTGGATTTATATATAATATAAAATTTTCTTTGTGATTTTACTTTGCAACTTAATAGATTTAATAAATTAAAGGTGTTGTCCTTGAAACCGAGTAAAATGGTAAGTAATCAACAAAAAAAATTCAACTTTAGCCTTTGCTTTATGTTATAAATCTCAAGGTGCAAATTGCTTTAAATAAATTTTTGTTTTTTTCATCTATTAGAGTTTCTTTGGATTTGGACAGTCAGCTGACATAGAGATTACTCTAGACGGTGGTGATACAAGAAAAACTGCGGACATTAAGTCTGAGGATGGAAAAAAGGAACGGCATTTGTTGTATTACGATGGTGAAACAGTCTCGGGAAAGGTAAAAAAAATTTTTATTTGCATAATAATTAATTTTTTTCTTGTATATTTGTTTGTACTTTGATTTTATTTTATCCTTCTCATTCTCATATGTGTGAAATCGATTTTTAGATAAATGTCAGTTTAAGAAAAGCTGGAAAATTAGAGCATCAGGGTGTTAAAGTTGAATTTGTAGGACAGATAGAAATGTTTTATGATCGTGGTAATCATAATGAATTTACGAGTTTAGTGAAAGAATTAGCGAGACCTGGAGAATTAACACACAATACTGTTTATACATTTGAATTTGCGAATGTTGAAAAACCATTTGAAAGTTATACTGGCTCAAATGTTCGACTGAGATATTTTCTTCGAGTCACTATTGTTCGTAGATTAAGTGATATTGTCAAGGAACTGGAACTTGTTGTACATACACTCAGTTCATATCCGGATATGAATAATCCTATAAAAATGGAAGTGGGAATTGAAGACTGTCTGCATATAGAGTTTGAATACAACAAAAGCAAGTAAGGAATTACTAATTTCTTTTGATAAATTATTTTTCTGTATTTTTTTTATATTTTTTCCCTTTTTTTTTGTAGATATCATTTAAAAGACGTTATCGTTGGAAAAATTTATTTCCTCTTGGTGAGAATAAAAATCAAACACATGGAGATAGCAATTATAAAAAGGGAAAGCACAGGATCTGGTATGATTAGGATTTTTTTTTTTTTTATTATTTTCGACTTTCTTTAAAATGAATTTTTTTTTAAATACTTTATATTTTTGTAAATTTATTTCTTTATAATCGATATTTTTTTAGGAAACACGACGTTTACGGAAAATGAAACAATAGCGAAATATGAGATAATGGATGGAGCACCAGTTAAGGGAGAATCTATTCCGATAAGAGTATTTTTGGCAGGCTACGATTTAGCTCCAACAATGCGTGAAATTAATAAAAAATTCAGCGTCCGATATTATTTGAACTTAGTTCTGATGGACGAGGAAGATCGTCGTTATTTTAAACAACAGGTAATTTTTTTTTTTGGTTAATAATTGACAAATTTTTAAATAATTTTTTATTTTTTTCTCAGGAAATCACGTTATGGAGAAAAGGGGAAAGAAGTAGAAAATCACAAACTGCCTCACCTCATTTGCCATCGCATTTAGTGTCAGCGGAAACGGGTTTTCCACAAGGAGCACCACAAAATGGACCACCATCAGTACCGCCCAGTTCTGATCAAATTTCACCTGAAGCCAGTACAGGACTAGATGATCCACAGGCCCCAATAGAAGGTATGACACGTGAAGAAGGTGATGGAGAAGGTGAGAAGGATATCAATCCGGAAAATAATTGAATTTGCAATTATAGATTATATAAATAATAATGTTAGACTGTAATTCAAAAAAAAAAAAAAAAAAAAAACATGAAGAACTGAAAATAATTTTTTTTTCGCGTAAAAAAAATATCAAATTGAAGGAAAATACGAAAATTTATTTTCCTCTTAAATATTCTAATGCACAGCATTTTTCCGGTTTATTACGTATACGCGGGGGGAAAAAAAAGAGGATGTACATATTTTGACTGAACAACTTTAGTAAATATTGGAGGGGGAAAAAAAACCTTGATTGACGAAAAAAAGGACTGGATTTTCAAAAATTATTATTAAATTTTAATTTCTTTTACAGTCAATTGGCGTTTCAGTCATATAATGTAATAGATCTAAGTGACCTCGTCTCTCTAAATAACCTTTGTGTAAAGCTTTACACGTTTAATTAAGGGCATTAGGTAAATGTCTTGGAAATGCATTACAAGGGTTGCACTCATAATATTCTGCCATCAATAATTATAATTATTTTAACTTGAAAATTATAAATTCTTAAATTTTAATCAATTTAAAATCAAATTATAAACAATTATTTTTAATTTTTAAACAATTTTTTTTTTTTACAATAGAATTGAAGTCCCTAGATAAAGGATTTTGAACAAAAGACTCAGGAGAAATGACTTCCTAGTTGTTTACCTAATTCTATTAAAGGTATATTTTCATTAATTTATATTTAATATAATTTTATTTTTTTTTCTATAATGAATAGAGGGCATTTTTAATTAAAAAAAAAGAAACAATAAAAAAAATAATAAAACACCGACTGATAATGCGGCTTATAATAAAAAAAAAATAAATAAAGAAAACGTTCAATGAAACATTTTACACATCGATATTGCAATTTTTTAGAGAAAGTCTATGTCCTACGAATGACGAGAAATGCCTATTTTTCAGTTTAAAGATACAGATGTATAAATCAAATAATAAAACACTGTTGGAAGTAATAATTTAAAAAAAATTTTTTAAACATGGAAAAACCATGAAATATAATAAATTTCTAACAGTGATACATATTTATAATACAACGTCCAGATAAATCAGTTATTTTTAGCTGATCTGATATGAGCTCTATATATATACGTGTATTAATCTATTAATGTGAATTCGTGTACGTAACAAGTTGTTGTTTTTTTTTTTAAATTTATGTAGACAAGTTCAATTTCTTTGCAATTTATGATCAAATCGATAGAACATATGATGATTTAAAGAAAATCATCTTGTTACGTACCGATTTACACATACTACATAATGTATATATTAAACAAATTCATTGCGTGTGTGAGTGACAATTATACACATAAACACCCGCATTACAAAGTCTATTAATCATATACAGATATATACAAATTGAAACGTTCTTTCATCGAAGCACTGACGCACTTTCTGGATAAATTTCATTTAATGATATAATCAACATAATTCACATATCTGTTTATAATATATATAGAGAGAGAGACAATTTAAAATTAATTGCTCAATATTTGTAAAATATTTTTTATTGTATTAACAAAAAATAATGTTCTTAATTTTTTTTTATATATATAATCGAAATAAGAAATTAATTATTTTTTTAATTGACAAAAATAGATTTTTTTTATATCAACAATTATTGATTTTTTATATTATTATTTTTGTCTGTTTTATTGCAAAAAGGTATTTTATTATAAATTTTCTTTTTTTGCTAAACGAAATTAATTTATGAAATTATGAGGTTTATGACGTTAATTAATATCTTCAAATTTTTGCACTTATTTGAAGATTTCATTTTATTCAAAAAGAAAAAACTGTTTAAATATTAGATATTTAAAAATTAAATAATATAACTTTATAAAAAAAATATTCAAAAGTATAAATTACTTAATTCTGCACCTAAAATGGAATTATTTTTCGGAATTTGTAATTTTTAGGGATCTGCAAAAAATTGTTAATAAGTAATATTAAATTATCTCCTATATGCGTTTTATTATGTTTTGTAGAGATTTATTTAAATTTTTTTTATTTTTCAATTATTTGATTATTTTTTCCAATTAATTATTGTAGATTATTATTTTATGAATATTATTTCAAATATATTTTTATAATAATTCCATAATTTTTAGGTGCAGAACTAAGTAACTGGAGTATTTTTGATTTTATTTGCAATGATTACTTTTGGTAAGTTTTAATATCTAATATTAAATATATTAAATAAGTGCAAAATTTGAGATTATTAAGTTTATTGTAAACATTTTTTATAGTATTTTTTACAATCTTGTTTTATTCTAATAGTATTTATTAAATATATATTTTTTTAACAAAAAACTTTGTTTTTCTTTTTTTTTATAATAAACTCGAGATCTTCGATGAAAGAATGAGTGTTAAAAAAAAAAGAAAATGAAATTTATTGAATTTTATAATGTCCGATATAACTATGTGATTGTAAAATTATCGAAGTCACTGGTCGCGTAATGTATTGTGCGATATGAGGTATTTCACAATGTTTAGGTTTTTTTTTTTTGCAAAGATAAAAAGATCTTATCTCCTATATATTCTTTGTTATTTGTTGACCAAAAAAAAAATAAAAAAAAAAAAATTATTATGTGAAGAAAGAGCGTCAGGGAGGAGTGAATCGTAGTGTATTTTACATGTGAAATACTGTATATACATATAGATATATATTATGATACGATACTCAAAGACTTGTATATTTCAATCTCCTAATTATATTATACCGAAATGTTCGGTGTCAAATTTAATTTAAAAAATCTTATATTATGGACCTTTACATTTTTCCACATCATTGCTTTTTTTTCCTCTTGAATTATTTTATACTGTTGAATTAGTATAATTAGAATATTTTATTTTTTATATTTTAATTTATTGAATTTGTTTCATTTTCAAATTTGTATTAACAATTTAAATGAAAATTGTTTTTTATTTTCAAATTTTAGCGCGCGCAAATTAAGGCAAATTTTTATAGCTTGGACAAAATTTCTCTTATAACTTGTTTTGTGATTGGCTGATTTTATTGGGGGAAATTAATTAACTGACAGCGCCACCACGTGGCATTTTTCAGTAATGTAATTGTAATTAATAAAAGGTGAGTTTGTTTGTCTTACCTATGAGCTTTCGTGATTAACAAGGGAGCTTTTGCAAGTGCTGGAAGCTGTATATGGTGTGTTAAAGAAAGATTCGCGGGAAAATGACTAATATTGTATTGTTAATTTGTTAGTGATTAATGAAATTAAAAAAGCGAAAGAGCTTGTGCGCGCAGTGCGTGAGTATGCCCGCCAAGGTCTCTAAAAAGGTAGTCGGCATGATTATCCGAAGCCGAAAGACAATGAAGGATGGGGTCATCACGGTATTAAAATATTTTTCATTTGTATTTTCAATTATTTTACTTTTTTCAAACATATGTTTATTGTGAAAATATTTTTCAATAATTTCTTAATTTATTTTTGTTATTTTCAATTTTTTAATTTTTTCTTATTTCATATACATTGATTTGTACTCGAATTTTCTGAAGGTTAGCTTCTGTAAATATATATGGATACGCTGTTGAATCAATTTCTTTGTTTTTTGGAAAATTTTCAAATATATGATAATCTTAAGTTTTATGATTTTTTTTTTATAAAAACATATGGAACAGTAGATTGAATATATTTGATAGGCTATTTAGTTTCTTAAATTGGACCTTTAATTGCATTTTGTTATTTTTAATATATTTAGACAATTTCTGCAATTGTGTAATTTATTTTCATTTTATTTTTTAAATGCATTTATTAATTTCAAAATGTACCTGATTTAAAAGTTATGATTATTATTATACAAGTTTTAATTGCTCAATATATGTATGTTTTTAAGATTACACGTCATTCTGAATAATTTAAATTACTTATTAACATATATTTTTACGAAAATAGCTCTTTATATTAATTTAATATAAAATTTTGTGCAATATATTCTTTATTTTCAAAGGTAATATTAGTAAATTTTACATTTTCCAATTATATATAATATGTAATTGGGAAATTTTGAATTAAATCAAGGACAAATTATCGAAATTAGTAAGATGAATGGTCATTCCTTTCATTATTTTTGGTTATGTTTAATAAACCATATTGTATATGAAAAATGGTAAAGTTTTTTTTTTTTTTAAATAAAAAAAAGGGTATTTAGAGTAATATCCCTGAATAATAATCTGTCAATCAGTCAATAACAAACAGTCATTTTATTATATGCTCGAATTGTAATGAGCTTACTTGAGGTGATAAATTCTTATCGCATAAGTCACAGAAGATAAAAACGTATATGTACAGTTTCAATAACTATTGGGAATTTTGAATTTACTTTCATTTTTAAAGTAAAATGTTGATAATTAAATTATTAAAATAATGGGAATTTTCTCTACATTATTTACAAACTCATATTATAATTAAATTGTTTTTATTATAAAGAATTATCTGAAATGAACAACCAAAGAAATTATTGTAAATTATTTTCATTTTTCTATTATTGGAGAGAGAATTAAAAGATTGTCAAAAATTTTAATTAAAAAAAAATTAATATTTTTTATTTTGTTTTGAGTATTTTGGTTTGTGAGAAGAGAGTAAAAAGGAACAGAGAGAGAGAGAACAGAAAGAAATTCATATAGGATATGAAAAGATGTATTTTTTCACAAAGACATATTCAAATTCTGAAAGAATAATTATTATCATCGACCTGTCCTTGAGTGCTTCAATTCTTCAATAATCTATGAAAGTTCATTAAAATTTACATGACAAAATGTTCAGCGTTAATTGAATTAACGATACCTATGTGGATCGATAAGATCATGAATGCTTTGTGTAAAATTTTCTGTGTCAATCTTGGAACAGCTGATTCTTGGGAACTTGCACATTGTCAAATGCCTATATGACAATTTTTAATCAATGATTGTTTTTTTTTTTCATCAATGTTTATAATCAATTTAAACGATATTGTTTTATTTTTTATTCTTTTTTAATTGATAAAAAAAAAGGAATCATCCCCTATTTTATTGAAAAAGTTACTGCAAACTAGTTATGGATTTACAGAGGCGATACAGGCCAGTCAGCCGACTCGGCTGACAGTCTACTTTGTTGGGGGTGGGTGGAGGGGTGCCAATGCAGAGGTTTGTGCTCTTGCGTAAACTTTCCAATCGGTGGCTCCCGAAAAATTGTGAATTACTTTTTAATTTTTCCTATTTATTTGCGAATAGTTTGATTTCATTAAAAGTGTTTAAAGTGCAAATCATCGAAAAATATGAATAATACAATTAATAAATAACATTGACAATTTATCAAATGTGCGTTTGTGTTGAAAGCACGTTTAGTTGCACGAAAATCGACCCCTCGACAACTTGTCAGGGTGCAAAAAAAAAAAAATTTGATTTCATTTTTATTAAGGAAATAACAAAACAGCAAGTACAATTTATTTAGAAATTAATATTCAACTTATCAAAGGATTGAATAAAGAAAAATTTGATTTACAATAATATTTTGAAATTTTCACTACCCCTTAAATAGTGTTTCCGCGTTTTTCATCCCCTTTCGGACATCTTTGATTTCTTTTTATCATAATCATAATAAAAAAAAAAAAAAAAAAAAAAATTGAAAACACAAATGTCATCAGTTTTGGATTATTTTATTTTATTTTTGAAACAATCAATTATTCATTCTGATCACATTTATCGTCAGCCTCTAGTGCTTCGACTAAAAATATCGTTTTGTAAATCCACATTTAACCTGTGGACAGAGTCAAGAACGCTTCTAAATATCGTCTCAGTGATCTTGGACTAGTTGATTAATAAACATATGAAACGAAAGTTGAATTTAGGAAATTAATAAAATAATCAAATTTTAGAGAATAATAGGGAAAAAAAACAGTATTAAATTGTCTAAAAAAAAAGAAAAACAATTTTACAAGGAGTGAAGTGCCATCGAAATGTAATTTTCTGTGATTAAGTCTCGTGGAAATAGAAGATTAAAAGCACAAGATTTTTGTAACGATATGCACAACGTTAATTGTTATAAAAAAAGAAGAAAAAATTAATATTTTTTTCAATGACGCACTCATTTTTGCACAAGAAAAAAAAAAATTTATTATTATAAATCTATATGAAGTTGAGATATTTTAAATCAATGTTGAAAGTAGAGCAAGTTTATGAGAAAATTGAAGAGAAAAAAAACGCTATACCTTAAAATAAAGAAGGGAAAGAAAAAAAAAAAAAAAAAAAAAATAGAAGGATAAAGATTGTTTTTTTTTTCAAGAGGAGACTTATATTTATAGAGAGATAGAAAGAGAGTTATGATTAATCATAATGTATTCAACATGTGATCAGAACTTTTACAAAATGGAAAGGTTTAAATAAAAGTGCCGTTTAAGGGGTCATGCCCCCTGGGGCACAGGGGGAAGCAGAGGGCTTGGGCCCCTCTTGTTCCGAATTACATAATAATCAGGAAAATGTTACTGTTGAACTTAGCGCTACACGAACATTATATCAACGATGTTACCAGCATCTCAAGGTCAGCTTCTCTCTCTCTGCCTGCCTTGCACTGCTTTTGCAATCCTGCCAATTTATTTCATTAATTCAACACTTTTCCTCACACTAATATATCAATTTATTTCATTAGAAAATATATTGGTATTCTAATTTTAATATCAATATTAATTTTATCTATATTGATCAATTTGTTTAAAATTTTCTCTCCATTTTTGTTTTTTTATAAAAAAAAAATTGATTTTTTAAAAAAATAATTTTTATGGAATGTAAATAAATATTTTTTTCTTTTTTCAGAGCTCGGGAGTTGGAGAGGCGAGTGTATATCATGCATTGGTGGTGATATTCCTCGAATTTTTCGCATGGGGTTTACTTACAATGCCAATAATATCAGTGTTAAACGAGACATTCCCAGATCATACATTCTTAATGAACGGTCTTATAATGGGCATAAAAGGAATTTTATCATTTTTGTCAGCACCATTAATTGGCGCATTATCGGATGTTTGGGGTCGTAAATTCTTTTTACTAATTACAGTGGCCTTTACGTGTGCACCACTACCATTAATGAGCATTAATACTTGGTGGTTCTTTGCCATGATTTCAATAAGCGGCGTATTCGCATGTACATTTTCAGTAGTATTTGCATATGTTGCCGATGTCACCGAAGAGAGTCAACGATCATTGGCATACGGTTTGGTAAGTAAAATTAATATTTAAAAATTTAAAATAAAATTTTTTTTTTATTAAAAAATCTAAAATAATTAATATTGTAATTATTTTTTAGGTGTCGGCAACATTTGCAGCAAGTATGGTAATAAGTCCCGCATTAGGAGATTATACGAGACAAAATTATGGTGATAATGTAGCTGTTGCACTTGCCACTGCTATTGCTATTCTCGATGTATTTTTTATTCTGGTCGCTGTGCCAGAAAGTTTACCAGAAAAGGCGCGTCCTACTGGTCCTATTTCATGGGAACAAGCAGATCCTTTCGCTGCTCTTGGAAAGGTGTGTCTTGATAATATTTTTAAAACAAATTTTCTTTTTCAATTTTACAATTTTTTTTTTTTAATTATTATAGGTGGGAAAAGATCACACAATTTTAATGCTGTGCGTCACAGTATTTCTGAGCTATCTACCAGAAGCTGGTCAATATAGTTGCATATTTGTTTATCTAAAATTAGCAATGGGATTTTCTACATCAATGGTGTCAGTATTTATTGCCGTGGTAGGAATTTTAAGTGTCTGTGCTCAAATGTTATTGGGTCCTTTAATGAGAACATTGGGCAGTAAACATGCAATTATGCTGGGACTATTATTTGAAATGTTACAATTAATGTGGTACGGTTTTGGCTCACAAACTTGGTAAGTGTGAAAAATTCATTTCTTAACGAAAAAAAAGAACATTAATATTAAAAAGGAAGGAATTTTTTTTGTAAAATTATTTTTGTAGGTAAAATAAAATTGATTTTTCTTGTTTTTTTAAAAAAAAAAAGGATGATGTGGGCTGCAGGCGTACTCGCTTCAATTTCGAGTATAACGTATCCGGCAATTTCTGCATTTGTTTCAATGCATTCCGATGCTGACAAGCAGGGCTTGGTGCAAGGTATGGTAACTGGAATGCGGGGACTTTGTAACGGTTTGGGGCCTGCCATGTTTGGCATTATTTTTTATCTATTTCACGTCGATCTCAATTACGACACACCATCTTTACCTCTTAAACCGCCAATTCTCGATGAAAACAATAGAACGGGAACTGCCACTCAACATCAAGATATCGTACCTCAGGTATTTTATTTTTAAAATTTTGTATTTTAATATTTTCATTATTTCTTTTGAACTTGTTTAAAAAAATGTTTAATATTTTATATAATTATTTTTTCTATTTACAGTTGGTGCCAGGTCCTCCATTTGTTTTTGGTGCATTATTAGTGATTTGTGCTCTTCTCGTAGCTACATTTATACCTGAATCGAATTCAATGTTAACGGGGCAAATTCATCACTCTTCTACCTCCCGGAGGCCTTCCGGTAAATACGCATATGAAAAATGTACGTTACAGCTTACCACTATTCAATATAATTATTATTATATGACTGGTGGTGGGTTTCTTTTGTCTTTTTAGTTTTCATTTTTTACATTATTTCACTTTTTATCACTATACATTATTATTTTCTTTTTATAAAATACAATTTTCAAAATTAATTTTTGAAAAAATTACTTTCTTTGGAAGAAATTATAAATTTGTATATAATAAATTTTTTTTTTTGTTTAACAGGCCTTTCGCTAGATATTCAGTACGAGACGGATAGGTTAAGTAGTGGCAGAGGGAAACTCGGGCCTCTTTCACCTCTAGTCGATAATTCGAATACAGCTGCGCTTTAACCAATCGTGAATAGCAGACTTTTTGCAAGACACAAGGAAAACTTGCATCCTGCAGTGTGAGAAGAAGAAAAGAAAAAAAAAAGTGAAGCGCTATCTTCCTGCGGCAAAGTAGACCTATGCAACCTCGTCAGAAGAATTAGTATATGATCACTTTGTGCAAGATATCGTAAGCATTGTTTCAACTGTAATATAATCCGCTTAAAGTATTGGTTTTAGAAAACAAAAAACAAAACTCTTTTTGAGATAGGTTGTGAATATAGGAAAAGAAAAAAAATAGCAGTGTAGCCAGCATCTCTTTGGGAAAATATGTGATCCAATAATGCTGTCAGATTCAAGCAGAAAATTTAATCACAAGAGAAATATTTTCGAGCTAGTCTCAGTTTTAAAATGTAATTTCCTCTATATATTATATATATATATATATTATTACAAAAGGATCAATTCAATTAAATGATAAAAAAAAAATACAAATTAACTAGGAGTGAAAATATAAATTGTAGAATTCAAACTAAAATTACCTTAAAGTAAAAGAAAGAAACAACACAATGGAAAAAAATGTGTCATTTTTCGAAGTAAATTTTCGCCAATCTGACAACAAAGTGATAGACAATTTAAACTTTACGTTTAGAAGCGAAATCTTGTCAATCGTCACAAAAATAAAACCAATAAATCTCACGTGTTTAAGAGAAAAGAAAACTGCTGAGTCTCGCCTACTGAAAAAAAACTATTAGCTATTGCCGAAAGCACAAAACGGCAAAAGCAAATGAAAAAAAAATTACAATAAGTATTTTTAACCGGCACACACTAAATCACACGACATTGTTTTTTTTTTAATTCGAAGTATTCGGGTCATATCTTTCTTCACAATTTCTTATACATTTTACATATTTAAAACAAAAAGAAATAAAAAAAAATGTTTTATTTAATCAATGAAGGACTGTTACGTTTTATGTTACCGTTATTTACATAATACGTTACTGTTTTTCACGTGTACATATATAAAATATATATATATATATATATATTAAGAATGAAATTAAAACAAAACGTTGGATTTTCGTTTTGCACTATATAACCGAATGCTAGTTGGCAAATAACGGTTTTATGGTGTATTAAAAAAAAATTTTTTGGCGACTTGTGCCACGCGTAATAATAATTGTAAATGATAATTAATAATTTTAGAATTTAGGGCTCATCTTCTCGACAAATGAAATTCGAATTCAATTATTATAAAACACAGGTCGAGTAGATAAGCCTAATTGAAAGTTTAAATAAAAAAGAAAAAAAATAATAATAATAATGGAAAATCACTAAAGGAGATTTCAAATTGTCTCCAAAACAAAGCCAAAGAATGAATAATAATAATTGAAGGTTTATCGTGGGATTATAACAGAAATCTGATTAGCAACTTTTTGTTTTTTCTTCTTTCAACGGTCTGAACGCTTATTTGCATATTAGATAATTATGTTCGAGCAATGAAAAAAAAAACTGGATTTCGCATCTTGTGACTGATCCAGCTGTTAGTTAATTTCAAATTAAAAATATTTCATTATTCTGTTTAATTTTTAAATATTTTTTTAACAAACTTTTTGATTGATTTTATCCTCGAAAACTATTTTTTGAATTACAATTTTTATTTAATATTTTCTTTTTACTAATAAAATATTTAAATTAATACAATTTTAAGCATTTTGTGACCATGAAATTTATATCATTTGACTGATAGGAAAAAAAAAAAGAAACAGTATTATATAATTTTTTTAAATTCAAAACGAATCATCGATTCTACAAAACTGCCTCTTATAAATCAAATCTGAAGATAATGTCTTCGTGAAAAGACTTAATTCAGGTTATAATAATAATAATAATAAGTGTATTTTAATCGTTATACTATATATAATATAATGAGCTACGAATTAAATTTGATTTTAATTGAAAGTATGGATCAGTCACTTTGAAAAATAGATCTCGACAAATAAATAAAACGTTATAAACCTGGATTAAACTTCAATAACTACTAATGATTCCAACTAACTCCAAGAATTCTTTTGCCCTTTTTTAATTCAAATTCTTAAATCACAGCTTTGTGCGTTCTTTTATATATATAATAAATAGAGTAATAATAATAATAATAATAATGTATTATACAATACAGAAAATCGAAGTTTTTAATTCTAATCTTCGAAATATTAAAAGAAAAAAAAAAAAATAGAAATAGAAAAATTTTAAAAATAGAAATATAAAAAAGAGGCAATTTATTGCTGTAAAATATTCTTCAAACATTCAACAACAACAAAAAAATTAAATAGAATATGACAGAAATAAAAATCATATCTTTGGCGTAAAATAAATTTTTTTTTTTTTTATCAAATTTTATTTCTTGTTTTGCGAGAAAAACAAAAATATATTGTTTATATATTTTATTTGTAATTGAAATCGTCTGTGACTGTGAATAATGCAGAAAGTGATAGAAAAAAAAAAAGAAAATGAGAAACTAAAATATACATTAGTTTTGTCTTACTGTATACAATTTTGTCGAATGAATGTTGTAGATCATAATTAACATGTTATCATCTCTTAAATGAGCAGATTTCTATTCTGTACTATTTTTTCATAGTTCCTCAACAATGCGCAATTCAAAAAAAAAAAAATATATATATATATTGCATATTTTCAAATATAATAACCGGCTCTAGTCGAATAATTTTTCAATTATCTTTTAATTTTTAAGATATTATATAGAGGTATTTATGTCCTAAGGTATACGTGATGTCTTTTCATTTTCTGTCAATTATAAAGATGCACTGAATCGAGAAACAAAATTTTTTTCATTTTTATTCCTTATAATGTCTAATGTATTATTTACGCTTTATAAATCTTTAACGAATTTTCAAGAAAATATTTATGTATATAATAATTTTTGTGTTTTACATAATGCACTTTTTTTTAATTATAGAAAAATGTTCAATTATTATATTAGTTAAAAATTTTGATTTAATGTGAGAAAAATTTTGTTTCAATTAGAAAAGTTAATTTTTTTCTTTAGCATAATATTGTATTTTATTTAATGAAAGAAAACGAATTGGACTAGAGTCAAAAAGAATAAATAATATAGGAAAAGATTCTATTGCAATTATAAAAAATGAAAGGCAGTAAATTTTTTTTCCTTTCATAAAACGAAATATACGAAATAACATTGACTTAAAAAACACTTTGATCTCTTTCTCTTTGAATTTTACGATTAAAAATAAAATTAAACTTTATTTTTTTGCTAATCTTTTAGTGATTAAAAAAACCATATTTTTTTATTTGATTTTCATAATTGTGCCAAATTTCTATTAAATTGAAATAACATTTGATTATCAATTCATAATTTTTTTCCATTCAATCAACTTGACAGTATTAGAGAAATTAATTATATAATTTTTGTTTTCAGAATAAAATATGTAATTATTTGAAAATAACGAGAAAGAGAGATATAGTGTTATTACACTTCAAGTGGCATTAGTTTTCTTGGAGATGCAATAATATATATAAATATATATATACATTATAAAATATAAAAAATAAAAAAAAAAAACTTGCCAGCGATGTAAATTTCTTTTGTCAATATCATAGGTCCGGCACTTATTTCTCCGAATAAAAATTTTGAATGTATAATAACTAAAAAAATTTTACTCGGAGATTATGAAGTCGAACAAAAGATTATTTTGAAAAACTATCGAGTAATTTATATTTGTATGCAGTGAATTATGTGTAAACGCCATATGAAAAAAAAAAATATATATATATACGAAGGATACATCGTTCGGTAAAAAATCTAGACGAGGATTTAACTCTTGTGAGTTAATGATTATAATGACGAATGAATTATTAAAATTGATTATTTTTAACAGTTTGAGCATTTTTTTTCCACCTTCTAACTTAATTAATTTTATTTTTAATCATTGGATTTAATTATTATAATTTTAGTAATACATTTTTAATTAAATTTTGTTTTTATTTTTAATTGTTTCTTAAATTTAACTAATTCTACTTATATATTTTTACAGTAATTTAATCTCATATTATAATAAAAAAAAACAATTTATTTGCAATATATTAATTTAGTTTAGGAATTTAATGAGATAATATTTATACAGCCATGATTTTGAGTGTTGAATATTAAAATTATTTTAAGTATTTTGTACAACATTTGATCCACTTTGTTGCCATAATTCAATTGCTTTATTGACTATTACCTCAGACGTTTCTTCAGTAATCTATAAAGAAAAGAGAGAAACATTGAATTTACTTTGATTTAAATAAATTAAGATTCTAGAAAAAACAAACACTTACATTGAGAATTGTATCGAGAACATTGTCGAGTGTTTTGCATTTTAGTAAAAATCGACGCAAAGTAGTTAAAATTACAATTGCAACAAATACTAAAATTTTATAGGCTCCTACAGCAATTTTATCCCAAATTCTATAAATAGTTTTAAATAAATTTAGTTTTTTTTTTAATACTAGATGATGAAAAGTATTTTTCATATAATTTTTTTTGTAAAAAAATGTTCAATCGAAATAAAATTTATTTCTTACTTCGTTATGGAACCATCACTAATTGTGTCTGCGAAACATGAGTGAAACCAAGCTTCATAGGGAAGAAATTTGAGAGCATCAATTTCAATTAGATGATTATATAATTCTAAATCTTCTCGTTCCAAAACAGTGCATGTACATTCTTTCAATCGATCAACATCTTTTTGAAATTTTTGAATGTGATCGAGAAAACCGCTCAATACCCAATAAATATCCACCGATTTCTCATTATTATAATCTATACTCATAACATTCCATAAACTTTTTGCCATCTTGTTCATTGATCTATTATTCAAAAAAAAAAATATGACATTAATCATTTTTTAATATACGTATAAATAAAATTTTTAACCAAAGTTAAATTGATGAAATAATTTTAAAAAAAAATCTTAAAATTAAAATAAGAACTATAAATTTAAAACCTAAATGGTTGCAAATCTATTTGTGTGTTCATATCAAGTTTCGTTCGTTTATTCCTCAAAAGCCACATTGTAAAAAATACTTGTGATGGTTTTGTTGTAACGTCTATAACTTTTGCACTAATCAATGTATTCTTTAAATCTTCAAATTCATCTTTACGTTGTTTCATAACAAAATCATGACTATCTTCATAAACTGGAATAACTCCTAATAAAATTTTCCATAAAAAATTTCTATGTATTGCAGGAACTGTAAATCGTAAACAAAACTGCTTTAATTTCCCTTTATCTAATGGACGTTCTTTCAATAATATTTCTAATGATTTTTTCTCCTCGACACTTCTAAATCCAACCTATATTTAAAAAAAAATAATTTTATTAAAAATTTCATAATAGGAAAGAGATGGAAATAAAATGTAACTAAAAATAACAACAAATTAAGTATATGTCAAAGATTAATATTAAAGAGTAATAATAAAATACCACAGTATAAATAATTATTACATTGAGTAATGTAATAAATTGGAAATATAAAAACAAGTGACAATAATTTTTGAGGTTAGATTAAATTCTTTTATGATAATTCTTTTAAACAATAAATATTGTAAATGATTTAATAATGTAATTCAAACTCGTAAAATTATTCACAATGATAGATTAAATTTGTTACCTTTTCATAATATGAGGAGCGAAAATTTCGTTCATCTGTCATTCTTCAAATTTAAAATGTCAAAACACAATTTGTCATTTAAATGATCGGTAAATTTGTATTCTTTGTATTTTTTCGTTTATTGGAAATAAAGTTAACTAACTTATCGACATCTTTCAAATACACGTGTGACGTGGATGGAAAAACAACATAGTTAAGTGACATAAGGAATGTTTTTGGAATAATATCCAATAATTTTCCAGTGTAAAACACAAAATAATAATTAAAAATTGCATAATTAAAACCTCTTTAATGATTTAAATAAGTCCAGGATCAAATTTGGAAATTTCATTAATTTTGAAGAAAATGACTTCTGTTGATTGGGAAGAAGTTAAAAGACTTGCTGCTGACTTTCAAAAAGCTCAGCTTAGCTTTTCTTTACAAAAGTAGGTTGTAAACTAAGTAATTATTTTTCAATTTTAACATTTTTATTAATTTCAATGAAAATTTTACTGATTACAAAATTTTGTTTCACCCTAACCTCAAATTCTTATTTATAACTTTTTTTTTTATTTGAAAAACAATTCTCTCTTTACAAAAACTATAGTTAAAAATTATTAATTTAAATGTAGATTATATTTAATTTTCTATAATTGAATTATTTTTAGACTATCTGAACGCAATTGTGTGGAAATAATAACAAAACTCACTGAAGCAAAACTTTTGAATATTATTTTTACAAATGATGGTAAAGAATATGTGACACCGCAACATTTGGAAAAAGAAATTAAAGATGAATTATATGTTCATGGTGGACGTATTAATTTAGTGGAATTGGCAAAAATTTTAAATGTTGATTTATCACAAATTTCAAAATCAGTCAATGATATTGAAAAACATGATAAATCATTGAAACTTATTTTGGGTCAATTAATCGATAGAAATTATATGATAAGAATTGCCGGCGAAATTAATGATAAATTAAATCAACAAGGTCATATTAATGTATCAGATTTAACATTAAAATATGATTTACCCGCTGAATTTTTACAATCGTTGTTAGAGAAAGAATTGGGAAAAATAATATTTGGTAAACAAGATTCACAGGATTTAAAGATATTTTATACTGAAGGATATGTGGCAAGAAATCGTGCAAAAGTAAGAGGTGCTTTATCGGCAATTACAAAACCAACGCCACTTTCTGCTATTTTGGGACAATGTGGAGTTCCGGAGAGAATATTTTTTTGTAAGTCTTGTATTCAAACTTTTTTTTATGATTTAAAAATAAAAAATGATTAATTAAAATTTTGTTTTTTTTTTGCAGCAATTCTCGAGAGTTTACAAGACATGATGCAAGTACCTGGCGTTGTTACTGGAAAACAAGGCGGAAATAGTATTTACGTGCCATCAATTTATTCAAAAAGTCAAAGTGAATGGGTTGACAATTTTTACAAGCAAAATGGATATCTCGGTAATTTGAAATTTTTCTTTGAGAAAATTTTAATTTTAGAATTAAACATTAAAAAAAAAACAAAAAAGAAATAAACAGAAAAAAAATTGTTAATTATTTTTTAGAATACGATGCACTTTCACGATTGGGAATATCGGATCCACGAAATTTTGTAAAACGTCACTTTCCCAATGAGAATTTAACTCTTCTCGATACTGTGGCAGTTGGCACGACAATATTAGATCAAGTTGACGCCAATATTGATGAAACATTAGCATCCGAATCATTTATGGATATTTATCCACTTTTACCATCAGTTTTCAGTTCTCAAGATGTGGAAATAATTTTAAAAGAAACTTTAAAACGAACAAAACGTAATATTCACATTTATTCAGCAACTGTTGTTGTTTCTGAGACATTTTTACAAAATTTATACAAAAAATTGGAATCATTGGCCGAGAAAAAAGCCAAGGAACTCGTCGATAGTGGCAAATGGTTACAATCAATTGCCGAAAGTCGTTTATTAAAATCAAAAACAACTACCGATGTAATTGACAATAAATCAGATAGAAAAGCAGAGAGAAGAAAAAAGGCGTCAAGTGGCAAAAGTGGAGGTGGTGCACAAGGACGTGAAACAAAGACAAAATCAACAAAAAAAAAGTATCATCAAGGAAAAAATCATGAAATTGATTCAGATGAGGAGAATACAACTCGCATTGGTGGTAAACAAGAATTATCATTTATTACCAATGTTGAGATTGGCAAAGAATTAAAGAAAGATTCAAATATTGCCGATATTGATGAATTTTCTGATGAATTAGCAATATATTTACAAAATTTATTAAATAAACATGTAATTCATGTGGCTGAACAATTAATGCAAAAAAGTAAAACAACAAATTTAACGGAAATTGAAGATAGACTCAATATGATAGCAGTAAATATTCGTGTCTTTGACAAGGGTATAAAACATTTAGATAAAAGCGCACAATCATCTATGATTAAATATCTATTGAAAACATTAGGTTTGGATTTTGTTACGGAAATTTTTAAATTGGCATCTAATCAAAATGTTATACAGTGTCCAAATAATTTAACAACAGAATCGAGGCAAAAATTACTTATTGAATTTCCAAAGGATATTAAAGAGAGTCTTGGTGAATTGCATAGAACTGTGATTGGTGAATCGGTGGAGGATTTTTTAAATGCCATTGAACCAGCAATGGTTGTATGTTGTTTGGTTTTGAAAAAATATGACAAAAAAAAAGATAGACCTATTATTATTGGTCATAGAGAAGCATTACTCGATCAAATTAATTCAACACAAGATCCAGCATTGGCACTTCATTTGGCGACAAATATTTTATTTATTGTTGCCACACAATGTGCATTACACATGTCCGGTCGACATGTTTCGATGATACTTAATTTTTTGCAAACACATTTGGAACTTGAGAAAATGTCTATTCTCACTAAATATCATGGTATTTAAATTAAATTTTTTAATTTAATTAAAATTTATTATTCTTAAATTATTAATTTTTTTTTTGTTTTAGATTTAGTGCTAAAATTATTAAGTTCAAATGACGAATCGGAGAAAGCTGCAACTCTCACACTTCTTGAGGATGGTTTACAGGAAATTAAAAATATTGCTAATGATGCAAAAAAGTATGTGAAAACAGACAAATCACACGATTAATTAATTAATAAAATGTTTCAATATTATCGGATAATCGTTTAGAAATTTTCTTTTTTAGAATATTTCACTTTCGTGAATGCGTATAAAACGTTGAAATCTTTATAACAAAAAATGTGTAAAAAATATAAAATTCTTTTTACATTTTGTAGAATATCTAAATATTTTTTTTATAATTGTAATTCTAGTGATGCACACATTTTAATTAATTATATCGAAAATTAAATTTAAAAACATTTTCAAAAATTAAATCCAATTGTTACATAAATTGAAGAAATTTAATTAAATTGCAATTTTTTTTTAACAAATAAATTAAAATTTTATATTGTTATTTATACTAAAATTTTATTTTAAAAATTAATTTAAAATAAAATGAAATTAATTAATGTTGAAACATTATCACTTTTTTTAATTTTAGTTTTTATTATTACAAAATGTATAGAAAAAATATAATAAAATATTTCATTGTGCATTTCTTGAGTGTGAAATATTATTATTAAAACCAAATAATATTGATAGATATATAATATGAAGAATCTGACGCAATTTGTTGATTATGAATAAGGTCACAAAATGTTGCGTCTATTACATAATATCATCATTGAATGATGTCAAAGTGAAAGAAAAATAGTTTCTAAAGGACTATCAAGTTCTAATAATCTTTTTTTTTTGTTTTTGTTTCTCTACTGAAGAAATTACTAAAGCTTCCATTTACAATAAACAAAAAATAAATGATTTCTATTTTTTAAAATTATTTCTCTTGAATAATAAAAAATGTCAAAAAAAAATTTAATTAATTCGGTAACAACAGCAGTTGATGAATCTCTAACAGGATTGTCTATGACATTTCCGCGTCTTGATTTGCACTTGAAGAAACGAGTTGTTTTAGAGCCGCTTGTAAGTAATTTTATTTAAAAAAAAAAAAAAAAAAATGCAATTAAAAATATTTATTTATATAAGATGGCACATTTATTTTTTATTAATTCAGTTTTTTTCTAGTGGGCGGAATTCAGTGACAAAGTGACAATAATTTGCGGTGGTGGCAGTGGTCACGAGCCTTTTGCAAGTGGTAAAATTCCACCTAAAATTTTGATATTTAAAATTTTTGAGATTGATAATTAAAATTTTTGTAATTTTTTTTTTAGGATTTGTCGGATCTGGAATGTTGAATGCTGCGATAGCTGGATCAATTTTTGCCTCACCTCCACCCAGTCATATTTTATATGCTTTGAAATGTGTATCAATAAATAATAAAGGTATGTTGAAAAAAATTTCTAATTTAAATTTGTATAATAATTTAATTAAAAAAAATATCGATATTTGAAACAAAAAAAAAATTTTTTTTAATTATTTTCAGCTGGTACTTTGGTTATTATACCAAATTATACAGGAGATTGTTTAAATTTTGCAATAGCCATTGAAAAAGCAAAAGTTGATGGGATAAAAGTAAAAAAAAAACTTTATTTATATGAAAAAATTAAAATTACACATATGGAAAATTTAAATGATAAAATCTACAGGTAAATGAAGTAATTGCAGCGGACGATTGTTCGATACCAGAAAATGAATTGGGACGTGCTGGAAAACGAGGACTTTGTGGTATTTTATTTATAATGAAAATTGCAGGCGCTCTCGCCCAAAGAAAATACAATCTCGAGGAAGTGACAAAATTTGCAAAATTAGTCTCACAAAATATAGCAACATATGGTGTTGGTCTGACAGCCTGTACATTACCAGGTTTCTTTTAATTTATCAATTTTCAAAAATTAGGAAAAATAATTTTTAAAATGATTTGAAATTATTTAAAATGTATTTTTTTAAAATTTAATTTTCAAAGGTAAAGGATTAATGTTTGAGATACCAAATGATGAAATAGAATTTGGCTTAGGGGTCCATGGAGAGGCGGGATATGAAAGAAAAAAATTACAAAATGTAAATGAAATTGTTTCACAAATTTTGAAGAAATTAATTGAGACACTATTAATTCGTTCTAACGATTCAATTGCAATAATTGTTAATAATTTCGGTGGATTAAGTCAATTAGAGACTGGAATTGTTGTCAAAGAAATAGTTACACAATGCCGTAAGTATAATTAATTTATTATAAATTAATCATATATAATTAAACTAATTAAATTTTTTAATACTATAGAATTATTTCGAATAAAACCCTTACGAGTTTATTCTGGAATATTAATGTCATCTTTAGACAGTGTTGGAATACATATATCAATACTTAAATTTCCCGAGAATGAGAAAGAGCAAATTATTAATTGTCTCGATGATTCAACTGATGCACCACAATGGCCAGGAAAATCATTCACAGTACCGTTTGAAAGTGAAAAATTTTCCATTAAAGAAGAAACGGTGATATTTCATAAATTGGGTAAAAAATTTAATGAACACGAGGAACGTTTGTTTAAGGAATGTTTATTGAAAGCTAGCCAAGCGATTATTGATAAAGAAAATTATATCAATGATCTTGATCGTGGTTGTGGCGATGGAGATTGTGGATCAACATTGAAACAACTTGCTGAGGGTGAAAAAAATTTCATTTAAAAATTAATTAATTTTTTAATTAATAATAAAAAATTAATTAATTAAAAATAATTAAAATTTCCAGCTATTGTGACATCTGTAGAAGATTTAAGTTTGTCACACGCTGCTTCGGTATTCATGGAACTTTCCTACATTGCTGAGGAAAAAATGGGTGGAACGTCTGGTGCATTATACAGTTTAATGTTCACATTGGCGGGAAAAGAACTTGCTAATTGCGATAATGAAAATTGGCCACAATTATGGCATAATGCCTGGAAAACGGCAATTAATGGTATTATGAAGTACAGCAAAGCCAGAATAGGCGATAAAACAATGGTTTTTAAAATATTTTTTTTTTAAAAAAATCTATAACAATTCAGAATGTTGACACGTAACAGTTACTGAAAATGATAATCCTGTAAATTGAAAAGAATTTTTTTCTTATTCTACAATTCTAAATATAGTAGAAAATAAATTTATGTTTCTTGAAATTAATTCAATTAACAGGATCAATTTTTTCGGTAACAATTGTTACGCGACGACTAATCTTTAAAAACAATTTCTATATCGAAATTTCTTTTAGCTTGACGCTATGGTACCCGGTTGTTCAGAATTTGAAACGAATTTATCTCTTTCCGTTATTGAGATTGGAAAGAAAATTGAGAAAGCAGTGAAAGACGGCTGTGAAGCTACAAAAAAGATGACGCCAAAGTAATTTATCTAAATCATAAAATAGATTAATTTAAAAAAAATGTTAATTAACAGAAAGAATTAATTTTTTCCTCCACAGAGCTGGTCGTGCCAGTTATGTGAAACAAGCGGAATTTTTGACACAAGTCGACGCCGGAGCTTATGCAGTGACCACATGGATAACTGCAATTGTAAATACAATTTTAAATTTTTAATAATTTATTATTATTATTATTATTTCTACACGACTATAATTGTATAATGCAAAAATTTATACAAAAAACAAAAAGAAATGCGAGTGTTTTTGTGTCATTCTCTTACAATGTAGAAATATTTGTGAAAAATTATTTTAAAAAACTTTTTAAAGTATTTATAATAAAGAAGTTGAAAAAAATGTTCTTTTTAGTTATTATTATTACAGAATTGGAAATACCTGTATTTTTTTTATTTAGATTACTTGCTTATTATCACATTTAGAAACAGACACACACACTTAATCTTCTTTTTTGCTCAAGTTTTCCAGTCTTTCAAGAATTGGCGGATGACTATGATGCCAATTGGAATACAATTTGTCAAACACTGGGAAGCCTAAATTATCAGTTTGTAATTTAATCAATGCCTTCTTTAAATTCTCCGTGTAACCCAAATTTTTGGCAAAATTGTCCGCTTGAAATTCAAATATTCGCGAACACACAGTTTGTCCAAAATCAATGAGCTAGAAAAAAAAAAATTAAATTCCAATAATAATTAAAAAAAAAAAAAAAAATTTCAGTAAAAGTAAATAAGAATACAATTTTACCTCATTGATTGGCAATAAAATGTAGGTCAATACGATAATGAGACCAATAAGAATTGGTTCCGATTCAGTAAAACCAAAAGCAATATACATTGGATGATAATGCAGAAGCATATTAAAAACATAGAAATTAATCAAAATCGATATCTGTAAGAAGTAAAAAAGAAATTTATTATTAAATTAATCATTTTGAAAGAAAAGAAAAAAATGCCTACCTGAGCCAAAAGAAGATTTTTCCAAACATGATTGTATTTCCAGTGACCAAGTTCGTGCGCTAAAACAGCAACAACTTCATCATTTTCACAGCCATGATTTTGATTATCTTCATCCTTATTTTTCTCATCATCACTAGGTTTATAGTATTCTTTAACAAGAGTATCAAAAAGGACAATTCTTTTATTCCTATGAAAACCATACATATAGGCATTACTGTGTGATGATCGTTTAGAGCCTTCAACAATAAATAATTTATAAAGTGGAAAATTCAATGATGAGGCAAGAGCTTCAATTTTATCTCTTAATTCTCCCTCAGGAAGTGGTGAATATTTATCAAACAGTGGCGCAATAAATTCTGGATAAATAAGCATCATTACCATTATCATAACCATTGTGAATGCCCATAAATACAAGACAAAATAATCGCCACCATTTTTAATAATCCATATTACTCCACTCATTATTAATAAGGAGAATATTTGCGTGACTATTATTTGTTTTATTTTATCTTTTATGAAAAAAATTGGTGTCTGAAACAATGATTAACTTATTAAAAAAAAATTCTAACATTTCTAAATTGAGTAACTAAAAAATATATATACAAATAATAATAAAACTCACCTGTTTGTTAAATCCATGTTTTTGTTCAATCCAAAATGTACTGTAAACATCTATTGGCAGTTCAACAAAGAATGAAATCATACTCGTTAAAAACATACATGTACAGCTGTTTAAAATATCATTTTTACTACCAAAACCAATTGATTCATTCACTCTTAAACTCCATTCCCAAGCGTGATAATACGCAAAGGAAAGTATTAAAATCTAAAACAAATATAAAAAGTAATTATCGAGAAATTTCTAGATATTTTATAATTTTATATATTATATATTTACCGTTTTATAAATGGTTGCGAATACAGCTTTAAAAATTCCAAGATTACTTTTATCTAGTGTATAAAGACGTGATTTACTATACAATTCTTGTGTCATTATACCATCTAATAAACTTGGTACTGTTTCTAAATTTTTCACTAATTTCCTCTGAAATAAAAGAAAAATTTTAATTAAACATTAAATAAAAATTTATATAATATTTTTTTTTAAATAAAAAATCTACAATCATTGTTGAAAATTTACCTGCCGGAAAGATAGATAAAGCTCCCATAACGATATTGTCCATATTACTATTAATATTTCAAATCGTAAATTTTCACCAACAAAATCTAAGAATGCTTTCATTTTTTATTTTATTTATTATTCACTTAAACAAATTTTTCTGTTAGGAAATGAAACAAGTTCTTTTTTATTTAAAATGCGGTGACACACGCATCACGACAATCTTCTTCTTCTTTTTGTTTAAATGGCCTCTTGTATATACAGGTAGCCAGTACTAAATTTTATTTCCAGTTAGATGTATGTAAATCCAGGTATGTGTATGTAAGTCAGATACAGCTATGTACATAGCCTTTAATAGATCCCACAGTGCAGTATGCTAGAGGGAGAGGGAGAGCGGGAAAATTTGAATAATTCAAAACCAAGTTCTCTCTACCCAAGTGAGACTAAGAAAGTTTAAGTGAAAATAATAAAATGCTTATGATAAATTTCTTTATTAATCTCTTCCTTCTTCCTTCAACCGTTCTCCTTCCTTCTTTTTCCTCTATTTATTATTTATTCCATTACAATCTTAAAATTAAGAATAATTAATACACTCAATAAGAAGAGCGTGTAAAGAGAAAAAAAAAAAAAAAAAAAAAAAAAAAAAAAAAAAAAAAAACAAAAAAACAAAAAAAAAAAAAAAAAAATATATAATTAACTTATAAATTAAACATTTAGTAATAAAATCTCAATTCATTCTGCTCAAATAACCACATCGCCACTAGCAAAAAATTTACCGATTTCTACAACTATATCAGCATTTGGATTAAAAATCAAATTGTCCAAATCAAAATTATCAGGATTAAAATCAGTTATCTTGGTATTTAGATATGAAAAGAAAGCCGGTCTACCCGTGGAAAGAATAGGACAGTAGCTAAGTAGGTGTTTGAGGTCTTTATATTCCGCACCACACTCACATCCTAAAGGAAGAGTCCACTGCATTCTTTCAAAGTGCTCTCCCGTACATATATGCGAGGTCCGCAACCTGGTCACAGTATTAATGTATCGGCGTGGAGCTTGGATTCCTTTAAACCAAGGTCTTTTGGTTTTGCAATTAACCCTTGTATAATATCTATTACTCGAGTACCGTATATCGGCGTATGGCCAATTTAAGGATTTCCATGACTCAAAATCTCGCTCTAACAGAGAAATAAAGTCACGCAGGGGGGTACCTGAGTAGTTCCCAAAAGGTAAGTACAATGATTTTTTAGCTACCAAATCTGCCATTTCATTCCCCTTGATCCCTATATGCGCCGGAATCCATAAAAATCGTACCCTTCCACCCAGGTTCTTCAACTCGAAAATCACTCTGAGAATCTTTACAATAAAAGGATGAGGATCCCTAATCCATATTCTTTGGTCAAGTTCTTGTAAAATTTTCCGTGAATCAGATATGATAAGTGTATTATCGTTTTTCATCTGTAAAGAGTGCCTCAATGCCGAATAGATTGCATATGCCTCACATGAATCTACCGACATCAATCCGCTCAAACGAACACCAAATTCCAAATTAATAGAAGGAGCAACAAAACTAGCGCCAGAAAGACCCTTAACTGGATTATGAGAAGCATCAGTAAAAAATTGAATAAATTCTGAAAAATCCCGCTGCATCAACTGATTAAAGGCTCTATCGGGTTGAGCATCATTCTTCAGTTCAAGACCAGAATGAACGTCAATGTCAAGGGAACTAGATAGCTCCTCCCAAGTCATATCAAAAGTTGAGGGTTTCCTGGATTTAAAAGCCTTCCTAGTAATACATGTCATATCTCGATATGTATCCAGCAATGAAAACTTCATCGAACCTGTGTCCCGTCTATATCTCTTATCTATTAGGCATTTCTCAGACAACAATTGCAACTTTGGAACGAGAGGGTTCAGAGACCAAGCAAGATTTCGGAGCATGTGCCGTTTGCCAATGATCGAGCGTCTCAAGGCCAGTGGTGACTCATTCACCTCAGATAACAAGATGCCGACAGGGGTTGATTTCATGCATCCTAAAATGGCACGCAACGCAGCCAGTTGTATTTTATCTAGAAGGTCCAAGTTAGATCGACTAGCATTTGCGAAGAGTTGACAACCCCACTCCAGGTGAGCCCTGATTAAACCCTTATAAATTAGGATCATTGAGGAAGGATTTGCTCCCCATGATATCTTTGACATAGCTCTCAGGATGTTGATGGCTCTAGAAGCTTTTTGAGCTATACTCCTTATATGCAGTGACCAAGTCAATCTGCGGTCCAAGTGAATCCCCAGATAGATCAAGTCATCCTGATTTTTAATTCTATTGTTCCCTATTTTTAAATATATATCATTAAGCTTATCTCGTGTTTTGGAAAAAATGGTTAATTGTGACTTGCCCGGAGCGATGTCAAGACCAATCTCTGCTAGCCAAGGTGTTAATACCCCTACAGTTTCCTCGATCAAGTCTATCGCATCCTTAACATCTTTCGACCTCACATATAGGAGAAGATCATCAGCAAACATTAGCCATTTGACTCTATAGGGAATGACAGAGGCTATTCCACTTAAAGCTAAGTTAAAAAGCAGGGGCGATAACACCCCTCCCTGTGGAACACCTACATGCGAAACCTTAAAATCACACGAATCTGCTGAAAAAAACAAGTTCTTCGACGAAACAATAAACGAGACGAAATTCACCAATCTGTCAGGAACTCGCAGTTTGACAAGGTGACTATAAATTGCACTGGGAAGGATGTTGCTAAATGCACCCTTGAGATCCAAGGCCAAGGCCACAGTATGGTGCCCCCCGACAAAGCCCTGCTGAATGTCCGTAGTAAAGGTGGAAACACAGTCGATCGTCGATCTCCCCTTGCGGAATCCAAACTGACCTATCGGAATACTGTTTTTCATTTCTAGGTAGTGTTCTAGTCGCTTTTGAATCATCCGCTCAAACAGTTTACTAACCGCAGATGTCAATGAAATCGGACGATAGCCCTTGCCCTCCGGTTTGGGAATGAAAACTACTCTCGTGTTTCTCCATGACGTTGGAAAGGATGACTTTAAGAAGAACTCATTAAAAAGAGACAAAAGCAAGTTGTGGGCATCCATTGGTAGTTGACGCAAGATTAAATTGGAAATAACATCTAGACCTGGAGCAGAATCCCTCTTACCACAACACATTGCTGATTTAAATTCCGCTCTCGAGAATGGACCATTAAGTAGGGAGTCATTATTAACTCCATGAATCAGGGGAAGATCTACAGGAAGAACATCTTCTTTCACCAAATCCCTTTGTAGTTTGCTAAAAATTTCAGAGTCGGGGTCATTGCAAATCCCTGTACGTAAGGGTTGCGTTGAAGACGAGAAAGCCCTAACCTTCTTCCAAATCTCTTTAGAACCCATCGCCGGACTAACCGAGTTACAGAAATCAACGAAAGAAGTCTTTTTCTTGTTTCTCAAAAACCACTTAACCTCGCTATCAACTTGATCAAATATAACTCGCATTTCCTGGGACTGAGACTTTAGGAAGTTCTTTCTGGCCTCTCTACGCCTTTCAAGAGCCTCCTCACAAGATTGGTCCCACCAGAGTGGTTTGGCTTTTCTTAGACCAGGAAGTCCTGAGGGGTAATAGGCTCCCGCAATAACCAACTGATCTTTTATGTCAGTCAACAACTGATCGTAGATCACCTCCGGGGAATCCTCAACCTCAAGACGTTGTGACAGAATCTTAACACAGGAATTAATTCCAGAGGAAAATCTCGCCCAATCAACTTTATTAGTGTTCAGTCTATTGACTGAGGCCTTTTGATATTTAGCGGAGACATCCGTACAAGCCACAACCAGGAAGTGATCCGAACTAAAGGTGTCAGAGGTAACATCAGCCGACGTAAGTCTACACAGGTCAGCAGAGACAAATATTAGGTCAATGTTCCCCCCAACCTTACCCCTACCACTAACATATGTAGGATCGCAATCGTTCAGCGGGACCAGGTTTGCCTCTTCCACAGCCTCGCTCAGTTGGATTCCCCTCAAATTGCAATTAATTGCCCCCCACATCCATGCGTGGGCATTAAAGTCACCGCATAGAATATAGGGATTTTCTTTAGTACCACAGCTAGTCAGCTGTTTCCAAATTCGAGAGGGAATCTTAACGTTAGGAGGGGCGTAGACCGAGAAAAACTGGATTTTCCCTATGTCAGAAGCAATGGTTACCCCTACACAATCAATGTATTCTAATATTGAGTGTTTGACTTTAATAGGCGCAACCATAAACCTGCTACGGACCAAGATCAACACCCCACCCCCATGTCGCTGATCAAGCCGATCGCAGCGATAGGTGGAATAGCCAGGGATTTGCCAAACTTTAGTTCCAGCAGTGAGCCAAGTTTCCGCAATGGCCAAGACATCCAGCCCATAAATATGTAACATCGACTCTATTTCAGCACGTTTATTTAGCACACTGTGAGCGTTCCAAATTCCATATTTAATAGTTTGATTGGTTGAAGACATCATTACGAACAACAATCCAATTACAGATTACTGTTATAAGTTATATTACCAGTAGAACAACGGGCAAACTATTTTCTCACTTCTATCCAATCCAAATATCAATTACCTCCTCAAAGTTTAACCAACAAAACTCCTCAAATAACTCCCGAGTATCCAAATACCTAAATAGCCATAGCAAAAAACAAGTAGTATATAAAATCAAAACAAAACAAAAAAAACCTCAAACAATTTGTAGAAAACTATTCCTTATCTCCCCTTTTTGAGGATTATTTAATGTGGATTAATTACCAACAAAATTAATTATCCTTAGTATAACCAATTGAATATATAGTAGTTTAATAATCCTTCAAGGAAGATAATACGATTAATTTTGCCAAATCCTCCTAAACATCTATCAAATTTAGTAGGAGGTGTTTTACAACCCGTAACCATTTATAGTACACAAAACAATAACACTCCAATTATTTTAATCGATTTTATATTTGAGCAGTCAGACTCAAATTATGAAACACAGTGAGAATTAAAATATAGAAATATTAAAACAGGGCCATCCCTTACCCCTCATTATTCCTTTTCTCTTTTTTTTTTTTTTTTTTTTCCCCCCTTCCCTTCCCTTTTTTCTTCTTTCTTTCTTTTCCCTTAGCCAACCTCTAAGCCCAATCAATACCAATAACTATAACGACTTAAAACTAACAAAAATAGAACTATTAAATCTCTTAGTAAATAAAAAAATTGAACTCTTCTAAGTGTTCATTTTGTAGAGAGATTCTCATTTATTGAGTTAATCAAGTTTGAGCGAGACTGATTGATATTTATAAGTGTGTTTACAGCCGATATTTTTTCAGACAGTTGATGCTGATTCAGCGCATTCGAAATTTCCAAAACCGGATCAGGAATGGGATTATTTACCTTATCTTGAAGGTCAATAGGTGTGGAAGACCTAGTTGGTTGGGTTGATGTCATACCCTGACGAATCACCGGCAAAGGCAGAGGTGTTTCACCCCTAGTTTCAATGTTATTTAATAAATCAGGATTTTCCGCATAAAACAGAAGTTTAGCCTCCTCTCTATTACAATTATGGATATAACGATATTTTAAAATGCCAAATTCAAATTTAAATACAGGGCACTCCGATGAAGAGGCCACATGGGAACCCTTGCAATTTTTACATTTTGGTTGCAAGTGACCATTCGGACAAAGGTCTGTCAAATGCCTTCCAGAACAAAATTCACACGTCGGGTAAGTCGAACGACATTGATTAGCCACATGGCAGTAACGCTGACAACGGAAGCATCTCCGAGGTCTCTGTAAGGAAGGAGTTATTGGGATAACAAAATCACCTAGTACAATGTTACGTGGAACGATAGGTGAATTGAAAGTAAATTCTATCTTTTCTAGAATTGTGTTCCTATCATCAATAATACGACGAATACTAGCTATATTATCCAAGTCTCCTTCACGACATACCCTGACTATATCCCTGACTGATCTGTTAGTGGGGAACCATCTTGTGAATCCCTTTTTTCTCAAAAAGGAATCTGGGATGAAGAGAACATATCCCGCCAATATTAGTTCTTTGGCACCAACTAAGGTGTTAGCATCTTGCCATTTTGCGCAATCAATTTTTATTTGATTTTTCCCATTACGTGTTATTTGTTTTCCCCCCTCAATAATAGGCGATATTAGATCAATTACACATATCGGGTCCAGTTTTCCAATATTTTTGCCTCTAATGGTGCTCTCCATTAAAACAATAAATGGGGGAGGGCTAGAAGCGGAATAGAGTGGAGGAAGAATACTATTATTCCATTCAAGATCGTGTTGATCCCAAATTACATCCTCAAACTGAGATTGATTGCTTGCATTTTCGGGACCAATATCCGCGGAATGTGGTTGTCGATCGGCCCGTATTTCTCGATAAGAATTTTTTTCAGGAATTAGGAGTTTTTTTGTAATATGACCAAATGAACCATCTGAAGAGCCCGTTGCCACTGATTCATTGTTATTCCTAACGGATATGTTCCTTTTCTTAGGATTAATTGAGGGTCTAATTGGGGAAGGAAGGAAAGAATTAGTGTCATTCTCCGCTGATTGAATATTATTCCCCGTCAAAAGATCTATATCCGCATCCATAACGCAACTCATGACCGCAGGATTAGGGATTTCATTTACACTGTGACCAGGTCGTTCCAAACCTCCAGACGGCACACCCTCCTCAGCAGACTCTTCCCTCAAGGACTCCATCTCATTCGTATTAAACCGGATCAAGCTGAAAAAAAATTCAAGTAAGTAAAGCAACCACAATAGAGAGAAACAATTTAGCCCTATTTTCACATCCAGTACCAAGACATCTATAATCAATCAGTAATCTAACTAATTAAGCAAAGAAAGAGAGAATTTTTTTTTTTTTTTTTTTTTTTTTTTTCTTTTTCCCCTTTCCCTTTCTTTTTTTTTTTTTTTTTTTTTTTTTTTTCTTTTTTTTCTTTTATTTTTTTTTTTTTTTAAGCAAATCTTAATTTGCTAATAATCCCCAAGATTTAAAAACGCACAATGTCTCAGTGATTAATAATTACAGGAGACTGACTGCTCAAATCCCCTATTTACCCAGCATAAGGAAAAAAAAGGAGGAAAAGCATTTCCAAACTTAACACGCTTATTTATTAACAAAATCAACTCTTATCTTTTTTTTTTCTTTTTTTCTTTTTCTTCTTTCCCTCTTTAACCTCCTTTTCCTCTCCTTATTCCTTTTTCTTTTTTAAACAAAATCAGCAAGAAAAATTAAAAAAAAAATAATAATGTACTCACTCAGGCAAGTTGAGGATTATGGTTTAAACCATTAATTTTTAAGCAGGGATAAAGCCAAGCAAATGAAGAATTTATTAGGAGAGAATAAATTGAAGGAAAGCATAAACTAAATTAGCACAAATCCAAAAAGCAGCAAACTCCAAAATATAAATCAGCAAGGCCGAATATTTATTTTCGAAATTAATACCTGTATTCCGATGGTATTAAAGAATGTGGCAAATTTTCCTCAAATTATCAACCATTGATTTTAGGTTATGAGACCATCACGCTTCCTTAATTGATTTTTCCGCTATTCCTTCTGCACGCTTTAAAAATCATTTTTCCATTCAGAAAGAAATCAGTAATAATTTATATAAAATCCATTTATCATAAGGTGTGGTTATTTATATTTAAGATGCACTCGGATTCATATATTGCTGTTAGACATGTGACCAAGAAGATAGTAGTATCTAACCACAATTAATATTATAATTCTCAATACAAATTCTTGCAATTATTTCACTCCTGGCTTAATACCAGGTTTAAATCAGTTTCAAACAAATACACACTTTTCATTAATAAACACAATTAGCCAAATTAAAACAAATTAAACTAAACTAAACTACGGACATACGGACATCCAACTACGACCATGTCCCAAATTGGAGTCCCGCATCACGACAATGTAAATAGTGGACGTAGTCAACATAACCAATATATACTTATTGTCCAAATCATCTGAAAAATTTTAAGGGTACATTTACAAAACACAAAGAATGAACAAATTTGATTGGTTTTCCAAAATAAGAATAGAAAAAAAGAACCAATCAAATTTTTTGATTTTATTATCTTTATCTGAATGAAAACAAATAGTATTGTTAAAGTTTTAAAAAATAGAGGAAAAAAAAAATTCACGCACTATTTGAATGTAAATATTATATATTTTATTGTTCTTAAATATTAAATTCTAAATCTCAAGTAAAAAAAGAAAGGTAAATAGGTAATTAATTCAAAATAATCTAGATAAAAGATAAAAATTTTGAAACTTACGTCATTGATGACCAATCAGTTCACTGTAAATAAGCGCAAGCGCAGTTTTTCATTAACAAAGTAGCAGACGACAATTGTTTTAATTTATTATCTAATTTTATTCTTAATTATTAAAGTACTTAGGAAATGAATGTGTATATTTTGGATGATATGAAAAAATTTGAGAAGAAAATAGTTGACGATTGTCGTAAAAATTTTTAGTTAAAAATGTGAGGAGAAATCTCATAAGTAAAAGTAGTTTTTTTTTTTTGGGCCAAAATAGACCATTTATTAGCAACTGACCTTACTATTTTTTTTATAATTTTGCTATCAATTATTTATCCTTTTTTTTATATATATATATTCTATCATCCACATTTTTAGTTATTCTCTAACTTTGCTTATTTCCAAATTTCGTTTGTTGCCACTGTTCAAAGACAAAGAGCTTTTTCCAGAAACAATCTAAATTTTTATGTATTTTTTCCACAATGTTTTGGAACTTGATAGAAAAAGGTAGTTTTTAAAAATTAAATATTCAGTTTTTTAAATAGAGCCTTAGTTTACAGTAAAAAAAAGTAATTGTTATTTTTTTATTGCATGCTTTATTATTTTCAAGACCTGGAAGATAATTAATTTACTTCTTTACCAAAAGGAAAAGAACAGAAGAAATAATTATTGTAAATAATTTTAATCGCTAAAAAAAAAATTATGCAATGATCTTTAGCATGCATTCTTTATCTATACTTGCAATTGAATATAAGAAACTATAGAATAAATTTTCATTTTTGTAATATTTGTTGAATTGCATTGAATATTATATAATTATTATATAATATTATAAACTTATTATTTGATAATTATTGACAGATAAATTTCAATATGAAGATTTTGAATAGTCACAATTAAATTAGAAAAAAATTATCAAAAGAAACAAAAGTCATGCTCTTGACTTTTTTTTATATGGTTGCAACATGGATTCAATCGTGGAGACTTTCGTCTCTAAAAACACGATTAAGTATTGCCCTCAAGGAGGAATCAACGAGACCTTCAGTTGTATTTTATACAGCAGCTTCTGTTCGATCAAAAGAAGGTTTAAATTTTTTGTATAAAATTATAATTACAATAATAGTTGAATATGTAAATTTATTTTTGAATTTTTTTAGAATTAAATGGAAGCAAAAATAAAACACACACAGGAAATGGAGCTAATGAAGATCACTTGAGTTCATCATTTTGTAGCAATAAAGATGCTGCAAAACTTGGAGATCTTCTTTGGTATCAAGGTGATAGAAGATTGTGTACGATTTATCCACAGGTATTATTAAAATTTTATTTGAAAATTAATCAAAAATTAAATTATTATAAATTTTTTGTTTCTTCGCAGCAAATGATAAATGTAAACAATTGGTTACTTTATCCACCGGGAAAAACAATGTTTCCTCTTCTCGCTAATAATTTTGGTCAAACGTCACTTCTTCAAGATATGAAAATTCATGTTCTTGTCGAAGCTGATATGGAAATTTATAATCCACTTGGTTCTTCAAAAGCTACGAAGGTATAAAAAAATGAAACGTAAATTTAATTGCATAAATAATTTTTTTTTTGTTATTTTTATCTATTTAGCTTGAAGATTACGGAACGATTGTCACGTGGACTTCGGATAAAACATTTGGCGTTATTTTAGAAACTGATTTAGATCATATTACAAAATTTTCAATTGCTTTAATGCACGGACAATGTTTTATTAATAATGGACTTCTCGTTTCTCGTGTTCAATGTAAGTTTTTCTATTTTTTTTTTAATATTATTAAAAAAGAAATTCAATTTAAAAACAAATTTTCAGCTGTTTCAGTTTCGGGAAGTCCATGTTTTTCAAATTGCGAACACTACAATTTTCTCGATTATAAAAGTAAGGGAATAAAAATACTTTTTTTAAAAATTTCATTTTGGTGTATAATAATTTTTTTTTGTGTTTCTTAAAGAAATGATAGGTAAGGCACAGTGGGATGCTTATATAAAAAAATTGCGAGCATTTAGTGATACTGCTAAATTAGTTTCGCAACAAGGTTTAGCTTATGAAGTAAAAGATGCTCCGGGTGCGATTATTACACCGGGAACTCATCCAATAAGCTTGCAATTGCCACTACAAATAACAATTTACGAAGATGTTAAAAGTAATTATTATTTTTTAATTAATTAATTAAAAATTTATTTTTCATTTAATTTAAAATTTCACAGTGGACAATGCTAGTGAGTGTTCTGGTCCAGCAACGCCTCCTCCGACTCCAGCGTCAATGAGCGGATTAAATGGAACAACATCAAGATTGTCTCAAGCTTTAACGAATTCCGTCGAATTAACTCCTTCGGCTTCCTTAGATTTTTCCGCGATATCATATTCCAATACTAGTCTAGCTAGATCTCAAGACTTTGATCTCAAAGAGAGTCCAGTGAGAAAATTTAAAGGTCCTTGCGATGTGGACGATCAAAAATCCTACAAATCATTAAATGTCAGCAACGAAACACTTGACACTTCATCGAGAATAGGATCGTCAAGAAATATTCCATCTATTGCTAGGTAATTCATTACAAAAATATAAATTCTTTTTTAATTACTTTTTAAAAATTCTTTGAAAATTTCATTTTTCTTGTGAAATACATTTTTTTTTAAATTAAAAACAAATTTTTTCAGCACTCCAGCAAGAAAGACTGAAAACGGAGGACAAGCAAAACCTCCAAGTGTTTTAATATACGGCGATAGTTCATTAGCGGTTGACAGCATTAAAAGTGTACTGGAAACAACTCTCAAAGAAGACAAGTAAATTTTATCTAAAAACTAAATAAAAATAAAATTTAATTACTATAAAAGAATTTTGTTTTTCTAGATATTCGATCTACTGTTTGTCATTGGATGAAATTCGTAAAGAAATTTGGATGGATCAAGCATTTTTATTGGTTGTTTATGGAAATATTGGAAATGAAATTTCTACACAACTCGTTGAATATATGGCGCGTGGTGGGAAAATTTTAGCTCTTTGCTCCGATTTATTACACATTTTATTGCCCACATTTAAAACTGCCGAAGTTCGTGAAAATGAATTGGTTCGATTTTCATATGGAAAATGGAAGAATGTTCGCATGATGCATCATATTTTTTGTTATCAACCATCACCGGTGAAAACCAAATTTTCCGAGGAGTTCAAGTATATTTATTCACTCTTTTTTTTTAGTTGATAAATATTTTTATTTTCTAACAAATATATAATATTTTTTTTGTTTTTAGATCAATGACTTCGCAAACGCCATTCACAGTGAAAGTACCAGACAAATGTGGACATTTACATTCATTGATAGTAAAAGTATTAGGCGCTGAGGAAACTTGGCATACACCAAGTATTTTGTTGGCCGATTTTTCGGAAAGTCAAGGCAAAGCGATATTTTCACAAATTCACTTAGAAATTGATCCATTGCAATATGAATTTGAAGAGAGTAAATTTAAAGCACTCAAAGAAAGTAATACATCAAGATTGGAAATAATACGAGATCTTCTTAGTTCACATCTTGATATGAAAGTCACGTCTCAAATTCGTCCACCTGTTGTTTATACACCGGGGTTTTTTCTCGGGAGACATGAGGTAATTTTCATTTTTCTCCACATCAAAGAAATAACGCATGAATTTGACATTAAATTTGAAAATTCATATAGTATTCTGTATATTTTTTAGTCGTATACTTGAAACAAAAGCATTTTTTATTATAGATAACTAATTTTTTGTAGTCAATTTGTAATATACATTTTTTATGATTTCCCTTAAAAATTCCTGCTATTTTCCCTCTGTAATTATTTTGAGCACTTTCTATTAGTCACATCATTAATTTCATCTCTTGCACAAAGAAAGTATAATATTATTAATTTATTGATGATTTTACAAAGTTTAAAACTTGTCCGCAGATGATAGACTGGGAATCGAATTTCACATAGTTATTATATTATTGTCCTCTGCTTGTCTTAAATGTTCTTGTATAAAGAAATCCACGTAGTAAAATTAACTGTGATAAGCATGTGTTTTGAAAAAATAAAAAAAAAATTAGATTATTGTAACTTGCATTGTGTCCATATTGTGCAGCTAAAATTAGAAATGCTGAAGATGTTGAAAGATAAGATGCAACCGAACGATGTTCTAAAAACGGAGAAAATGGAAGTTCAATTTTGCGGAACGAATACAAAATCAAGATCAGCATCTTCCACTTTTCTACCAGTCATGATTCATCGATGTCCTGAACATTTTTCTACTGTAGAATATTTCGAGGTATTTAGATTTTTTTTTTTGTCTTATTTTGTTTAAATGAAATTTTTTAAAATTAATTAATAATTTTTTTCTCATAGAATCTAAATGCAGAAGAAGTGGGTCGTTTAGTAATTTACTCGGATATTATGTCGTCTTCTATGGACGTTGTGGCGAATTGTCGATTACATCATGGCTTAGTTGTAATTCCTTGTCGACAAACTAGGGGCCAAGGTATTTCACTTGTTTGATGAGTAATATTTGAAAAAAAAAAAAATGATAATTAACCTTCAAGTAAATTATTGATTTCTTTTTTTGTAAACAGGTCGCGGTAAAAATACTTGGCTCAGTCCAAAAGGCTGTGCAATGTTTACTCTACAGCTTCATATTCCATTGGATTCACCATTGGGAAAACAAATTTCCTTATTACAACATTTAATTGCTGTCGCTGTGGTTTCAACTGTTAAATCAATACCCGGTTATGAGGTGTGTAATTAAAATCAAAATATTCATAAAATAAAATTTTTATTATTTATCATTTTCGATTATTATTTCAAAAAAAAAAAATTTATTTATTTTATAATTACTTTTGGTGAATTTAATTTTGTGATATTTACGATTTGTCCTTAATTCAGGCATATTTTTTTTAGGATATAGATCTAAGAGTCAAGTGGCCTAACGATGTGTATGCAAGTAATGAATCTAAAATAGGAGGACTTATAGTAACAACTTTAATTGAACAAACCTTGGCAATTTGTAACATTGGTTTGTTATAGAAACAATTCTTGATTTATCTCAAAAAATTTTTAATTTCAAAATAAAATTCGCATCCTTTTTTTTTAGGTACCGGAATTAATTTGTCCAACAATTCACCCACAATGTGTATAAACGAATTAATTACACGCCATAATACAAAGCATGGAACTAATTTGAAAAAATTGTCATACGAACAATTTTTGGCTCTTGTATTCACTGAAATTGAACGAATTCTCAATATTGTACAAAAAGACAATATTGAGTATTTCTATAAAATTTACTATAAATATTGGCTTCACGCGTGAGTAATAAATTTTCAATATAAATATTAAAATAATAAATAACAAAAAAAAAAAAAATTAATTACAATTAATAGTTGATTTTAATTGAAAAAAAAAAAATTATAACAAATTTTTTAATTTATTAGCGATGCAGAAATAATAATTGTTTCACTAAATGGAACTTTTGAAGAAGTCAAGGTAATTGGAATCGACACTTATGGTTTTTTGGAAGTACAAGGAAAAAATGGTAAAACATTTAGTGTCCATCCAGATGGAAATAGTTTTGATATTATGAAAGGATTAATAACTCCGAAAACATAAAATCATTTTTAAATATTATGAAGGTAGAAATTTAAAAAAAAAAAAGACGGATAATAGAAGCATAATTCATTACGCCGGAAAAGCTTAAAAATCAAAGATTTCACATAACATTTATTCATTTTAATTTCAACGATTTGGTATAATTTCAAAAATTGATAGAAAAAAAAATCAATAAATAATTGAGGAGGGAAATTCATTTCTTTTCGTAAAATTAAAATATATTTGTTTTTATTAACGTCAATTACCAAAAGTTGCCGAAATAAAATATAATAACTTAATTTTTAATTATATAGCAGTTTAAAAAAGAAAAAATTTAATCGAGAGAAACTTTCTGATCTCTATATTTACAATAAAACTTCTTTTTTTAGAAGAAGAATCTCATGTGAAAAATTCTCTTTCATCTAAAAATGAAAAAAAAACGAACTAAAGCCATTTTTTCAAATGACAAATAATTGCATTTTTATTTATATTTATTTTTTAAATGTGTATAAATTAATATTTACACCAATTCAAAAATATTCCAGTCAATTTGTAAAGAAAGAAAAATGAAAAAAAAAAAAATAATTCTACGTGTATATTTTTTAAATATCATTCCAGTGTCTATAAAAATAGAATTTATTGTATATGAGGGAAAAAAATCTATTAAAAAGTTCAAAAATGAGAAATTTTTTTTTTCTAAATGGAAACTTTAATAGAGTTTCACGGTGCACTGTTTTTCATATTATATAGATGGCAAGATTAGATATATTCAGGAAAAATCCTAGGCCATGTACTAAGAAAAGAAAATCTGTTTTATCTACTGCCTATATTGATAAAGTAAAAAAAAAAAAATTATATATGTGAAAGAACAAAAGCTTTATTGTACTGTTTATCCAATTAAGAAACTTTATCAGATACTATACATATAATTATATATATATTGTTAATTGTTGAAATAATGCTCTTTTTTCAGTTATACATGTACTTGTTATAAAATAAAATTCAAACCAAAAATATATATGTATATATGTTTAATTAATTAAAATTGAAAAGACAAGAAATGTTAATAATTTAATATATTTCATCAAGTTCTTTTTACACAAAGATATCGGATTTCAAAATTAAATCATTGCTCATGTATCATGATTACAAATGCATTCTTTAGAGAGAATAAATTACTATAATATGTTTCTCTCTTTTTCTTTCTCTTCTCTTTTTTGACAAAAAAAAAAAATAATCAACAACAAATTTGCCATAAAAAGAAATTTCAACGCTACAGTTACACACTGTACAAGATTTATACGTTCCATAATATACACATAAAAAAATGCAAACAATATACAATTAACTTTCGCAAAAAAGCGATATAATTATTAATATATTTAATAATAATAAGGAACAAGAAAATAGAGAAATTAGCTAAGCCCTTATAATCAATTTTCAAATGTTTCATTATTATTATTTGTAATTATTTTAATTCCAAGAGGAAAATGATAATAATTATGATAAAGAGAGCTTTTTTTCTTTTATTTCACTGGTTTCTAGTCTTTTTAAGGTAGCTCATCTCTATTACAGTCTCTCTCTGCCTATTAACTTAAAAAAAAAATCATTTTGATATAATTTTTTAATTGAATTAAAATTTACATTATCGAATTTTTCATTTTGTAAATTTTAATAATATAAATTTCACTTCAAAAATTATTATATCAAATGATTTTATATTTACACGACCCGAATATTTTTCTTTTATTATTTTATTAATTTAAATTTCTATTAGAACAAAAAAAAAATTTCTTTTCTAAACGCAATTACGAATTAACAACATAAACTTTTTAGCCGAAATTTTCACAGGCACCACAATTAATTATTACTAATATTTTGTGAAAATAAGATAAAGAATAGACGTTATAGTCAATTAGAAAAGTTTAAGTAATTGTCGAGCTTTTTCATTAAGATTCATCAAATCATAATAGTTTGAAGATAATTGAATTTGAAAATTGAAGAAAAATCGGACAAACAATTGAAACAGAAGTTTTTGTATTATTAAATAAGAAAAACAATTGCTACAGTATTAATAGTTATTTAATTTTTCACATTTTGTATCTTTAATTGTTGCTTCAACAAAGTGGATAAAACAAAAATATGTGAGAAAAAAAAAATTTTAAATCACAAAATTAAATTTTAATTTTGACTGTCGGTCCGATTTTTTTCTTCAATTCCTATGGAGTTTCAAAATCAATTATTTCATTCAAAATATTGTGTAAGATGAAAAAAGAATTTTTTTTTAAAAAGAAAAATGAATTATTTTTATTTTAAATTTAAATAACGAATTTTAATGAATTTGAAAAGCATAAACGGACTTTTTTTCCAAAGCATCTAACAAACTAGACGTCCTGTATAGTGCATCATTATTATGTATAAACTTATAATCGATTACTAGTTACATTGGTCCGTTAAGAACGATGCACTCGGTTATGAGCATCGACTTTTTTACTGTCCAGACTTCCTGTAATAGTCTTCAATTACTACAAAAAGCCACCTTTTCTTTCTTTTCACTTTTTTTCCCCTCTGAATCAGTGTTCAATCACACACCGCAAATGGACTACAAAAGTGGCGGAGCGACCGTACGGTATAATATATATTTTTTTTTCGACTACAAGTCATTTTACCTCCACTTTAACATATTTTTTTTTTTTTTATTTTTTTAATTTTATTTCCTTATCACACGATAAGAACATTCGTGCGAGACATTTAAAAACTAAAATCTGCACTATCCGTTGCACAGTCTTTGCACGAGAACACAGCTTATGTTAAATAACTGGAAATGTATTTTTTTTTCATTTTTTTTTTTGTTTGTTTCATGTCTTGCTTGAAATAACTCCCTAAACACAATTATCGAGATTATTATTTACATACGATTTCGAATCTACGTTGGCAATATAACATTGTAATTTAATGTCAGTGGTAAAGTTTAGTATCGTTTCACTTAATTAATTTGTAAATCACATCACTGCGAGATTTACTGCGAGATTCTTTATAGTTGAGAAGTAGAATACGATAAACAAATAGCAAAAAAAAATAGATTTTTTAAATTACAAAAAAAAAATTCTATATACCTAAGAGTCAATAAATTAGAAAATTTGATATCGGAAGCCATTTTTGTTTACGCGAGAAACGACTTGTTTTTTAAATTTCAATTTAATTTCTATTTAATTCAATTTGATGGAATTAAATTTCAAATTTAATTCTAATTAATTCAATTGTAGTTGAATTACGTTTCAATTAAATTTAATTTAATTCAATTAAATGAAAGATTTCCATTTGAAATTGACATCACTAAGTTTTAGATTATTATATTTTAAATTTTATCAGTGTTCTAAGTTCTTAACACAAAAAAAAAATTGAAAATTTTGAACAAAATCATTGCCGATTAAAAAAATACATTTTTTTTATTATTATATTTATGCGAAATATGAGGACAATTAAGAAAAAAAAATTGTAACTGGATATTTCAATTTCAAATGAAACGCTCCCGGGGTTTTCGTGAAATTCAACCGTTAATTAGAATAACATTCAAGTTTCTCAAATAACAAGCTTTACCGCATGATTGTATTATTTTGAATACTACAAGGCTATATTATATATTTTCGGAACTTCTAATAAAAAAGAATTCTTTTTCTCTCTTTTTTTCACTAAATATTGCCTTTGCAAGGCATTTTCAAATAAAATATCTATAAAATTTTTGTTGTCCAGTAATTATATTGTTACAGACAAAAAATTTATTGGCAACTATGAGTGAGAGACACTCTTTGTTATTTTTAAATAGCGATTCATCAAATTTAAGATTCGAAAAACGTGATCATTTTTTTTTTTTTTTTTAAGAAATAATTTACAGTCTTAAAAGTAAATTTATCAAAGGTCAAACATAAATGAAAACAATATTCTTAAATAAATTACTAACTTGAAAATAATTTTTATTTTGTTTGCAAAGCGAGCTTTGTCCCTAGAATTTCCTTGATCCACAATATAAATATATTTTATTTTTATCATTTTAAAGCGACTTTCATAGAGATTCGAGGTTTCTGATAAAGACTAGAGTGACTTGTGGATCAATTGTTTTTTTTTTACAATTTACAATTTTTTTTTTCTTTCATAAATGTTTGACCAATGATTAATTATTTAGACTTTATAAGCTATTTGAAAAGTTAATTTTTTTTTCCCCTCATGAACGATAGACTAAAAAATATTAATCACGTGATTTTTTTCTTTTTGTTGCGCACTTGAATATCAATTTTTGTGCCTTAATTTATAGTGATAATCATACATACATCTTTTTCTAGACACACATACTCATACATTCATGAGCTCATTTAGTTTGTTTTTTTTTCACCCTGGTATGACAAATTATAGAATATTTATATATATGTATAGGCAGTATATACAATTTCTTACATGATTTTAAATGAATCTTGGATGTCCAGTATTTGAATTTTGGTACACATAAGGCGGTGGTGGTGGACCGGGAAAATGTCTTTGGCGTTCGTGGGAGTGCATTGGATGAATAACGACTGAACCCATTGACGATGTATTCAATTGTAAAAGATGTGATGTTCCATCGCCAAGATCCAATTCAAGTTCTTGTGGTTCCACCAATTGTAAAGCACCAAAAGACGCGGTTGCCATTGCCACGTCCGGCATTATTCCCGATAAATGACCATCGCTGCACGAATTATTCTCCTAATAATTACAAAAAGAAAAAAATTAAAAAAACTTTTCTCAATTTTTAATTAATATTTTTAAATCCAAAAATTAAAAAAAATTCTATTAATAAATGACATTCTAAAAAAAAAAAATTATTAAATCGTAAATAAAATACCATAATTTTGAATTAAAATTAAATCCAGTTGCCAGGTGTGTAATGAACAATTTCTAATAATGATCGTGAGAAATAATTTGTGAAAGTTCAAAGTGGCAAATAAGAAAACTGTGAATGCAAGAGTATTACGTACCTCCCCAGAAAGTCTATAGTTTTCTCCTTCGGTGACAACAGCGGGTAGTTCGTGTCTATGAGAATAAGAAGATGCTTGACGAGGGAATGTCATGTTTCTTCCATAACAAATAGATGCTGTAGCACCAACATTACTATTTAAATTTAGAGAGCCATCATTTTCAATATTAGGCATATTTTCATCTGTTTCTTCTGAATTATAACATGCCGCATTCTGCAAAAAGAAAATTTAATTAATCATATGCAACTAAAAAAAAAAAAAATTAATTGACAACTCGGACCTTTAACATTATCACAGGTAAACTACAAAATTTAATTAAAACACTATTCAATCTTACTTTCACAAACTGTCAATATTTTTCTTATCCCAAGGAAAATTAATTAATAGAAAATGACTCTATCCTATTAATTTTTCTATAGAAAAAAAAAAATGTTTTTGTGAAAGTTTTAAAAATATATATTTTTTAATTATAAAATGCGATAAATTTTAAACTAAAATAAAACAAAAAAAAAAAAACACTAAAAAATGAATAATTTAAATTATAAAATATTTTGATAACTTTGATTAAATATTTAACGAATTTTTTTTTTTGTTTTATTTTGAAAATTTTTTTTACATAACAATTACAGCGATAAGATTGGCTTGTGTAACTATGAGGAGAAATAGTTCAACTGTTTTGCTTTCTTTAGATCTAAAATCGATATGTAGTGTACTTTTTCACATTGAATTCCATTAATTTTTATGTCTTTTAACTTTCACGGGAAATCTTTCGATATATATTTGCAAAACAGGGTTAATTCCTCAAGAAATCTCTAAAGCAGGTGAGTTATTTCTAATTAATAAGCCAATTAAAATTCAATCAATTAAATCAATATTTCTTTACTCGAAAGAAACTTCCCATTTTTTTTCAATTCTTAAATTTAATTTCTTATGATTTTTAATAATTTCTTTTCATTCACATTAATTGTTAATTTACAATATTAATTACAAATATTTTTATGATATAAAAAAATTATTATTTTTAGAGGCAAAATTTTCATACAATTTTATTCATTTTTTTGTAAATTCTAAAATTTTATTATATATTAAATAATATTGTAATAAGTTCGTTTAGGAGGAAACAAAATAAAAAAAACCTGTTGAGTATTATTTTTACATTCTGAGAAATTTTATATTTCAAATATTATTAAGTGCTGAAAACCTCAAAAGATTATTAGACTAATATATGATATCAAGTGCAACGTTAATATAATTCAATTCTTTAATAAATGAAGCTAAAGACACGCGATATGTTAACTCAACAAGCTCTGATGTAAAGATGAGAAATTAATCTTTTAATTATTAGTAAAGTAAGCACTTTACTAAATGCTTTTATTCTAAAAATAATACATAGAAAAATTCCTTTTTTAAAAATTTTTATATATTATTTTATTTAAAAAAAAAATCTAATATGACGAAGGAATCTTTATGTGAGGACTCATAATGATTATCCAATTTTGCAAGGTCGAAATACCACTTTACTTTGTTATCAGCGTACTATTTGAATAGCAACACATTTATGAAACATTGAAAAAATATTCGAATGTTTCATAAAAAAAAAAAACATTCTTGTCATATATATTTAAGTTAAATACAATTAGATAACTTAAAAATAAAATTTTTAAACTTTATTTTAAATTTATGGAAATTAATTTTTCAAAATTATTTAAATTGACAAAAAAAAAAAAGTTTTTTACGTTAATATTATCAAAAAATTAAGCCAAAAACCTTCTTTCCAAGTTTAAAAAACTCAAATATTATTTTTCAAATAACTAACAAAATATTTTGTAAGGAAAAAAAGATTTTAAAAAATAATAAAGTGACATTTTTTTTATTGTGAGTCAAAATTCAGAATCAACATTCAAGAAACACGCAACGTTTTCTTTGATTAATAGATAATTTCGATTAAAAAAAAAAAAAAAAAGTTCCGCTTCTTTTCATTTAAACTAGTTAACTTTGTAAATTGCTTAAAAAGGATGCAGCTCAAAAACGGGGAGATGTCTCTTAACAGTCTTCGAAGCGGGAAATATTATAGGGGGTCAAAGTCAAGCGCAGTACAGTCGGTGCTGCATCGTTCAACACGGGAGTTGTTTCAAACAAGTTACACTTTAAATTTAACGTGCGACAATAAGAAAATAAAATTAATTTCTTTTTTTATTTGCAAATCAAAAGACGATTTTTTGGTAAGTCTCTATTTTTAAAAAAAAATTAAAAAAAAATAATTTTTAATTCACAATTATATAAAATTTTTGAAAAATTTCCAAATTAACGATGTTAATAATACGATAAATCTCTTGAAATTTAAACGGCAATTTTGAATAATAAGGAAAATAAACAAAAATTGACAATAGCAAATAAAATGACAAATGATAAAGTTGAAATATACTTATTTAAGATAAATATTTAATATATAATAATTAAATAATTAAAATGTAATTTAAAATTAAAATAATGTAACATTAATGATAAATAAAAAATAAATATTTATTAATAATTAATAATATTATTAAAAATGTTAATAATAAAAAAAGAAGAAAATTTATTAATTTTAATTACATTTAATTAATATAAAATTTAGTTAAAAAAATTTTAATAATAAAATAAAAAATTTTGAAATTTGTTCAAAAAAAAAAAATATGCCAATCACGTGATTTTATAAAGAATGAAATGAAATTCATAATGAATTTATAATGAAGTTATAATGGATGAAATTAGTTTTTATTAAAATTATAATTTCAATTCATTTAATAAATAGATCATTTATTAGGTTATCTATTAAAACAGTCGGTCACTAGTTTCGAAGTCATTCAATGATGAAATTCTGTATCATTGTCTAAATAAAATGTAACTATAACTTGAGAGGGTATCACTATCTTTGATTTATAAATTATATTTTTCTATCAGCAACTTTGCTTCTGATAACAATTGTAAATCAGATTAAAAAAATCGCATTGTTTCAGTTAGATCATTATTTGAATTATTCTTCAATTATTATTATTATTATTATTATTATTATTTAAAAATACAAATAAAAATTAATCATTAATTATAAGAACATAAAGTTATAAATAAAAAATTATATAAAAAATAAAAAAAAAATATTTCTCCCAAACTGATAATAAAATATATCGAACATTTTATCGATGAAAATTTATATACTAAATTTACTGAAACTCTATAATCTATTTCAGTGACGAATGTGAACTTCTTGCGGAAATGACAATTATAGTCTTCAATTTGATCTAATTCGTCAGTCAGATTTCTAGGCCGCAATAGCCGCAACTGGTCTTAGAATTGAATAAATTTATCAACAATTAAAGTTGTACAATTTGTCATGCTTAGCTATCAATTCTAATAATAACTCGAGTTTTTAATTAGTAGAAAAAATAAAAAACAAAACAAAAATGTAAATTTTTGAAGAAGCACACGTTTTAAAGTTTAAAAAAAAAAAAAAAAAAAAAAAACATTCTTATATAATCATTTCAGACTTGTTGAATAATGAAAAGTGGTGATATATGTGTGAACACTGGACATAGGAAATAAAAGAGTCAAATTTAATTCACTAGTAAGTCATGAATTAATGTCAAGTATATATTATTTTCCTTTTTTTCGCTTAGAAACAATTTTCCTTTAAGTATACGAAAATCTAAAATCATTTTTTGCGATGTTAGAATTATTTTTAAAAAAATTATTTTTTTTTAAATCCATCAACTCTAAAATACTGCAATAGTTATTTCTATTTTAATAATAATTAAAATAACAATAATAATAATAATAATAATAATAAAATCTTATATATTATAATATTTCATCGTATGAAGAAAAAATGAAAAATAATTTACATAATGAAATAATTACTTTTACAAAAAGTATAATATTTGTTCAAATTGTGACACAAAAATAGAACATGTGTTTCAATATGTACTAGATCTTTGGCATCTGAAATAAACTTGGCAGCGCTTTTAAAGCATTTAAACTATATCTATATGTATATTAAATTAAATTATAAAGAAGAAAAATTAAAAAATTTTATTTGAAAGAATTCAGCATAAAGAGAGAGAAGAGTTATTTTAAAAATAATATTTTGAATAAATTATAAATAGAAAAACATTCACCGAGGTCATGATTAAAAAAAAAAAAGTTTTTCCTGAATTTTTTTTTTCAGTCGTTAAAGAAAAAAATATATATTAATTTTCATTTAATATTTAACAGTGTGCATTATTTATTTAAATGACATTCTCGAATGGAAAAATTTTATGAAGATTGAAAAGAGAAACTTATATGTTAAGAGATGTGCAAAGAATTTCAAAGCCTTAACTATTTGGGTTCAAAGTCTTTCTCTCTCTCTCTTTTTTTCTGTATTGAATATTCAACTCTAAATAGGCTATTGTCATCACAATATGCACGATGTCATTATCAAATGTCTAACAATGAAAAATTGAAACAAAACAAAAAAAAATAAATTTCATTACAAAGCATTTTAAGAAAATTTAAATATCACGTTTAAAAACCATTTTTAATATTTTCATTTGTTAATGATATATCGAACATTCCAAAACAAAAATATAAAAAATTAATTATTAACTTTATATTAATTAATTTTATAATAAAAAGTTTTTTTTTTTTTTTTTTTGAAACGTCGAAAATATGTCCAAAAGATAAAAATAAGATATATCCCGGAATAAATTTTCCTTATCCAACACAATAAATTAACTGTATAGACATGTTACTAAATTTGATATTTTCAGATTATTTCAAAACCGAAACAATGGCACGTGTCAAAGACAATAAAGAATAAATTAAATATTTATTGCATATTAACAAAAAAAAAAATAAAAAATAATCTTTACAACGCAAATCATGATTGAATAATGCGTCTAAATTGCATCATATGAGATTAAAAGACAAATCTCTTTTAAAATTGTATCTTTAAAATGCAAATTGATTATATATTTAAAAATTGTGTTTAGGACATTATCTTGACTCTTTAACATATGTAAAATCTCAATTAACAAAAATCAAATTAAATTATTAAAAAAAAAAATGTTTTTTTCTCTCTCTTTCCAGAAATGACAACAGTTAATAATGAGCTTCCCATCAAAGATCTCGAGTCAGTTCTTCAAGAGCACATTGGTAAAAAATTAAAAATTAAAAATCTCGATTGGAAACATCTCACAGATCCAGGCGAAAATTTTGGTAGTTTAATTTTAGCGATAAATTTAACAGTTGGTGAAAATGGATTTACAAAAAAATTTCATCTTGTCGCAAAACTTCCACCAAAATCCGATTATCTTCTCGATCTTTTCAATAGTCCAATGTCATTTTATAAAGAAATCTATTTTTATAAAGTAATAACACCTGAATTTTTACAATTTCAATTATCCTTTGATATTGATAAACAAGAATTAATTGAATTGGTACCACAATATTTTGGCGGACGATTAGGCTTTAAGGATCATGATAAATTTGATGATCAGGCAACAATTTTATTGGAGAATCTAAAAATTCAAGGTTACGAAACAGAAGATCGTATTATGGGTATGGATAAAAAACATATGTTATTTGCAATTAAAAAATTAGCAAGACTTCATGCATTGACAATTGCATATAAAATGAAAAAACCCAAAGAATTTAAATCATTGATATTGCCTGGCTTACAAAATGCATTCAATAAAGAATCAATAATTGGTTTACAAGATATGATTAATAAAGCAATTGGAAATTTAAATACCCTTAAAGAAGTTGAATTACAAATGCCAAGTGTCATTAAAACAATGGAATATGGTGCATCGACAATGGAATTACAACCAAAAGAGCCATGGGCAACATTAGTACACAGTGATTTTTGGGTGAATAATATGTTATTTCTTCATGATGATAAAAAATCGGAAAATATAATTGATATGAAAATAGTTGATCTTCAATTAACACAATATGAAGATGGTTGTCTTGATTTAATATTTATGATAATGTCAAGTGCAAAAGCAAATGTTATTGATGAAAATTTAGATGAAATGATTGACACTTATTATACATCATTTATTGATTGTCTTAAAATTTTTCATGTTGACGTCAAACAATTTCCAAGGGATGAATTTAATAAAAATATTCAAGAATCAGCAAAACGACGATTAGATCAATGCGTAATGATGGTACAAGTGATACAAGCAAAACGTGGCTCAGCACGTAGGGTGGACAATATTAAAAATAAGGAAAACTTTTTAGATATGGGTAGAAGTAAAGAGAATGATGAGAAATTAATACACATTGTTAAGACATACGAGAAACGAGGATGGTTTTGTTAAAATCATATTACTGGAATTTTCGAAAATTCCAAACATGTAGATAGTAGAATAAAAAAAAAGATTTTTAAATTATAATTAGTTTTTTTTATATATATTTCTATATGTGACAAACACGTAAAATTAAATAAAAGTCAAAATTCATTATTTCATCGAAAAAGTAATTAAAATTTTGTTCACAAAAAATTGGAATTAATAAATTGTAATTGTACAAAGCAAATTGAATTAATGAATCATTTGACTAATTTATCTGCCATATAAACCTCATTTGTCATTAAAGAATTATGAGAAAAATCAACAACTCTTCAAGTTCATAAAGTCAATTCGATTAAATGCAACATTTGTTACATTGTTCGTGGGAATTGCGAGATAAGATAAAAAAAAAAAACCGCTACAGAAAGTATATTTTTAAGAAACAATAAAAACAATGTTATCGCAATTATTTGTACCTTGTCTTTTTATCCTTATTCAGTTTTATTTACTGTTTTCAAATAATTTTTTTTTTTTTAAATATAACAATAAAAATTCTTACCTCAAGGAGATCGGCCACAGCGTCCGGTAAATTGAATTCACGAACAACACGAAGTCGAACTTGCCTATTAATTTCATGTCGTGATGATAAAGGTAAACTAATTGCACGTTGACAACTGGGAGCTTGTCTCAATTTTTGTTCTCGTTTTAACATTGCTGACATTGTTGCCGTGTCTGGAACTAAAAAGGAAAAAAAAAAAATATTTATTTATCAAATACATAAAAAAGATTTCGAATTGTAGAATTTATATAAAAATATTTTTAAAAATTATTAAACATATTACCTGGAAGAGCGGCAGCTAAAATATCAACACCCACAGCTCCCATTGCTCGTGGTTTTTCATCAACCATATAAAGAGTATCAGGAATATCAGGAATGTAACGCGCTCTTCTTAATCTCACTAATTCAACTTCTTGAACCATTTGTTCTTCGACTAGAGCCTAAATATAAATAAATAATTAATTAATTGGAAATACAAAATCAATTAATGAAAATTAACAATATATTTTTCAATTATTGGAGTCATTATTGTAGTCATTGGAATTAAATCAAGAAATAGTTTTAAAAAAATAAAAATTTTTAATTCAAATAATATGCTATTCACCTTAATCTCTTCGTAATATGGCATAAATAATCGAGGCCTCACAAAGAGTCCATTTTTCTTGCCACCTCTTATCCATGCATTCACTCGTAAATTTTCTCGTTCATCACCAATCATATGACTGGGCGGAGTTGAGACCAACCCTCGTCGAATTGCCTAATTATATTAATTATTAAAAATTTTAAAAAACAAAATTATTAATTTAAACTACACATTAATTTCTAAAATAATAAAATTTTTATAAAGAAAATTACCTGAGCGAGAATTTCACTATTCGGCGGTAAAACGTGGTCCATTCTAACGAGGGGCAAAAGCTCGCTTAATATTTCACGTAATTCTATATCACTGAGATCCCTTTTCTTAACGCCTTTCCTCGCCACAGAATGAACTGTATGACTGAGTAAATTGGGTTCTCTATCCTCCATTCGTCGTACAAGTTCCTGTTCGCCCCATTTCAGTACAGCTTGTAGCACTTCAAGTTCGCTCGCCTGTAGGAAATGACTTTGGAGAACGTTTGACAAGTGTCCAAGATCTAATTGATGAAGGATTGGTGATGAAGCCACCGGTTGGAATTCCTCTCTGAGATAATGAAGAGCCTGTCTGTGAACCCATGCCGAACCATGCGGTTGACTTCCCCATCTGTCGTTACAAAAAAAAAAAATAAATTTTCGACTAAAAACAGTTATATTGTAAATTTAATCAATTTCTTTTATATTCTTCTTCTTTCAACTCATATTTTTCATTATAGTATCAGAGAATATTCAGAAAGTAATTTAAAAAATAGAGATAATTTTTTTTTTATACCGAAGGACAGTTGGAAGTGAATCGAGTGTGAGCCATTCTAAAATAAGATCTTCACAGCCTTGAGAAAGAATGTCGAGCTCGAGAAATCTGCCTATTTGATAGAGTTCCATTGCCTCCTCCAGAGGACTCGGTCGCATTCGACCTGTGTGCGTCAATGCCTGAACCTAAAAAAAAAAAGAAAATCGATTCATAAACCATATTTTTAAAAATCCAGTTTTTAATTAATTCTTCAGAATTTTCATTTAATTTTAAACTAATTTAATATAAATTAAAATAAAAAACAAATTTTTTTTTCTTAATGAAATACCTCTCCAAGGCTTCCTGCACTATTTCCACAGCCGCCACCACGTAAAATCAATGATAAATCAACAGTATCAAGATAGACAGCATGAAGTAATACTCTTGCATAACGTTTTGGAATAACACTTTCATCGAGAACAATTCTTGTTGGTATATGAAGTGCACGTTCAGTATGATCCTCGCCCGATCTTGTTCGCCTTTGAATAAGATTACGGAAAAATGGCGATCGCGCCGATAATATTGCTTTATGACATGGTAGCTCTAATTTTGGCCGGAATCCATATTCGGAACTTCCGCTGTCAGGTCTTTGGTAATCGTTATCCGATGTGAATACTAATGCCGCATCAGCGTAATCACCAGTGTCAAGCAAATATCTGAGATCATGTTCAAGTGGATTTGGAGTGCCAAATTCATCACCTAATCGACGCAATAGATTTGTATCCAATGAATTATCATGAGGACATATATCACCAGTGTATAAATATCGTAATAATGCCGAGAACATTGGAACTTCCAAAAGTGGAGTTCTCAATTCTAGACAAATGCGAGCACCATAGCCTGAAATTGAAAAACATTTTTATTTATTTATTTATTTATAATTGGGAATAAATTTGTGTTTCTTTTCTTTTTTGCTAGCTTAGTTAAATTTTTAAAAAAATTATTAGTAATGAATTGAATGAAAAAATTAATTTACCTGGGCATCCTGCTAGTAAATCTCTAAAATAGGGGCACCGTGCAGAAAGAAGAGCTCTATGAACAGGAAAGCAAGCGCCTCTGTAGACAAGATCTACGTCTGTACAATGCTTAAAGTCATAGAGCGTTGACAAGTCTTGTTTAAAAGTTGTCGCTGGCGGCCTCGCCAATTCTGCTTGAACATGTAGATCTTTTAATGCTGCTAGAGCTTCATATTCTTCTAAAAGAGCACCTGCTTCTAAAGGACTCCATGACGAAACTAGTTCCCTTATTATTCTACCATGATCACATGCTTTTGACGATCTACGTCTCCTAATGAATTTCTTTCGTAATGTAGCGAATCCAGTCACTTTCTTTTTTCTTTCTCTGAAAATTAAAGTAATTTCAAATAATTATCAAAAATTAACATCTTTTTTTCTTTATTCATTTATTTTGATTCATATCGAAAAAAAAGGAATTAATAAAGATTATTTAAATTTATTAAAAAAACTAACATTTTAAAATAAAAATAAAAAAGAAAGCAAATTTAAAATCTACAAAGTATGAATATAGGTGTTTTATCGAGAAAAACAAAATACAATCTTCTGCCTTCAGTTACAAGTTTTTTCCTCGTGAAAAAAAAATATATTTTCTCATAATTTCGAATAATTTATTCGAATTTGAAATGACCAACGTCTCAATAATTTCCGACTTGGAGGAGAAATCAGCAAAAGCAAAATTGCCAGACCTATTCAAATTAGTTGATAATGAGAAACGAAATTTGATTAAACTCTTAAAAGATGCTGTGTTAATACCGTCAATAGCTCATGAACAAGAACATTTTTCAGATATTCTCGAAATGGTAGAAATTTTTACATTTTCGTTCCATGAACAATTTATAAATTAAATTATCATTACGTAATTAATCATTTAATAAAAAAAAATTCTAGATTAATTTCTTTAAAAAGGAACTAACGTCTCTGGGTGCAAAAGTTCATTTAATCAATGTTAAACAAGAAAATGAAAAACTACCTCCTGTTTTATTTGCAACTTTAATTGCCGATGATCTTGTAATTCATAAAACAATTTGTGTCTATGGATCTGTTGGTTAGATTTGAAAAAAATATATATTTTCGAAAAAAATAAAAACGAGATATAACAGCAATATTTGTTTATTTTAAATAGATATATCATATTTAAAAAAATCTAAAGAATCAAATTCATTTCAATTAAATGAAAAAAATGAGAGACTATATGGATGTGGAGTATCACAAAATAAAGGAGCTTTAACATGTTGGCTAAATGCTTTGAAAATATATAAAAAAGCAAAAAATAGAATTCCAGTCAATATTAAATTTGTCATTGAAGGCACAGGAGAAACACATAGTTCAAGTTTAAAACGAGCAATTCAATTGAAACCCGATTTTTTTAACGATATCATCTATTATTGTTTTACTATTGACAAAAAAATAAATAATATACCCTGTTTAAAATATGGATTTCGTGGAACTTGTCATTTTTCATTGGAAATAAATTGTGGGGAAAAAAATGTTCATACCGGAAGTTATGGAGGTGCTTTTCAACAACCTCTTTTAAATGCCGTGAATGTCGTCGGAGCTCTATTCGATAAAAATGGCAAAATCTCCGTAAAAGACGTAAAACTTCAAAATTAATATATAAATTAAAATTTTTAATAATTAACAAATAATTAATTTCAATTAATAATTATTTCAAAATAAAATAATAAATTTATATTTGATTTTGCAGTAATTTTGCAATATTTTTTTGATTTTTATTTTTCAAAATTAATCCCCTTTTACAATTAAAATAGCAACAGCCCACGGGGTTTTTGATATTAAAATGCAAAGAAAAAAAAAAAGAAAGATAGATTTTAATTGCAGTTACTCAAGGAAGTAGAGACCTTGTCCCTGGAGGAAGAAAATTATTGCAAGGAATTTCCATTTGATGTTGAAAAATTGAAGGAAAAAGTTGGAACTAAACGTTTGAAACACAAGGAAAAAAATACTCGTTTACTGATACATAAAACGCGACTACCTAGCATTAGTGTTCATAATTTTGATATTATCCATATCAATTGTGACGATAATCATAATTTACCTTTGGCGCCTAATAAGTAAAAATAAACAAAATTTTCGTTGAAAAAAAAAAAAATAAATAATTTTATTGTAATTTTAATTGGCAATTTTTATTGACAGAGTCATTGCCAAATTTTCCGTTCGTCTGGTTCCGAATCAAACAGCAGAAGAAACCTATAAAATTCTTGACAATCATATTAAACAAATTTGGCAGGACAATGGAAATGTTAATTCCTATATATTTAAAATGGATTTTGGATATGATCCATGGAGAGAAAATCCTTTGAGTCCACACTACAAAGCTGCAGCTGAGGCTATTAATACAGTAATATTTGAAGATTTTATCAAATTTCTTGATCAATCATAATTGTACTATTTTTTTTTTTTAGGTTTACAAACGAAATCCTCTTTATGTTTGCGAAGGTTATACATTGCCTGCACTTTCCATAATGGCAGAAGCATTTTTTGAAAGCGATTTACTTGTTCTTCCACTTACGTATGTGCTATTTTAATAATTAAAAAAATATCAAATTAACAGTTTAGAAAAAAATTTAATAGTAGGTGAATGTTTTTCTGAATTTTAAAAATTTCTAATTGCAGTTGCTCTTCAGACAATATGCAATCAAATGTAGAATCAATTTCGCTTATTGATTATATTAACGGAATAAAATTGGTCATCGCTTATATGTGTGAAATTCACGATATGGAATAAACTTTCCTTAGGACTAAGCCAACAAATTAAAATTTCTAATAAAATTAAAAAAATATATATATTAGAAATTTAAAATATATTAAAAATTTAAGAAAAGATGAAGAAATAGGAAAACAAAATTTTAAAAATAGATAAAAATGAAAGAAAACAAAACTTATTGTATACCTGACGATAATTCCGAGTTGATCAGGATGTCCAGAAGATGAGAGCCTTGCTGCCTGTATCGGATCACCACCGATAGCGGCGATACTTGAAGAAGCTGATGCTCCCATTCTTTGGGTCATACAAGAAACATCCCCTTGTCCTCTTCCTGTGGACCAGCAATTTCCACTGCCGCCACTTCCACTGCTTTCCCCACTGCGATGCAGTGCACACGGGATCAGGGCCCGAAATACGTTCATCGCTTACCCAGACACCAGCCTAAAAAAAATAATGTACTATTACAAAAAAAAAAAAAAAAAAATTCAATTTCACATACTTTTGACACTTTACAATTTCAATCCCTCAAAAATTATCTCCCATATAACTTATTACTGTACTATCATTATATAATTAATAAACTATAATTTTATATTCTAATTATTATTTATTTACATTATTAATTTATTATTATACTAAAAATATTAAAATTTACTTAATTTTTAGTGCAAAAAAAAATAATTTCTCAAAATCTATGAAAGGAAATCCAAAATATTTATATGAAAAAAAAATTAAAGAATATTAATATTTTCTAGACATTTTATATTCAATAATGTCTCATGTAAATTGAGCGATGATTTCATACATTTACTGGAACTAGAATTTTTAATTAAAAAAATGTCAAAGATCTTAAAGAAACGTCAATTCATTATCTTTGTTTGGCTCAAGAAACATTTTTTTTTTTTTTACTAAATTTAATAATTTTATTAAAAAAAGAAAATATGTCACTATGCAGGATAAAATTGATTAATTTCTATATATATATATATATATATATATATATATATATATATATATATATATATATATATATATATATATATACATGCATATATATATATATATGTTTAATTAAATTATTAAAATAAAAATAAAATTAAAGATTAGAAAATATTTCGGAAAGAAAAAAAAATTTTCATTTTTAATAATAAAACAAAATTACAAGTACCTAATTACTCGTGTTGTTGTTCAACTGTTTAACTGACCAAAAAAAAAAAAGGGAAGCAAAGCACTTGTCATTAGCACTTATCAGCTGTATCATATCTAACAATCTAAACCAGCTGTTTTACTTTAATAAACAAATAGAACATCAAACTAAATATATAATTGTTGTCGAAATAATTTTTTCTTTCTAGTGGCAATTATTTTTAATTGTTTCAAAATAAGTACAAAAATTCGAAGAAATATTGCTCGACCTAGATAAAAAAAAGTACTCCGAAATAACCCGCGATATAGGATTGAAAAAAAAAAATCACCTATTTACTTATATTCTAACTTATTTTTAAGTTAACAAACAATTTAATGAGTTATTATTAAATAAAACATTACCTGGGTCTTTTGTGCACATATTTCTGATCGTTTTATTACGACCACTGTAAAATATTTTTCGATTTAATTACACACAAACACCCATCGCACAACACGCCGGCGGCCATGTTTACAATCAGGTGCACCCAAAAAAAAAGCACCAAATAACAACTTGAATTGTTAATTTTTACCAAAACACATTTCTCACATCTCTTGAAAATTACTATTACAAGAAATATTAAAAAAATGATAACTTTAATTTTTCGTTGATTTTTTTTTTTTTTTTATTATAACAGACAATCCCGTTAGGTTTAAAGTTGCACTTGAAATGTCAATTTAACATCGTATATAATCAATAATGTTCACTTGATCTTTCATTTTTCTTGTTTACAACAATCTTTTTAATTAAACTGCACTTAATTAGTCGACGAACTCTTTGATTATTACATATTTTATTAAAATAAATTTTCCCTTAGCGACAGAGTTTTTGTTATAGGTCAGATGCGACGGAAAATTAACCTAACCTGATGCGCAAAATCAGGGCATCCAACCTTGAGAAAAATAAAACCAAACCCATAAATTATTTAAAAATAAAAAAAAAATTAAACTTATTTAAAGTATTGATTAATCATTTTTTAAAAAATAGTAAATAAATTTTAATTATTATAGTTATAATTTACGAATAATTTACTTAAATTTTCGTAAAACTGAATTCAATTTCAAATGTACGCCAAATTTATAAATGCGGAAATAAAATGTAGATCATGATTTAAATTTGAAATTTGATAACCACTTGCAAGTTATATTTAAAATAATTTAATGAATTTCTGTAAAAAAATTTATTTTACATATTCTATTTTATAGACTGTTTTTTTTTGTTTTTAATTATTACGGGGAAAAAACAAATATCGATTGATAACAAATTTAAAAATAGAGGTGCACTGCAATTTCACAACGTTAGTCAAAAACACGATTGTTAGATTTATGAAATAAATTTAAATAAATATTTTCAAACAAAAAAGTTGTTTGACTAATATTTCTTTTTGTAGCTTTTCAAAAAATATAATTTTCAATTTAGTGAAATATCGTTTTTAAGCAATAATAAGAGATTATGTAAAAAATAAATTTGACTTAAATTTCTGCATCAAAACTATTTTCGATGCATTTTGCGCATACGCATATGCTTAATGCTTGGCATGAGAGCATTTGCAAAAAAACAAACGGTAATTTCATTCTGAAAATTTAACACATTTCTTAAGTGAAAAAAATGGCACTTCAAAATATTAATAAAATAAGGCCATTAATTTTTGGAATCACTCAACAACAATGCAGAACAATAGTTTCAACACCTCCAAGACATAGAATGTCTTTCATGGTAAGTTTAATTTAAACTCTTTAATATTTTTGATTTCTTACGTAATAATGATCATTTATTGCTTACAATTAATTTAAAAATATTATTTAATTAAGATTATAAATTATCAAAATAGTCATTTAATTTAAAAAAAAAAAAATTAATTTAAAGAATTAATAAAAAGAAAAAAAATACATTTTCCATTTTAGAAACTAAAAATTCTCGTCTATTTATATAATTTCAAATAAAAAAATTCATTTTCATATATTAATTACTATTTCCACATTTAAAAAACATTAGAATATAAAAAAAATTTAATTAACAAATTTTTTTTACATAATTTTAATAATTTTTATTTAGGTAAAAATAGGAAATGGAGTCGCTCTAGGATGTGCAATTATGGCTACTCCTTTGTATATTTCAGCAAATCTTAAAAATTACAGAGGCAAAAAAAATTGATTAATTAATTAATCTTGTTAATTTAAAAATAGCAACAAAAAAAAATTCAATTATACTGCCTTATTTAATACGTGTTTAAAATTAATATTTATTGTACAACAAAAAAATTGAATATAGAATATTAAAATAGAACAGTTTATTTATATTATTATATTATTTTTGTCATATTTAATTATTATGTTACTATTAATATTCATTTTATAATAATTTAATTTATTATTCAAAAAATTTCATATTTTTTGATTTTTAATTATTAATTATTAAATTAGAATAATTAATTGTTAATCAAATTTAATGGACCACACTAATGTTAATAAAGATAAGTAACAATTTTTATAAAGTTTTAATAACTTTTTAAATATTTAAATATATTTTTTATGGAATTAAAAATTTATTTATATTTTATCTAGAGCGATGGAGAGAATGCATTCGTCCCTGAGTTTTGAAAATTTTTATTGGCTGGAAATATTTGCTCCAATGGAATTTTATCAAAAGGACCAATAGCACGTTCTTTTAGTTTGACCAATGAATTTAAAAATAAAGGAAAAGTCCACAAATTCTAGTCTACGTCACTGAAATTGATTGTTCACTACTACTTGTGTAAATTAATCGAATCGTGTGAAAAGAAAATTAAATTAATTTTCCAATTAATACAACAGGTATGTTATGAAACAATTACTGTAATATTATCATAAATGCATTAATTCTTTTCATCTAAACTAAAAAGTTTGTTTTTTTCTATTAATATTGAAAAATAGGTAAAGGAAAAATTTATTGTCATCTTTATCACACGATAATACAGTGATTGAAATCATTAAAATAAAAGTTGTGCAAATCTAGAGGGATTTAAAATTTTTTTGAGTAATATTATCTATTTTTCAATTTACAGTTACATCACATACTAGAGTGATCAATAACATAAGAGAAAAACTTAGCTCTTGGAAGGACAAGAAATTGGAACAATTTTTCTCCACTGAGATTGAATTCTAAAATTTCACCTGTTTAGGAAAATATAGAAAAAAAAATTTGAAGAAAATGCTTTTCTCCAGGAACATCATTTCCACTGTCAGGAGTCCTGTTATTAATGCAGTTATTAAAAGAAATATAGTTTCTACACCACCTAGATATCGAATGTCTCTTCCTGTAAGTTCTCCTTATTTTCTTTTTTTTACTTTAATTCTGATTTTATTAAATTAATTGTCCTTTTAAGTACACCAATTCGATAATAAGAAGTTTAAATCTTCAATTGTTTCAAATAGAGAACCAATAATGAGATTTAAACAAAATCGAATCTTCAAATTGAATAACATAACCTAAAAATAGTTTGCTTCAATATATTACGTAATATATATTATGTAAAATTATTGAATCGTGTTATTTTATTTACTCATATTAATTAGTAGTTTAATATTATTTTTCATACTATTAAATTTAATTAATATTAAATTTTGATGTTTTGTTCGTAAATTTTGTTTACTAATCTACAATGATTAAAATAAATAAAATAAAATTTGAATAATATTTTTGTTTTACTCAAAATCATAATTTGAAATCGGAGAAAATTACAGTATTTCAGAAAAATTCATGATATTTATTAAAAGCGATTTAATAATAATTTAAATATATAAATGTAAATATTTTAAATTTTACAAAAAATTAATTTTTTCCAGGTGAAAGTGTTGAATGGAGTTGCAATAGGAGCAGTAATGTTGGCCTATCCCTTGTACATTTCCTACAACCTCAAATATTACAAAGGTGAATCAAAAGAATAGTAAAAATGAATTTAAAAAAATAGTTACGTTAATAATGCAGTTACTTGCAATAAAATGAGTTGTAAGTTTTTTTTTTTTTTTATTAATATACTAATGGATTATAAAAATTTAAATGACTTATGTCTTCGTAACCTTTCTAAAAAAAATTGTAATTATTTTTTGAAGTTATTTATATAACGCACTTATTGTTAGTTTATAGAAGTTTGATTTTTATTTATTCGTAGAATTTCTTTTCATTTTTAACGAGTACAAAAAATAATTTTTGAGGAAATTTGATTAATTTTAATTAACTGGTTTTTTTTTTTATTTACTTATATTTTAAACAAAAATTTAGATAATTTTGACTTTATAAAATTTTTCTTATCTAATTTTAAATGATTCTTTTCACGTGTGACACGTATATAGAAAAAATGATGTTCGTGTTTGATGGTAATTTACAAAAATATACTGATCTGTATAGTTATTAAGCGCTCTTTATTGATCGTCTTTAACATGCGAAATTTGAGTGTATAGGTGTATAAATGTGTGTATAGGTTTCGTGACGATAGACCGCTTTTCTTAAAAAATAAACAGACAGGAAAACAGTTCGCTTTTCATCGTAAATCAACCTTATGAACGAAAAGAAAAAGAAAATATCCACAAAAAAAAAAAAGATTCATTCTCAGATACAATTTATACTAACATTCGAAGAAAAATAGAGAGAAATCTCTTTATTATAAGATAAAAAAGAAAAAATTTTTTGAAATACAAAATAATTTGTTTATATAACATTTTCATTTTTTATTTAAAAATAGTTAATTAAACATTGATTTTAATTTTATTTTGAAAATTATTTTACCGCCTGAGTTATTTTATAAGTAGAAAAAATATTCAAACTACTTTCAGTTCAAATGTTTCTTTGATTTTTTTTTAAATTGACGATTTCGATGAAAATCAAACTGTAAACGTTAAACATTTTTTTCTTTTAGTAAATTTTTTAAGATTTAAAAATAAATATATACTTATTTTTAAAAAAGAAAATTCGGATTGAGTTTTTTTTCAGGTAATATTCATGAATTTTCACTTTTTGATCTACGAATAGTAAACGATAAGCGGAATTTTTGAATATATAAACGAAATGATTTAAGGAAATTGATCTGACGGTATCGTTAAATTTTCAAACCCATATACATATGAATAGAGTCCTTTAGTTTATGGAACATTATAATAGCCCTCGAAATGGGCCTTTAACACGCAAAATAAATCCCTTTTTTTTAACACCAAATCGACGATCGCATATTCACCTGAAGAGGCATTGTACGAGGCAAGAAAAAGTGTTCTCCATATATTTGTGTGTATCGCGATACGAAAACGTATATATATATATATATATTCTTGAGGAAATGGAAACTTTTCATTCAGAGGACTCGAAAAGAAGAAGAAGAAGAAGAAGTTGGTATAAGAATGTAATTTGAGATTCAGAAAAGGTTTGAAAAATATATAGGAAATTGAATTCTCGGCTTCTTTTGATTTTATCGTCAACTTTAAAGAGCTTTTATTCAATTTTATAGTCGTTCCTGTGGATTTAAAAGTCAACTTTAAAATTCTTCAACTTCCATGAACGAGAGAAAGCAGAGAACTTGAGAAATTGTCTGAGATTAATTATGTATTTTCGTTGCTGATGGTAAAAAATAGAGTGGAAAATAATTTTTATTTTTTTTTTCGTACTATAAACATGGTTCTTTTCAGTGAAGTAGCTTATGTATTTACTTTTTTCTCAACGAGAAATCATCATTTGAGATGAAAATTTTTCTTTTTCTTGGCGTAGCGAGAAATCCAAGACTGTGTGTGTGTGTGTGTGTAAGAAGCTGATTATCTTAAAAGGGTCTGTGTCGTAGATTTTTAGTTTAGTTTACTCTTATATTTCTAGGCCATTAGGCTTTAGATTTTTAAATCCTCTCTTCTTGAGATTTTCTTCTGTAGCAATAAAATAAAAAAAAAAAAGAAAGAAAGAGAGGAAAGAACGATAATACTAGATCGATGTATACGTTTTTTTTCACTTCTTGTGCAATTTATCATTTTTCTACATGAAATGAAAGAGAAAGAATACTTTCCTTAATTGGTTAAATTAAAAAAATAGTGTAAAATGTGAATTTTTTGATTTAATGAAAGAAAAGAAATTTTTTTTCTATAGAAATTCAAAATAGATAATTAAAAAAAAAAAAAAGTTGAATAATTTTTGTTTAGAGTATTTTTTTTGCATCTCTTCTGCTTTTTTTTTTAATTCTTTTTCACATTAGTTTGCTTCTCTGACTACAAGATCTTATTGAAGTTATACTAAAGCAAATAGCGAAAGATGTTTGCAGTTCCCTTATCATTACTTAAAACCAAGAGGCTTTTCGGTATACAGACATGCAATTTGAATGTATTTACACAGTAGTTAAATACGAATGAATTACAATCTCTGGTGAAAAGTAAATAATAATATTTTTTTTAAGAATTTTTTTTTCTGTTATGATTTCTTTTTCTATATAAAAAAAGCTCATTAATTCGAATTTCCAGATTTTTATTTATTTATCAGCATTTTATTTAATTACTGTTTTCGATTTAATTTTTAATTGCATTAATTATTTTTTGTAATTAATAAAAATTAAATAAACTAACTTTCAAAGAAATATTAAAAACTTTTTTTTTAAACTTGTGATAAAATCGCAAAAAATAAGTTTAAAAGAAAAAATATAACTCTTTTTTGGTTAGTGAGGTGAAAATGGAAAGCATCGAATTTTAAAGGGATTGAAAAGCTAGTTGTCGATTGGATCGGATATTCATTTCACGGTCAAAATATATATATCGACATTGGTCTCTGCTTCCTGTATATCTTTTTCATGTTTCTCTTTATCTCTCGCAATATATTCCAATAGTAATTTCGCGTTCATTTTTTCACAAGATGACATCATTTCTCTCAAAAAATATTCACTTCGATTTTGTATCACAATACTGAAATTACTGGCAATCGATTGAGATGAAATAAGCCCGAGGGGGCTTTTCATGTATCACGCGGCAATAAACGGTGCGCGAAAATCAGTTTATTGTCAAATGTGAACATAAAACGGAAATACATCGATTTAACCCTCCTACGCCCACCCTCTGTTTCCTCTCGATTCTCTTTTCCTTTTTATATTAATGCTTATTCATTTTTTATGTAAATGTATTTTCATTTTTTTATTTGTTCAAAAAAAAAAAAAAAAAATGATATTTTTAACTGTTCTATTACTTTTTGATTTCAAATTATGATAATGAGTGATCTCTATTAATTTTACAAAAAAAATTTTTAATACCTTTTTTCAGTTTGATTACAAATATTCTAATGATAAAAAAAGGATTATTTTTGTTTATTATAAACTAAGTCTAAAATGATTAAACGATTAGAAAAAAAGTCAAGTTTAGAATCTAATTAAAAAATATGTATCATAATGAAAAACAACGTTGATAAGGTCACGAAAGTCAAAAAAAAAAAGGTTAATATAGTTCCTTCATTATTGAATGTCAATAAATAATTCATGAAAAAAAATGACTACGCGTGAATTTTAGAACTCGATTAATTATTCTATGTTACTGAAAATCTAATTAGTAACGTACAAATTTTTTAAGAAGCATTGTCGTTCGATATTCATACGTTTAAATCAATTCCACTTGTATAACGAACAAGAATGGATTACTAAAGTGAAAATCAATTTTTATTCTCTTATTTCTATTTCATGTTTTTTATTATTAAAAATTATCATTAATAAATTAATAAATTTAATATTTTTTTTGTTAAATTTACTGAATTTGAAAAAAAAAATGACTAACTCTAAAAATGTTCAAAATCCTGTCAAAGGATGGAAATTTGGACCTCTTGAGTTTAAAACAGAACCGGAATATGTATATGCAACTGCTATTATTTTAGGATATTTTTTTACTATATATGGACTTTTTATTTTTCCATATACTTTGTCTAAGAAAACTATTTTGTGGAGTGAGTATCTTAAATATTATTTTTAAAAAAAAATTCAAAAACTTACCCCCAATTTTGTCATTATTAGATTTGGCTATAGGACTTTTTGCTAAATTTGGAGAAACCGCTGGTGTTCATCGTCTATGGAGTCACAGAACTTATAAAGCAAAGCTTCCTCTCAGAATTTTTCTTCTTTTTTGTTATTATCTTACTTTCTGGGTAAATATGAACAATAATTTTCAATCTGTTGAAAATTTAATAAATTAGTTTATTTTAAATGTAAATAATAATTATTTAATGTTTATGAATTTTATGATTTGTTGATTTTTAAATGAGTATAAAAATTAAGGCTGTTTCTATTTCGCCCGCTCGGGCGAACTAATTCATTTCTGTTATTTCGCCCGTCGCGGGCGAAATAGATACGACTGTGTGAACTGGCTATTTCGCCCGTCGAAATGAATGTGTTTTAGAAGACGGGCAAAATAAGAAAAATAGATTATTTCGCCCGTTCAAGATAAAATCGAGTATCTGGAAGACGGGCGAGTATATTATTTCGTCCGTGAAATGTTTAAACAAAAACGGGCGAAATAATCAAAATACAATATTTAGCCCGCTAGGTATAAACAGCTGTATATATTAATCATTTTTCTTAAAAATTTTTCTTTTCTTTTTATAGTGTAGTCGTAGTCTGACTAAGGATTTAATATTTAAGTTATGATCAGAATCAATTGACTAATAAATTCTGATGAGGAGGTCGGTACCGATCTCGAAACGTCAAAGATATGTTTTTGTCTTTTACTGAGTTCCAAAAAGATTGCCAATAATCGAATTTTTTAATTATATAGGTATTAATTGGAACATCTGAAATATTTATTTTTCTTAAACTATTTTATTATCTTATTAATAAAGGTCACGTAGCTTTCAAAAAATTGAACGTTATTAGTTTAAATTTTCTGTTTCAACTATTTTCATTAATAACATTTGTTGTTAATTTAATAAAAACAATTTTTTTAACTCAATCTGTATAGCTGTTAAGAAATATATTATTTTCTTTTTATATAATTTCAATTTACAAACTAAAATTATTTTAACTTTTAATTTGCAATTTATGTTAAATATCATATATTTGATAAACAAATTTGATGGTCTCATTAATTTTTTGTGTTTCGATAAAAAAAAGGGTTTTTCTGATTTCTTTCTCAGCAGAATCATGGTTTTATATATCAATGTGAGATTATACTCCGTATAGTATATTCTTTAAATATTGAAAACGACGGTGCGTTGTTTGAAAATCTATTTGGTATCGAAAGTAGTTCATATGACATTCTTTATTTTGATTGTCTTCAATTTTATTTACTCGTTGAATTTAGAGATGCAAATATACAAAAATTTCAGAAATAGTCGATTTTTGAATTCTTATTTAAATTACAAAATTAAAATCCACAATTTTTATTACCAAAGTTTAATAAACAAAATTTTAAAAATTTTTTTTTTTCATTTTTCATGAAAAAAATTTTTTAAAATGATTTTTTCAATTTTTAAGAAAAAATTTTTTAAAATTATTTTTTCAATTTTTAAGAAAAAATTGTTTGCAATTTTTTCGTCAACAATTTTTAAAAGAGAAAAATTTATAAAAAATATTATTAATTATTTGAAAAAATATTAATATTTTTAAATCGATGACGATCAATTTTAATTGTTTTCGACTTCAACATCGTAATTTTAATTAGTTAAATTTAATAATTATAATTTATAATTTTAATATTAGATTAATTTTTTTATAATTTTAATTATATTTATTTACCATTACTATAAAATATTAAATTTTTTTAATTATTTAATAAGAGTAATTAATACCTCTATAAATATATTAATTTTTTTTCCAATACAATTTCTTAGATAAAATAATTATTATTCTTTAAAGTCACGTCTCAAAAACGTGTAAAATAAATATTTGAAAAATCTTCAAGTTAATAATTACAAACAAATTTTATGTTACAAATATTCTCAAAACTTTAATTAATAAAATTTTTTGAAAAAAAATTGAAAATAATTAAGTATTAATTTTAAGAATTTAAAGAATTTTTAAGAACTTTTTTTTAATTTAAATTTCTTCTATTTTATTAAACCAAATACTCCAAAAGATATAAATAAATAATATTAGACCTATACTCAGACGTCTTTTTTCTATCCATCTTATTTGTTATATTCAAAAAAAGTAAAATTATTTTTTCTCATTATCTAAAAAACAGCTGTCTATACTTAACGGACGAAATAATATACTCGCCCGTCTTCCAGATACTCGATTTTATCTTGAACGGGCGAAATAATCTATTTTTCTTATTTTGCCCGTCTTCTAAAACACATTCATTTCGACGGGCGAAATAGCCAGTTCACACAGTCGTATCTATTTCGCCCGCGACGGGCGAAATAACAGAAATGAATTAGTTCGCCCGCGACGGGCGAAATAGCCACTCCGAAAAATTAAAGTTAAAGAAAATTCTTTTTTTTTTTCTACACTTTTTAGTATAGGGCTATTGATTGGATAAAATTTCATCGAGTACATCACAAATATACAGACACAGATGCAGATCCACATAATACAAAACGTGGATTTTTCTATTCTCACGCAGGATGGATTATGTTGAAAAAACATCCGGAAGTTATAAAACGTATTAGGGAACATGATTTTAGTGATATTTATAATGATCCTGTGCTAACAATTGGAGAAAAGTACGTAAAAAAAAAAAAAAACATGCAAATTCCGATGTATTAAATTTTAATGAATATAAAATTGAAAACGATTATATTGAATAACTTTATAATCGTTTGAAAAGGTATTTTATTCCACTTGGACTCACATTCTCCATTATTATTCCAACACTTGTGCCAGTTTATTATTGGAATGAAACCTGGAAAACTGCACTGTGGGCTGTATTTTTGCGATATTCCATTGGAGCCAATGTAACGGGAACAATAAATAGTTTTGCACATTTTTTTGGTAGTAAACCATACGATCGGTAATTATAATTTTCCCTAATTTTTTTATATAATTTTATTATGTATGAAAAATAGAATTTTTTTTCGAGTATTTAAAAATTATATTTATACGCACCGATTTCTTTTTTCCTAGGGATATAACTTCAGTGGAAAATAAACTACTCTCAATTATAACATTGGGTGAAGGATGGCATAATTATCATCATGTATTTCCTTTTGATTATAAAGCAGGAGAACTTCCAATTTATCCTTTCAATATGACAACATTATTCCTTGATATGTTTGCAAAAATAGGTTGGGCCTACGATTTAAAAACTGCCTCACCAGACATGATAGAAAAACGTGCCATTAGAACAGGTGACGGTACTCATCATCTTTGGGGTTGGGGCGATAAAGATCAACTGCAAGAAGAACGAGAACAAATTATTATCACACATCAAACAAAATATGACTAATTATATATATATATAAAAAAATTTCCACATTCTTTCTCTTATTTCTTACAATTATTTAGATTTTTGATTCTTTTGTTTATGAATTATAAATTGTTTTTTATTATTAAAATTGCAAAATAAAATTTTGTAGGTATTAAATGTATTTATTATTTTTAATATTATCACAGAGAAAAAAAAATATACTTTTTTAAGTGGAAGTTTTTGAAAAATAATTTTTTCTTTTAGAGGGAAATATTATTTTATATTCAAAAATATAAAATTTGAGTATATAAATGTAACCATTGCGATCGAAAAATACACATATATGAAAGTAGATAATATATACATGTAGGATTTTATATAAGTTTAGAAGTGAAGCTTTTTCCAAGCCGTTGTGCAAACTTCGGGGGAGATATGTTTGTAAGCCGAGTTGACACTTCTCATCTCCTCATTCCTCTTCTCTTGGACGTTATCCTTCCAGCGTATAGCATTCATGCTTATAGTAACTATATAAACTGATAAGATTCATACATTGGTGACGGGTATTCAACTCTAGAATCGATTTACTTCTTGCTTTGCTATGTTTCACAATATTGTGAAACGTGTATATATATATAGATATTTCATTTAGTTCACTTTGTCTGGCCATATATACCAGTTTCTCTTAAGAGGGTGGTGAACCTACCTCTTTACCAGGTAAGCCTTTGGGATACAATCCTTGTTGAATACTGCGTATTTCTTGCAACAATTCTCCCAATTATTCAAAGTATACTGAGTGATATATTCACTCAGCGTGTGTTCGAAATAAAAACATTTCTTGAATTCAAGTGCGTGAAAAAATTCAGTTTTGTTTATTGACAAAAAATAAATAAAAGTTTATCAATTATAACGTAAGTTTTAATTACTTTGAGAAAAATTAATCTCTATTAGTAAAAATATATTAATAAGAATTATTTTATCTAATAATCATGGAAATAATATATATATTTTAAAAAACGATACTAACCTCAAAAAAATTGTCTTCGCTACGATTTACAACATATATGATATACAATCAAACCTTTTGATATTTTATTCTTCTTGTTTTATGTAATCTCGAATAATTGTATATTATTAAATAGATTCTCTTTTTTTCACACAAAACTTAACAGAAAAGAAAATGCATTATTTTCTTTCTTCAACCTGTTGTTATCAGTTGTCAACAAATTTTGAATTGGACAAGTTTTTTGAACGCCAATCAAATGTCAGGAATTGTTTCGATTCGATATATCGAACAAGAGATTCTCGCGCATAACTTCGTGCAGCTCAGTGCAGATTAACGTACTTTTCCCATACCATTTTCCCTCGTAAAAGAAGTAAAACATCGAACAAAGAAATGTTTCTTTAATACAAAATAGTGTAAATAATCAAAGTTTTTAATCTTTCTTTACTTAAAACAAGTTGTTTTATGATATCGATTATATTTGAAAGTGGAAGATGTCATCGATAAGGAAATTGATATATAACCTAATTTTGCAATCAAAAAGTTCCAAGATATGGCTAATTTTATTGAAAATAGGAAAAATGAGGAAGGATTATTTTTCATATATAATGCAATGAATAGTTCAAAAATGCAGCAAAGTTATAAGAGGATTTCTCGCATTAATGAATAAATTATTCCTGAAGAATACTTCGAAAAGTAGGTTTCAATTTTTTACATATAACTTTTTAATTGCATGAGATTTGTGCTTTATTAATAATTTCATTTGATTAAAAAAAACAAACTAATATAGTACATTAAATATGCGAAAAAATTACTTCGATTTTTCTCGAAAATACCAGCGATTTAAGTCATGTTTGCAAATTTAATGTCTTAAAATTTATTTAATTAAAATTAACGACAAAAACTTGTCAACATTTTCCTGACATGTTGGATGAGTTATATATACACGAAATTGTCTTACCTCGTCATTGTTACTTTATGAAAGTCGATTACAAGGCAGAAGTTTAATGGTAAAGGTACTTTGATGATGAAGATATTAATTTTCCATAAGATAATTAATTGTCAAGAAATACTTTCCTCTTTAGAAAAGCATAATATTTAGACATATATTATCAAACTAATCTTTGCAATATTTCTTATACTTAACATGACATGATTTATAATCTAAAGTTTAAACATCAATTTTCGTATATTAAATTTTATGAACGTGAATTTAATGGAAAAATAAGAAAGGTTAAGAGATTTCATTTCAAGTTGCGTGTAACAAATTTGTACATTGATAATAATAATAATTATTAATATAATAAAATAATGATAAAAAAAAAAAAATTTATAAATATAAAAATCATAGGAATATAGAGAAGTATTAAAATTTTAAAAATTACATTTGTAAATTGAATATTTTTTTGCTGTCGAACAAATTTAAAAGGCAAAATGCCGGCAATTGGTATGCATAATTAAAAATAATTTAAAAGTCCCTTTGATTAAAATCGAGCAGTCATCTTCAGTTCAATTCAGCATCTCTTACTCAGTAGCTTCATCCGCTTTATAAAGTCTTTGAAATGGAACCGAACCACCAGGTCAACTATTGTCTCTTATTGATTTTCTAACTACCTCTCCATCTCATTATTCATATAATCCACTAATTCAATGAATATCTAAAAGCTCTGTTATCCCTTTGATTTTACTGCAATTATTATTTTTTTTTTTTTTTGAAAAAACTTCTTTCATCTTTTTTAATATAGTAATTATTGAATGTGTAAAAAAATGTGGGCAAAAAAAAATAATTTTTAATTTATGTAGATATAATTAACTTTTATAATTTATGAATTTTAAAAATTAAAAGTAAAAAAAAAAGTAATTTTTTTTTTTTTATGAAAATAAAAATTAATGTCGTTTTTAAAAATATATCAAACGCATAATTAAACAATCAAATGTAATTAAAAATATAATTGAAAATTCTTAGCAACTCGCGGAATAATAAATTCGATTTTAAGAGGTGACGCAAAACTTTAAGTGAAATATCGCGAGGAAAGTTTTTAAGAGAAAAGTAACACACTTTGCTGTGTGAATTATATACCTTGACTTGTTAATTGTTGAAACTACTTAAGTTGAACGCGCGAATATTGTCGAATATAGTTTAAGAATATAGGAAACATACCTTATAAATAAATCTTAATTTTCTTCAAACTGCATTTTGTGCAGTTTTAAAATTCCTATAAACGAGTTTTTGTCATTTTTTTTTTTTTTTTTTATTTGTCTATTTAAAATTATTCAGATATATATATCGATCCTTTATTGGAAGATGTAAAAGCTCAACTGTTTTTGTTTTGATTTTTTTTTTTTTATTTGAAAAAAGAAACTGTGTTATTGTTTTATTCTGTTTCAAAAGTGAATTCAGAGAGAAAGATAAATGGATATTGTTGAAAAAAAATTTTTAAACAAATTTATATCGATAACAATATTTTTCGGATAGGAATAATAAAAAGGGTATTGACTAAATTTGCCTATAAAAATTTTTTACTTTTTACAAACGAAGCAATTATTATTATTTTTTTTTATATATAAATTATAAAAATGTTTTGTTATAAAATCTCCATTGTTTTTTCATTTAACAAATTTTTTTCTTTAATTAAAAAATATTTCCCAATAAATTAATAAGTGATATATCAAAGAGTTTCATATTATGATTTTTATAAATATAATTGATTTTGCATTAATGAAAAACTTAGAATTTGGAATTTAATTTTGTGTTTTCTCAAGCATAAGAAAAATGTCATTATAATTAAAAATGGTACTTATATATATATAGAACTTCATTGCTTGACAGAGACAGGGTTGAAAAGGAGCTTTATATCTAAAAGCGAAAAGCTCTATTCTTCTCAAGTCGTAGGTCAAGAAAAGAGAATTCTCTATGACAATCGTTTCAGAATATTTCTTTTCACTTTAGCACACCTACATTTTTTTTTATTCCCACCGTTTTCATTTTTATATTAAATTTTCAGTTTTAATAAAAATGCATTTTTTGAAACAAATATATTTTTAACTATTATGGTAATAATATATTATAATTAAATTTCCAGTTTATTTTTGATTTAAATTTGATAAAAAAAATTTTATTAACTGAAATATTTATCAAAGAATTCTAAGATTCTTTATAGAAAAAATTTTTATCGAATCACATTTTTTTTCAAAATAAAGTAAAAGGACTTCAAAAAAAAAAAAAAAAAAATTTAACTGTTTATTTGTGTCTAAAGCAATGAATATAAAGTATTTATCTTTTTTTTTAAACTACAACCGAAAATATATATTTTCAACAAAGAAATAAAAGTAATAAGAGAAAAATTTTTCCCTGTGAATTTTCAACTGTTTTGCAATATAAATGTTAATGTAATTTTGTATGATGACTTACCACTTTCACGTTTATTTTATATATATATATATATAATATATTCCGTAAAATTTGCTCCCTTTTATATTTTCCACAATAAATTTGCCATTCTTTTGCATGCACAATTTATTCGGGTAAAAATATGTTCACATATTAAATACATAAAAATTATTTTAATAACCCACGGAAAAAGGTGATATTTTCATTCAAAAATTATATAGTATTTTTTTTATTTGACAAATTTTAGGGGAAAAAATTTTTTTATATTTTTAAAAATTAAATTTTACAAATTTTAATAAATTTAAAAGTACAATATTTGTCTTATTTTAAGAAAATAGAAAAATAATTATTCTATTAAAATTGAAATAATTTTTAAATGAAAATATCGCTATTTAAAACTTTTGACACCTATACATGGAAAATAGGTTCTATTAAAGAGAAAAGGGACATGAGTGTAAACAGCTTGTCTTTAGCGTCATTTTTTGCGATCGATGCTCTTCGAAAATTTATACAACCTAAATTGTCTTCCAGCTCACCAACGCTTTAGAGTAAAAGTTTTTCATATCTGTCAAAGATTTTTTTTTTTTTTTTTTTAAGCACGAACATACTCTATAAACGCTTTATTTGAAATGTGACATTTTTTCATATATTAAAAATTTTGCATTTTAGATTTTTTTTAAATTTCTTTTAATTATACCGTAAAAAAAATTATTGTACTCATTAAATTCTCTAATAAAATAAACATCCCATTAAATCATATAAAAAAGTTTAAAAAGTGATCTCACACGTAAAAATTGCATTCAATTCTTTTTTTTTTATCAAAATTAAAAACACCCATCTCGTTTATTGTCACAACGGTTGGAAAATTGATGACAATAAAAAGTTGCGCAAAACTTTTTATACCGCGCGGTACAAATCGGTGCGAAATGAAATTCCAACTCTTCAATTTAACGCTATTCGCATTTATCTCAAATGTAAAATTTCATAAAAATTGTTATTTATTTAAAAATTAATTTTTTATAAATTCGAATTCTCTTTTGTTTTATATATTTGAAGAATTATCGTTGCGGTAAATGAAAAAAAAGGAAGAAAATGAGGTGCATTGTTTGCTTTATATATATAAACTTCTTTATTGACTTTGCTGACTTTTTTTTCATTTTCTTTTCGTCGAGAAAGGTGGATTATATACACATACTCGCGGGGTTATACATTTAAAGAAAAATAAAAAAAATAAAAATCCAATGAAAATTCAACGAGAGCGTAAACTAGTGGTGTTCAGACTGGAATTTAAGGGAGCATTATTTAAAATGACAAAAATAAAAAAAAAAATCCAAAGACTAAAATGAACGTGAAAAACATGCATTTCGCTTAAATGCACGCTATCTGCATATGTTTCATTGTTAAAGAGCTTTTCTCCAATCTATTGATTTATTACATGATTTTAATTGTAAATTTAATGAAAAAAAAACTGTCGCAAGCATTTTTTTCAAATTTTAATTAATTTTCTTTTAGGAATATTTAAATTGTGACATAAAAAAAGATTATTTGATTCAAATAAATCAATTACTTGACTATTATCAAATAAATATTTATTTGTATCAAATATAATTATGATATTTATTTCAAATACAGAAATTATTGAAATTTATTTAATTCAAATAAAAATTATTTGGTTCAAGTAATCGAATCAAATAAATATTTTTTTTAGTGTTAATATTGAATTATATTATTTTTTTTGATAAAAGCTTATTAATTTTTTATATCAAATTTTTATCAACTAATTCTATATAATGATTATTAATATTATATTTGCTGTAATTTTTATTTTGACACATTTTCATTATATCCGATTATTATTATTGGTACACCATTGTATGCATTAAATTACATTTATTAGACTACAAATATACATTTTATTGTATTCATTTTGTATTGTTCTGAATTTTCATGAAATAGGAAAAAAAAGGAAAATATAAAAAATATATGACAAAATAAAGAAAAATAAAATAAATAGAATAAAGAAATTAATTTTAATTTTTTTTTTTAGCTGAACAAAATTGAAGGACAGAAAGGACAAAAAAAAGAAAAGTGATCCCATATATACATTGCTCCAACGTTGGATTCATTATGATGATCGGTGAGTAATTTTTTAATAATAATATTTAATAAATAAGGAAAAATAATATAAATAGAATAAAGAAATTAATTTTAATTTTTTTTTTAGCTGAACAAAATTGAAGGACAGAAAGGACAAAAAAGAAACGTGATCCCATATACATTGCTCCAACGTTGGATTCATTATGATGATCGGTGAGTAATTTTTATTTAACTTTTCGTTTACATCAGTTTATGAAATCCGGAAATATTTTTTTTTTATATTCTAATAAAAAAAAATTTTTTTTTTTTTGACATAAATATTTATTAGATCGTAAATAATCAGCTTTGATAATTGCAACAATTTGGGATTTCATATATATATATGAAATAAAAACAATATTTACTTTGTTTAAAGCATTTTTCTAAATGACTGATTAGATGAGGATAAAAATAAATTTATATTTTTTTCGCTATATTTATATTTGAAAGAGAGATTAATTTTCTGATCATTTGAACATAAACGCGATCCTCTTTGCTGTCAGTAAAATGAATTTAGGTTACGGATATTCTATTCCCTCTCTCTCTATGGTTGAATGTGTACCAATAATCGAATAAACGAATATATTGAGGATCGCAGAGTTAGATATACACACAAGGTCTCTACTCTCCTCTGTGCATGTCTATCTATCCTAAGAATGACGAACGTTTACCTTTGATGTTCAAAGTCACAGAGCGCATCTGCTGCCAATATAGCATGACAGAAATTACAAATAAATAAATATATATATATATATAAAAAAAGAGTATAAAAAGGGTATCATACGAATCAAATAACCCAGTAGTGTAATATATGCTTTTCCCCTTTGAATGCACAAAAAAAAAAATAAATTTAAATAATATCAGTTTTTTTCGACTAGGATATTCAGTTTGTTTATTCAATAATTTATGTATTCATTTTCAAAAAATTATGAGAGAAAATACTTTTTTCTTTTTTTTTTTTATTATATCTCAAGAGAAGTTTAAGCTCTATGAAATATAAATGATATTTAACTTCATGTTACATTTATATATAACGAGTAAATAGATTTTCAACCTGGGGGAATAAATAATTTTCAACGCTATACAGCAACATTATTATAGTATAATGATTTGCATAAATTAATATTTTTTTGTTTAGAAATAAATTATTATCTGTAGAATTAATTAATTATTGTTATTATTAATTTTTTACTAATAATTTTTTTTTTTTTTTTTTACTAATAGTTACTTTTCACTAATTGCTGAAGCAAAAAGTGAGCCATGATTTTATTGATATAATTCAAATTTAGAGAGAAAATTTATTACTATTTGTATATAAGTAAATTACAGTGAACGTATATTTGTAGTTTATTTTTTGATTGAGAAATTATTTAAAAATTCTTTAAAATGTAATTATTTGTGGTAAAAATTACTCATTATTTATTTATTATTTAAAGTAAATTTAATTCATTATACAGTCCCTTTGATTTTAGAGTTAATTTTATTGAATTCTTTATATAAAAAGATTTTTGAAAGACTTTATATTTCTCTTTTGTCATCATTTGGATGTATCATTTTTCTGTTCAGAAGGAGCTTTGCATATATTTATATAGTTTCTTTAAAGGGATAGACATATTTATAAAATTTGTAAAAAATATTATATATATTCTTTGAATAAGAATATATTTCTTTTGTTATTATTATCAAGTTATTAGATTATATTCTTAATGTCTTATATTTTCAAAAAAAATATATATATAAATTTTATATTATTATATAAATATAATGTATATTTCAGTCAGACAAAAAGAGTACAATTTTTTTTTTAACTTATATTATAGTAGAAAAAAATTATTTTAGTGAATAAATTCGTTTTGAATTCTTGACAATTTTTTTGTCATCAGTAGTAAAAGACAATTTTAGTCAGACGATTTCTTTTTAATTCTTCAAATTATTGTGATGGTGAAAAAAAAATCGCTTTATAGATGCAGTGAAAGACAATTCAAGTTTTCAGTAGTAAAAAATAGTTGTAGTCAGACAAAGTTTCAATATACAAAGTAGTACAAGTGCGCTTTAGTCAGACAATATTAAAGACTTAAAAAGTCAATTTTTAATCTCAATTAGATATATAATTTTTTTTTTTTTTTTTTTATCAATAAATAATTTTGTATTTCCATTAGTTTAAAGAAAAATAATATTGCTCAACAATAATTGATTTGCAGATTCGTAATTAAAACTTCGTTATATTATACGTGAAAAAAAAAAAAAAAAAAAAAAAAAACCCATTATACGTGTTATAAAAAAAAAAGTATAATCGTAAATGACGAAATGCCCTCCAGGCATATTCAAAACTATTGTGTTGTAACAAACATTTTATTGGTTTAACAAAAAAAAATTATATTTAGATAACAAAAATCTTTTGTTAATCCTCTTGCGGCTCTAAAAAAAACAACTCTTATCAAAAACTATTTCGTCAGAATAATTTTATTAGGATATTATCCAAATTTATAATTAAATATTTAAATTATAATTTTGTAATTAAAAATTATTGAAAATAAAAATGTGAAAAGTATAAAAAAAAAAAAAAAATGATATAAATAAAAAATAACGAAACATTTATCTAAATTAATTTTGGTAAGCGAGATAAAATAAATTCGCTTTTTTATACTATACGCACAGTGATGGAAAATTAATGCAATCGAATTGGAATTTAATTGTTTTTAACGCGTATGGGGGAAAAAAAAGTACAATTGGAAATTATTCAAAATGTCAAAGTCCATTTGGATCGTGTCTAAAATTTGGAGAGGGTTAACCATTCCAAAACGTAATTATCGCACGGCTTGCCGCGGGCACGATGAAACAATCTGATTTAACGATCATTTAGATCGGATCGCCTTTCAACTCTCCTCTCTCTCTCTCTCTTCCTCTCATAAGCATCGGTGGATAGTAACGTAAAATGATGTCGTTAATTGGCAATCGCTTATGTTTCGATCAACTATATACATATATATATAGAACATCTTTTGTACATATATATAAACGCACATGTAATGACAAACATACCAGTTCAATTTTGATCAAATAGGTATATTGACAATTGCACCTGTGTATAGTCAACTTCCAATTTTACGTGCGTGCCGGGTTTCGAAGCGCAGGCGTCATTTTCTCTCTCTTGCTCTCTCTTCCTCTCTCTCTCTCTCTCTCTTGAGTGTCGTGACGCTCACCGGCGTCGCGACGACTTTAGACCATTTCGTTCGTTGTTTCGATCGTTTCGATAGTCGCTTCGCGGACGTTGATCAGTCTACTTCTTCGTGAACTTTTGAATTTCCCGCCGGTCCGTTAACGTTTCTTTTCAAACAGTGAGCACTTCAAAAAAAAAAAAAAAAAAAAAAAAAAAAAATTTTGTTTTTAGTGAAAAATCGCGAGGGGAATTTTATTTATTTTGTAATTCATTAAATATTATTATTATTATAGACAATAATTATTATTATTATTATTAATATAATAATAATAATTATTAATAATATAATAATAATTATTATTAATAATATAATAATAAACAATAATAATTATTAATACACTGAAAAAAAAATTTATTTCATTAAAATAATCGGTTATACTTGACTATTATCAAATAAATATTTATTTGTATTAAGTAATTATTATTTGTATCAATTAAATCGTATTTGTTTCAAATACAAAAATTGTTGTTTTAAATATAGTTTATTTAATTTAAATAAAAATTATCTGATTTAAATAAATATATATTTAGTAATAGTCAAGTATATCTAGGGAAAAGTTTTCTTTGATTTAAAGAAACCAATTTTTTTGACTTGTTTTTTTTTTTATTCAAAATAAAATTTTCTTTAAAACAAAAAAAAAGCTTCTTAGTTTCAAAGAAATTTGTGCATTAAATCAAAGAAATTCAAACATTGATATAGAATCAAAGAAACATTTATTTGAATAAAATAAAAAATTTTTTTTGAAATGAAGATATTTTTTTTTTTGAATCAAAGATAATCTGTTTGAAACAAATAAATTTTCTTTGAATCAAAAAAATCATTTTTCTGAATGTAACCAATTATTTAAATAAAATAAATTTTTTTCTCAGTGTAATACTAATAATAAATAATAATTATTATTATTAATAATATAATAATAATATCATATTTGTTTGTTTCATTTATCATTCTTTTTTTTCTTATACATCATTTTGTTAATTAAATATTTTATTTTTATTATTTTATTTAATAATAAACAGGTCTTAATTATTAACTAATAATTTTTTGCTACTTTCTTTTTTTTCAAATCACTGGTTTGAAAATGGAAAAAGAAATTTTTATTTGTCGAGATGACACAGAAAAAGAAGGAAATGCATTAACATAAAAGTTTTTGGTTTTGTTGATGGAACAAAGAAAAAGAAAACAACTTTGTATTATTGGATTTACTTGTATGTATATATATATATGTAGCTACTTATATAGGGAAAAAAAAATAGTTTCTCTCATTCATAGACACTGACGAGAACTCTTTTACTGTTCATAAATGAACATCTTCATTCATGGCACGTAGCGTAAATCCGTTTACAACACTGCGAAACTATACAGACAGGCATAAAATGTGGAACGGGTCTTTCATTTCACACCTCCTTTAATTCACAGTAGAAATTATATTCCATATATAATCATTATATTATTTTAAAAAAACAACAATGAAATTCAAAAAAAAAAATTCCTTTGTATTATCGAACTTTTCATATACAAACTTTTACGTGTTTTGAAACTTTTCTTCATATACACAATTTCTGTATATATATATATATATATAAGTCTCCTGTGAAAGTTATAATGTAAAAAAGAATTTTATTCTCAGAGAATATTTCTTTCGTAATTGAATTCAAGTTTTCCGATGGAAAAATTGATTTTCTATTGTATCTTTCGAAAATTCACTTTTTTTTTATACTATTTTTTTCCCCGTATACAATAATTTTTGTGTATAAAAAAATTTTTTCCCACGCAGTATGAGAAAAAATTTCTATATAGTGTGGAAAAGTTTTAGCGTACAGTATGACAAATACTTTCTATACTTTATATTGTATAGTAAAATATTTCCTTATATAATGTGGAAAATTTTTGCCGTACAGTATTGGGAAATACTTTCAGTACATTATGGAAAAGTTTTACCGTACAGTGTGGTAATTTTTTTTAATACTTTCCGCAGAGTATTAAAAAAAATTTTCCCGTACAGTAAGGGAAAAATTTTCATAAAGAGTGGAAAAATTTTACCGTACAGTATGGCAAATACTTTCAATACTTTATATTGTATAGTAAAATATTTCCTTACAATGTGGAAAATTTTTGCCGTACAGTATAAGAAATACTTTCAGTACATTAGGAAAAAGTTTTACCGTACAGTGTGGTAATTTTTTTTAAAATACTTTCCTTAGAGTATTAAAAAAATTTTCCCGTACAGTAAGGCAAAAATTTTCATAAAGAGTGGAAAAATTTTTGCCGTACAGTGTGGTAATTTTTTTTTAAAATACTTTCCTTAGAGTATTAAAAAAATTTTCCCGTACAGTAAGGGAAAAATTTTCATAAAGAGTGGAAAAATTTTTGCCGTACAGTGTGGTAATTTTTTTTTAAATACTTTCCTTAGAGTATTAAAAAAATTTTCCCGTACAGTAAGGGAAAAATTTTCATAAAGAGTGGAAAAATTTTACCGTACAGTATGGCAAATACTTTCTATACTTTATATTGTATAGTAAAATATTTACTTAGAATGTGGAAAATTTTTGCCGTACAGTATGGGAAATACTTTCATAGTATATTATGGAAAAGTTTTACCGTACAGTGTGGTAATTTTTTTAACATTTTCCGCAGAGTATTAAAAAAAAATTTCCCGTACAGTAAGGGAAAAATTTTCATAAAGAGTATGGATAAATTTTTCCCCACCATTAATGGGAAAATATACAAATAAATATTTTCGTATAGAGTAAAATTTTTTTCCACACTAGAGGGGGAGAAATAATTTTTTTCTGCTCTGAAATTGTAGATTTTAATGTAACAGTATGGTAAATTCTACTATTTAGTTAGACAATGATAATTCATATATATACATAAACATGAGAATTTGGTTTGATGGGAATATTGCTTCCACTTAATTTTGACATTGTCTCTCAACTAGTGCCCCTATAACTAGATTCCTCTGGTATTCACTATTTTTGGCATTATAATGATGAGGTAGTTCAAACTCGGTATTAATCATGTCCTAGACTAATGAATAATTATGTATCACACGAGAGATACATATACAGTTCTATATAAAGTCAGGTTCATGAACACAATATTAATGTTCTCAAGTGAATTTAACAAAGATTCATTTCATATTAGCGAAATTTCGATTATAATTGATAAAGCATCTGTTAATTACAAAATAAACGATAATATCGGAAATAAATTTTCGTAATCATCGATAATTTTGTAATTTCGTTTAACAAAATAGTATTCATTATTCCCTGATGGACAGATAAAAATTTTTAAGTCATTTCAAATTCGTTTCTAATTTTTTTTTTTCAAATTGTAAAATAATATTTTCTTATTTGAAAAAAATGGAATCTTTTTAAATTTATTCTTTTTTATAAAAAAAAAAAAAAAGAATTTTCGTCTGCTATAAAGATATCATTTGTGATCGCAAATTACTCGTAAATACCATTGATTTCAGATCAAGACTTTTGGTAAACTTTTATCCTTCGATACCAGCTGACGTTTAAATTCTATCCGAAAGTTTGCAACTTTTTTTTTCTCTCGTTTTGTGTCGATTTTTTTTCTTTTTTTAGAAAATTCATGTATATGACATTGTTCCAACTAAGACCAGTGATTTAAAAAAAAAAATTATTTAAATTAAATTAAAATATAAATTTTTTATTATTTTTAAAGGAAGAGAGTGTTACGTGCGAAGATATTTATATATATATATAAAAAATGAAGAAAATAAAATGTAGAGACAAATTTCAATTTGTCAATAATATTAATTTATTACGTATTTAAAAAAAAAAAAAAAATTCCCATAACTATGATTATTGGGATGTTATAAATAAAAGCAAGGACAATTTAAAAAAAAAAAAAAAAAATGTCGTGACCATAAAACAAAAACAAAAAAAAATTATGAAAAAATGACAGGAATGCAAGCAAAATCAGTGCAACATTCAAACAGAATTATTTATTATCTCATTATTGTGCAATCATTATTGCAAATTATTGCTTACATTTATCTTTATCTCTATGTGGCGAGGGTTGATTCTGAATTGAAAATTTTAAATAAATTGGGATGCCAGCATCCAGTGGAAAACGAAAGTTTAATGCGCCGGAAGAGAAGTAGTGCACTTCCTGCACCGGAAGACAATGCCGTCTTAGAAGTATTTAGGGTGAGAATTTATTTCATTAAATTTTATTCCCATTCACCAATATTACAATTTTAAATTTTTACAACAAAAAAAACAAATTTTTTGCTTTTTATCTTATTTATTAATTAAAGTAGAAATTGATTATTTTGAGTATAATTAATTTTTGTATTTGAATAGTATAATTAAATATAATTGAAATATAATTTAATTATTATATAGTCAATATTATTATTAATGCAATTAATATAATTATTATAATAATTATAATTTTGATAATAATTATGAGCCAAAAGTTTTGAACGTTCAAATGAACAAAATATTTATTTCGAATCTATAAATTATTAAAAATTATAATGTCAATGTAAAATAAAACAGTAAATTAATATTAAATTAATATATCTTTTTAGATATTTAAAACAATATTTTGTAATAAAATTCGTATTTAAAGAAGTTACAAAAAAATGTTGTTCATTTGAACGTTCAAAATTTTTTGATCATTAATAATTGACTTATAATTTTTTTTTCAAAATTAATTTAAATATCGAATCAGCAATAAATTTAAATTAATTTTTCAATAATGATTGAAGAAAACCTTTTTTAAAAAATTGCCAAAAATTTAATAGTGTTTTTTAACATAAAAATTGCCTCCGTTTTTTTTTTCGTAAAGTAGTGGCGATATATTTTTTGGTAAAATAGTTTTTTTTTCTTCATCAAGATGAAACATTTTTGAAGTATGGGGAAAAATTTTTCGTCTAGGATAAAGTATATATATATATATATATATATATATATATATATATATATATATATAAAAGACAATTTATTAGAGGTTTACGTGCAGTTCCTTTAAAATGAACTGCAAGTGTTGTATTTGTGTCATGTGGTAAATCCAAATGGACTATATACCTATATATATATATTGAAAAGAGAAAAAAAATGTACTTTATACGTGTTGGTTTTAGCAGGCAAAGGTTATCTTCTGTTATTTATGGCTAAAAAAACGATTCTCTCTTAACAAGGCACATGTCTTGAAAACCATTTTCTTATTGTCCCTTTTTTAACTTAAAAAATATTTTTTCTAATAACATACATTTCCTCCCTTTTCAAAAAATACTTTCCAAGAATATAAAGTACTATAAAATTTCCTCATGAATTTTACATAATGTATTTTTTATATTATATATAACGTGCTGAAAATTTGTCATCTTATTCATAATATTTCGAGAAAACTAAATATACAACACATTTACACTCAGAGAAATGTTTTATTTGAACCAAATATAATATATATTTCAGCCTATTTATTTGGCGTAAATAAATTTTTTTTTTATTTAAATCAAATAAATATTTATTAGACTGTGAGACAAATATATCATTTCTCTGGGTGTACGAATTTATTCTTTAAAAAAAAAATATATATATATAATATTAAAGAATATTTTTCAATTTAAAAATTGTTTTTTAATTTTAAAAATAATAGTCTAAAATGAATGAAATATATATATTCTTAAATTTAGAATATCGTTTCTATTTCGGTGCGATGAATTTCATTTGATTTTTTTCTACTTAAATGATATGAGATGATAAGAAAAGTTTTAGAGATGAAAGCAAATCTCGTTTATTGAACTATCTCCTTGTTTCAAGTTTGTGATATACAGGAAATTAAAGTGGGCGATGGAAGACAGAGATTCATAGCCTATATATAAGAAAAGAAGTGTGCAAAGAAAGCTCAAACCACACACACACACAATATATTATATATAAACTTTGATCGTAAATTTTAACTTTAAAAAATTAACTTTTATATTGTATTCGCCTATCGAACGGTGAGAATCGAAATTAAATTATATTTCACTTTTTAATTTTATGAATATTTATATACAAATATTTTTTTTGTATTACATTCCCTGTAATTACTTCTCGTATTGAATTTACACTCATAGAAATGGTATATTTACTAACTCATTTATTTGTTGCAAATATATTTTATTTCATTGAAATAAAAAATTTATTTGAGCCAAAAAAAAAAATTTATTTCTGACAAATAAAATTTTTCTTTTACACCAAATAAATAAGTTAGTAGACTCTGAGACAAATATATACGTTTATTTAACTTAAATATATTTTATTTGGTTCAAATAAATCATTTTTCTGGGTGTATATATATATATATTATACATATCATCATTACACGGGGAAATATTATTTGTATTACATATCAATTCCCATATATAAGGATTCAATATATAGTTTCTGTAAATATACAATTCACATTTATTTAAATTCATAATAGAATTTACAAAATATTTTTTTAATAAATATAATAGTGGTAAAATATAATAATTATTATGAAATGATAAAAATGAGAAGATGGGAAATTAAAGAAAAATGATATTTTTAGTGGGGTAAAAAATAATTTCGTTTTTTGTTCGATATATATAAACGGTGCCAGATGCTGATAATGGTTTGGCACATACGGTTGACAATAATTGAGGGGAATGAAAAATTATAGAGAAGAACACAAGGAAAATTGGGAAAAGGCGGATCACTTTCACTCTTCTTTTCACACTGCGCCAATTTTCAAATAATTTCCCCCTCCCCCCACAACTACCCTTTAATTAATATAAATTTCTTTACCGCGTTTAAAGTGTAAATTTTTCTGAAATACTCTCTCATCAAATCGAATTCAAATTCTAATTACTTAAATACAGGAAAATTTTGTTTTTTTTTTTACTTTCCCGAAATTATAATTTATATTTTATTTACCTTTTTTCATATTAATTTTATTATTTACCTTATAAATAAGAATTAAATAAAGTGAAATTACAAGTTGATGGATAAAAATACTTTTTGTGCTTTTAAAGGTTCTTCTTCTTTGAAAATTAAGAAGCATGTTTCATTTAAACTATTGTTTAATTTTAAATGAATTCAACTCCATTTAAATTTAATTTACAGTTCTTTTTTTCTACATTTTTTTTCAATAAACTTTTTTTTTATTTCTATATATAATTTATAAAATGTAACTATTCTTTTGTAATAATTTAAGATAAAAAGCAAAAATTTCTTATGTGGTAAATTTGAAAATACTTGTAATAATGTTAATCTTTGTTTTTTTTTCATCGTTACCTATACATCGTATTGTATAAATGCAATAGGAAATTTAAATTGAATTTTTTTCTTTTTTTTGTTTTGTGAAACGCAATCAGAAAATGCTCAACTCAGAAACTCTAGCGCATTCGTAAGTTGGACGTTAAAAAGTTTGTTATTCATGCATGTTTGCGCGAATCAAGCTTTTTTTTTTTTTTTTTGTTTTTTTGTTGAAAAACACGAACTAAATGTGTTTAGAGCCGATTACACGGGACCTCCAACTGAATTTTGAATTCCCTTTAAAGCAGAGGAAACTGATTGCCAGACCCCAGATTTAACCACAGTTTCATAGTAGAGAGAGAGAGAGAGAGAGAGTTACTCTTTGAAATGAATACATATATATTGTAATTACTTCTTGCAAAAGAATATGTAATAATTTTTCTCCCTTTAACGATCATTTTTCCTCTTTTAATTTTCAATCTACACATAGAAAGAAAAAAATTATTTTATTCAAATAATTCGTTACTTGACTATTAACAAATAAATATTTATTTATAGCAAACAAATATTTATCTGTGTCAAAAAATTATTTATTTGTATCCAAACATTAATTATTTGTATGAGGGAAATATTTATTTGTGTCAAATAATTATTTATTTTATTTAAATAATCGCTTACTACACTATTGTCAAATAAATATATTTATTTGCATCAAATATATATTTATTTGTTTTAAACAAATATTTATTTGTAACAAAAAAATTATTTATCTGTATCAAACAAATATGTATCTGTATCAAAAGATTATTTATTTGTATCAAAATCACAGAAAATTAAAAGGCATTAAAATAAGCTGCAACGTTTCTTATTTTAATCCAATTTTTCTTATTTTAATCCATTTTGGTATTAAAATAAGCAAAATTGGATTAAAATAAGAAGCGTTGCAGCTTATTTTAATGCCTTTTAATTTTCTGTGATAATTATATTATTTGAATCAATTAAAAAATATTTATTTTAAATATAAAAATTATTGTTTAGAATACAGTTTATTTGATTCAAATAAAAATTATTGTTTAGAATACAGATTATTTGATTCAAATAAAAATTATTTAATACCAATAAATATTTGCCAAGTATAATCTATTATTTGAACAAAATAAATTTTTTTTTCATTGATTCTTATATAAATATCACGGAAAAAATGATTTTCTAATTTAAGAAACTGTAGGTACAACAATTTTTTTTTGAAAGAAGATTTTAATCTCCTTTTTTCTGTTAATTCTGTATGAAAATTTTCCGCGAAAAAAAAAAAAAAAAATCGGAGAAAATGAGGAGACGTTCATTTTTGATCTTCTTTTTAGCTTCACTAAGTAAGTAATTTCGTTTCTTTCCGGTCTTCATAATGGGATTTGAGACGATCATCTGCATTAAACGGCAGTTAAACTACTAACTATTCAGTTCCTTGTAATTGCGACATAAACTGCTAAACTTTAAAGAGCACGACGAAGTACTGGACGTGAGAACTTGCAAATGGAAATGTGTGGTTCGTTGGGGTGAAGGGGGGAGGGAGTGAATTACTCTCTCGAAAACCTTGTTTTGGGGGTGAGAGAGAGAGAGAGAGAGAAAGAGAGAGGCGACTATCCCATTGCTGCTGTTGATTTGAATGCACATAAGTACGCAAAGCCCAAAAGTACCCAAGGAACTTAAACGTTTTCGAATTGAGCTCTCATGCAAACTTCTGGCTTTTGACTTTGAGATTTCAAAAGTTTTCGACTCACTCACTCTTGAAATTCTCCGAAACTTGATTCGATTTCGGTAAAGGATCCAATTTAAAGTTTTACAAAATAAACCATATGACAAAATAAATAAATCATTGAGTCAATAAATTTAATATAATAGTTAATTATATATATTTATATATAGAGAGAGAGAAGTGTATGAAAATTAATTTAATATATCTCTTCTTAGGAAGACACGTTTCTTCATGGTTTGGGAAAAAAAAAGTTTTATGATTCATCTCATAAGATTTTATGATTTCTCATCAACTTAAATTTCAAAGGTACACTTCGAATTTTTGAGGGCGTTTATATACACCAAGTAAATCGAAATCTCGAGGAGTCACTCTAGCTCAACGTCTGTCTTTCAATAATGTATAAGAGTTTGACTCCTTTTTATGGCATAAATTTCAACTCTCTACAACCGTCAATAAATATTTTATGACAATTCCCCCCTGCATTACGAAAAAACCCGGATATACTTACTTTGAGTAACAATTTTTTTTTTTTTTTTTGAAAATTCTCTTATGATTGAATATATAAATTCCCAAGAGGTATTTTAAAAGAATGTCAATGTAGTAAAAATTCTCTTAAGTATAGAAAAAATTAGTTGAATCAATTAGGGTAAGTGTACTAATTACGGCGAGTGCACCAATAACGGCGCGTTCATAAAAAATAACTATTATTACTATTATATTTAATATAACTGTTGCCAAATGATTAAAAAAAATTATTTCAATCTTTTTTTGATACAAATACTTATAAAGATGCACATTTAAACAATTATTAATTTAATTATTTGAGATCAAATTTTTTTCCGCGCCGCAATTGAAACATTTTTAAGATTTCCATTGGCTTCAATTTCGGCGGGCAAAGTATCTTCAAAATACACGTAATTTTGGTCACCGCAATTGATATCCGAAACTGATACAATAGAAATGTCGAATTTTCTATTTCAAAAGTGTTTTGACTCGAATCGCGCCGCAATTAGTGCATTTACCCTATATAGAAATTTAAAAAAATGTGTGTGTTTTTGAAATACTTTTTGAAATATTTTTAAAAATAATTTTCATTTTATTTCATTTAAAAATGAAATTTTTTTTTTCTGTACAGGTGCCGAAGGATTCGAAGAAATCTACAGCTTCTCCGAGTGAATCCGCAATTCCTGTTCCCCTTAATAGACAAGAATGGGTTGAAATGACAGCCGACACGAGGATCCCGGTAAATAGTTTTAAAATTGTTTCTTTAAAGTAGCATTTTTTTTTTGGTCCCCTCGTTCTTTTATTTGAAAAGTTATCCTTTAAAGTTTTTACGATTTTTCTGCTATGAACAAAGAGTGGATTTTTAAATTTAAGCGTTTCTCATAATTTTCCCAGTAATTGAATTTTTTATTATTTAAATGAAGAGGAAAAACTTATATCATATGTATAAAAATTTTCTTCTCTCTTATATATCTTTTCATATGATTTGTCCTACAATTTCTTTTTTTACATAAGGTCTGTCTCGCGTGCATTGCGCATATTTGAATTATAAATGTTTGCTTGAATAAGCAAACACCTATGTTATTTGCATGTCAAATATCAATTGGTGACAGCATTAATTAAATTGGAAACTCACTGTGATTGAAGAAATGAAGAAATATAATATAAAAATATATATGCAGAAATATATATGTGTAAATAATACAATAAAATAATTGTATAAATTAGTAAAGTATAAATATAACTTTGATTTTGATTTTTAAAAATTTTTACAAATCGAGAGAAATATTATATGAATTTTGCATAGAAAGGCGTGCATTAAAATGAATTGAAAATTTATATTCGTGTAGAATAATAATAATAAATATATACAGAAATTAAAACAGAACTTGTAATGTTCAAGGAGTTTAAAGCTAACGATAATTTGATTTCAATTCAAATGAAGATGGGTTAGATTATCCTTTTCGAATCCACTCTAGAGCTTTCCGTTTACCGATGCTTAATCTCTTTAACCTTATTAGATAATTCTGCAGCAAATTAAGTTACCGCAGGTCTCCTAACGCTAGTTCTAATTAAATCAGATAAGGACAACCCTGTTAGATTTGCCACAGCATCCAAACTTTTGAAATAATCTTTGTTCTCACGTTGTGTTAAATATATATATATATACAGTAAAACTCAGGTATATCGGACCCGCATAATTCGGATTCCCGTTTACATCGAATTTTTTTTCCGGTCCATTGAATCTTCCTACTTAAGTCTGTGTTAAAATACCCGCTTATATCGGATCAATTTTTAGATCCCTTGAGTTAATTTTTTCCTCCTATATATATATCGGATTTTTTGTTCTAATTTATAATAAAGTTTTAGCAAATTTATTATCCAGTATGCGCCAATTGTTTAAATAGGGAAAATATATATTTATTTATATAACATTTATTATATAAAACAATTTAATAAAGTCAACTTTTGCGGACAATATTTAAATCAACGAAAAATAAAAGAATTCAATAAAACTTAAATTATATTTTAAATTTTATTATTAATTATTAATAATTTGTTATTTATTTATATTTAATAATTTTTTATTATAATTATTAATAATTTATTTATTTATATTTATTTAATATTATTAATATTTTCTTGCCTTTGAGTTGTAATTTAATAAGAAAAAACAATTTAAATGAAAAATTTTAAATAGAAATATAAAAAATTACCGACGCAGAAATCTGACTTACCGACTGATGGTAAAACAGTTTTCTAAAAAAATACAAATATAGAAATTACCGACACAGAAATCTGACTTACCGACTGATGATGTAAAAATTACCGACGAAAAAATCTGCCTTACCGACTGATTGCATTTCTTAAAGATGAAAATGTGAAAATTACGGACGCAGAAATCTACCTTGCCGACTGATGGTAAAACAGATTTTTTGAAAATGAAAAATAAAAATACCGACGCAGAAATCTGCCTTACCGACTGATGGTATTTCTTTAAAATGAAAATTTAAAAATTACCGACGCAGAAATCTGCCTTACCGACTGATGGTATTTTAAAAAATTAAAAATAAAAACATCGACGCAGAAATCTACCTTACCGACTGATGGTAAAACAGTTTTCTAAAAAAAATAAAAATATAAAAATTACCGACAGAAATCTGCCTTACCAACTGATGATAATTTTTTAGAAAAATGAAAATGTAAAAATTACCGATGCAGAAATCTGCCTTACCGACTGATGGCATTTATTAAAAATGGAAATGTAAAAATTACCGACGCAGAAATCTGCCTTATCGACTGATGGCATTTATTAAAAATAGAAATGTAAAAATTACGGACGCAGGTACAGATTTTTTGAAAATGAAAAATAAAAATACCGACACAGAAATCTACCTTACCATCAGTCGGCAAGGTAGATTTTTTGCTTCGGTAATTTTTACATTTTCATTTTTCAAAAAATTACAATCAGTCGGTAAGATAGATTTCTGTGTCGGTAATTTTTTTAATTTTTTACCAACAGTCGGTAAGGTAGATTTCTATGTTATATTTTCATTTATAAATTTTTTTTTACCATCATAGGTAATTGGAAATAATTTCCATTATTTTATTGAAAATTTGATGATAAATTTAATTATTTTGATAAGAATAATAATTGAATATAATTTCAATTAGATTTAATTAATAATTTCATATTATTTAATTGAATAATTGAGTAAATTTGATATATTTTTATAATGAAATAAATTATTATTTGTAAATTTTTTTTCAGGTGGATACGATACACGCGTATTGTCGAAAATTCAGAGACAGTTGTCCAGCATCACCGCCTGGTTCACCAGGTGCTCCAGGACCACCTGGCGATAGAGGACTTCCTGGACACGCTGGCGCTGTTGGACCTGAAGGCCCACCTGGATTACCTGGCTATCCTGGTGAAAGAGGATTAAAAGGCGATTCAGGATCATCTGGACTCGATGGTAGGGATGGAATTCCTGGTGAACCAGGATTAGACGGCATCCCAGGACGAATAGGCCACGATGGTATTCCGGGTAAAGATGGAAAAGATGGCATTCCTGGAATTCCTGGAAGTCACGGCAAGAATGGAATAGACGGTAAGCTTATTTTTCATGATACACTTGATTCTCTTTATTATAGTTGACTTAATTTCATTTTTCAAAGTATATATATATATAAATTCTCCTTAATGTGAAAATGCAATTTTCACCATGGCTTTGAAAATTTTCCTTCTTCAAATAAATTTAATTACAATAGTTAAATATCAACGCGTAGAAAATAGTTTCAAAACATTTTTTTTGAAAAATTTCAAACTAAATTTATAATTTAAAATTTCAAAGGAATATATTTTTTTTTCTTTAATATTTATATATCAAGTTTGGGAAGAAAAAAAATTTCTTGTTCAATTTATAAATTAGAATATTTTATTCTGCGCATTGGGAAAATGTATTGTTGCGTTTTCTGCTTGGATAATTGTTTGAATACATTGCGATGTATTCATTAAAAGTTCTAACCGTTATTTAATTAATGTATTACCTTTTTTTTAAACAATTTTTTTTTTATTTATTTTCTATATATATTTAATATTTCTATAAATTATATTTAAGGCGAAAAATTAATATAAAATATAACTAAAGTAAAAGTTATTTTCATAAAATATTTTTTGTTAGTTTTTATTAATTATGAGTATGTTAAATATTTTTCATTTTATAAGCTTAATGATAGTGCTCTAATTATATTAATCCTATCTTTCTGTATACAAAATCCTATATGACTTTTTGAGAGTATGTAAAAGTTGCGCAAAAAATGTTAAAACTCATAATTAAAAGTCAATTAATTTTTTTTTAATTCTAATTGCAAGAGTACATCTAGAATAATATTTTTTATATTACAGCATAACACTGTTTATTACGTGTAATAGGGTTGAATTTAAATAGTATATATAATGCAAAAATGTTCTCGTTAGAATTGCAAATAATTTTCTCTTTTCACAAATTTTCGTTAAATAAAATTCATAAAGAGAATGACAATTTTTTTCAAAATGAACAATTTACCGAAGGGAAAAATTGAAAAATTTCACTGTAAATTTTATTTCAGTTAGATGATGGAAATAATATTTAAATATTTTTTTTTTTAAATATTTTTTCTATTATTAATTATTTTTTTTATTATTAATTTTTATTATTGTTATTATTAGTATTATTATTTTATATAATCATCAGTTTGTTATTTTTAATTATTTTTATTTCTTTTATTTATTATTTTAATTTTCCTTTATTCTGAAAAAACTGCATTCCAAATTTTATTCTCAAAAATAAAATATTTTTAAATATATTCTTAAGAATATAATAAAATTTTTTTTTTTAGTGGCAATAATAATATGTAAATGCATTATTTTTCATGTTTTAAAGTATAATTTTTCATATACACTGACTTCTTAAAGCCATCTAAGTTTCTCTCGTTAAATGTTTGCAGTTAAAACACTGCTCGTTACTCAATTACTTCTTATCTTTCTTATCCCAAAGGTAAACCCTTATACTCGCTTCTCGCGTGTAAAACTCTAATGCACATAACACTATATATATATATGTGTGTATAAAAAAAAATATATATATAAATATATAATGTTGACTATTAATAAAATTTAGAATAATACCGAAAAAAATATGTATTACAAAAAATATCGTTAGTCTTTTCGGGATGAGTATTTTTTTTTTTTTTTCTTAACGAGTTATATTCTCGACACATAAATGCGTATATATTCGTTATTGAATTCAGTGACGTGAATCACTTTAATTATGATTTTTACCTGTTTACTCATTGAAAAAAAAATGTTTTATAAATAATATACAAATTATTATATTATAGTAAAAAAAAGTAGTACAGTTTTTTCAAAATAATAATTTGTCATAATTTTTTTAAAACAATATTTTATAATTAAAAACAAAAAACTTTTTCTTAAAAAAATTTTCTATAGCTGTTAGTATTTTTTATATCTACACTGAAAAAAAATGTATTTGTAACAAATACGATCTCAAATAATAATTATTTGATATAAGTCAAGTAACCGATTATTTGAATCAAAAATTTTTTTTTCAGTGTAGTATTTTTAGTATTTTTTTAAATCGATATTAATTTTTTTAATTCAACAAATTTTTTTAAATTAATTTTTTCAATTCTTATTTTTTCTTGAATTAATAAATTTTTTTTTCTTTTTTTTTTGATAATAAGAAACTTGATAAAAACTTTTAGACGTTTTATATATAGTATTTCAAGTGTGAATTGAGGGAAATGGAAAAAGTCTTTATAAAGTTTGATTATAGAAAACATAATCAACGTAAAGTTGATGGGAAAAAGTAATTTACATTGAATTTTTGTAGAATAGAGTTGTAAAAGTAGAAAAATTGTAACTTGGACGTTTTTTTCTCATAAATCTTAAAATGAAGTTCTTGCAGATTTTTTTCTTTTTAGCTTTTTAAAAGGACAGAATACGGTGTTTTCTTGCTGACCAAGAGAACACTAAACACACACACATACACAGATATATATTCACATCACTATATTTATGACTTAAAATTTCAATGTGCACTGACATGTATAAAACATTATATATGTTTGAAATATTTCAAAAAACAGAAATCTATGAAAGTTTAAATCGAATTAGAAAACAAAAAATATGAAATAAAAGAAGTAGTGAAAAAAAATGATTAAATATTAAAAATTAGACAATTATAAATATTAAATTTAATTAAAAATTAAATTTATTTACTAATTTTTTTTTTTATTGTGGATATAATTACAGTGAGATATGATTTAAAAAACTATGTTTGGGGGAGAAAAAAAATGTTAAGAAAAAAAATCTATATAGTTGTCAGCGTAAATCAGAGCGAAAATAATATTCTTTTGTGTGGAGAAAATAATATAAGTAATTTAATGAGAAAGTCGTGTTCGATAATTTCAAACAAAGTGCACGTTGATCATGCAACTTGGCGGAGAGAGAAAGAGAAAAGTAGAAAAGGAATTGATAGAGTCAGACAAAAAAAAAAAAATTATCACGGATGAAAAAAGTTTTCCTTATATTCTATATACGCGTTTTATTATCGGTTAACGAATCAAATTTTATAATGGATTTTCCAAGATATTGAAATTGATCCTAATGAGTTTTACGATTATAATATATATAATCATTAAGTCGCATCTCACACTTTTTTAAAAATATCTTCGCGAGATTTCCATTGTTTTTTTTTTCCTCATTAATTTTCCATTATTAGAATTTAGGTACGATCTTTTTTATTCAAAGAACAATTTTATATTAAAATAAAAATTTTTCATTTATAAAAAAGTAGATGGAAAATTTTTTAATTGAATATTTTGCATTCATAATTGGAAATTAAAATTCTTTTATTAGTTTTTAATGTGTTTTGACGTTTTTTTTATTGATGTATATAGAGTGTGAGGAAATGAAAATTTGATTTTAATTAATTTGAGGAAAAACAGATAGATTCTTGGTTTGCAGATGTTAGCAGAATCAAAGGGGTGGTTTGATGTCAACGTTTCGCAAACATTGCAATAGGGATTGGCTTACACAGAGCATTTACTCACGACACTATATATATATATATACCATATATAAAGCGAACGGTCTATCGGAATATACCTTTAGGGGTCAGAGTGCGTAGAACCACGCGAAACGAGAAGAACAATACTTGAGTTTAATTGGAAATTGTTTTTATTTTATTTTATTTTATTTTTCAATTCAATTTACGTTCATTTAATTCTATTTAAGAAATTCTTATATCGATATATCTTGAAATTGGAAATTTTTTTGTTATTATTATTTTTTATTTATTCATTAATTGATTTTATTAATATTACAGAAAATTGATTATTATTGTTAATTAAATTAAATATTTTTCAATTAATAAAATAAAAATATAATAAAATAAATATAAAAAAAATAAATATAAAAAAAAATTGAAATAAAAACTAAATATTAAAAAATTAAATTTAAATAAATATATTTTGAATTTAATACATTTTTTTAAAAGAAAAAAATTTTTTTTTAAATATATTTTATTTAATGAAGCAAATGATATATTTAACCAAAAAGTTTATTAATTGTTCCAATTTCATATATATTCAAATTTTGAAAATGTTTTGAATAGTAAAAGTTTTGAATTGTTGAATATATATATATATATAAATTTAGAGTGTAAAGTTACCTATATATGGACCAATGAAAATGATGTTTAAAAGCTATACTATTTGCCAGGTATTGCATTTCTGTTTGTTTATACGCTCTTGAAATCTGGGTATATACATTATCCGTGAAAGTTTTGAACGCGCGCGCCTCTTAAAGCATCGAGGAAAGTTCGACGAACAGTAATGAAACGCAAAATTAAAGATAAGAGTAGAGTGGGTGCTTGACTTGATCTTTTAAAAAAGTTTTTTTCACATTGACAAAAAAAAAAAAGAGTATCTGTTAACGTTAAGAACCGCGGCGTTTGAAATAAAAAACTGCGCAATGAAAATATTTAATCTAAACCCTCTTAAAAAAAAAGAGGTCCTTATCTCTTGCAATATACCGCAGTTTTTATATATATATATATTTTGGTGATTCTATGTTGAAAAAGTAAAGAATTTTTTTTTCTATAAAAATTTATCCTACAGAAAAAAAATGTTGTGAAAAAAATATTGAAAATATTTTTTAGAAAATAATTTTTGGTTTTGTAAAAAAACAATTTTATAGTATTTTTATTAATAAAATAAACAAAAATTATTAACTTCTTTATCTGCACTAAAAAAAAGTGTCATTGATTCAAGAAAGTTCAATTTGCTAAAAATAAAAAATTAAAATTTTTGAGAAAAAGATATTAAAAATATTTTTTTTTTATGTAAAATAAAATAAGTTTATTTTTATAATTTTAAAAAGTGGTACTTCTGAACTTAGAATCATCCATATATATATATATATATATTATCTGAATGTGATATATATATATACAATACTTTACTTTGCTCAGCTACATCTCTTTCTATGACCAAGGGTACAGTGCTAAAAGCGAAATGAGATGGATACCACATTGAATTGCTTTTT